TAAAGGTACAATTCCCAATGAGAAATGTAATTGTGTTGTATACCTAAAATGTACCAATAAAAGAATTTAATACAAAAAAAAAAAGAATCGATGATTCAACGCCCTCAGCATATCCTCCTCACATCTGCTCCCACAGTGTCTAGTTTTCTTCTCTACCAGATTCTTCTATCTTCTGACTCTGTTTCTCTCGCAATCCATCAGTCTTATTGATTTGTCATGGCTCCTGGCTCCATTGTCTTCCTGGTTCATGATTTCAGCAACATTCTTCCTGGTGCCTACAACTTCCATTTCCTGATATTCTTTTCACACTCTATTGATCAAGAGCACAACCATGTATGAAACCCATTACTTCCTGCTTCTGTGGTTTAGTACAGAATCATTGCACATTGATTGTCATGGTGCTTATAGGGTCAAGAAATTTGATTGTCAGTATTGCTCCAATTTGAATTTTGCAGTGGTAACCCTGTTTTATTCTTTTACCTTAGGCATCCTGTGTCTTTACTCATTTTTTATATATTTTATTTCAGTCTAAATAGTATCAGACCTGCAAAATTTTGCCTTTAGATTTACAAAAGTTAAAGATATTGGTAATACCTACTATTGGTGAAGATGTATGAAAATTGCACTTAAATGAGGAACAGAAATTTCAGCCCAAGTCTGATCTCAAGGCTCATGTTCAGCTTTGTTTTAAGCTATATGAATAATATATAAATAGGTTTTCATTGTAAGTACTTCGGAAAACAGATACGGCAAAAAACTAAGCCTACCATTTTTACAGAACTCTCCTGCCATCCCACCTCCCTCATGAGAGGTAACAACTGTTTGAGTTTGGTATACTGTATCTTTCCAGATCTTTGTGTGTTTTTGTGTATATGTGTGCATGCATGCATTTGCATACATATTTATGTATATGAAGTTTTATATTTCTTAGACAGGGTCTTGCTATTTAGTTCAGGCTGGCCTTGAACTCAACTATGTGGCCTGGGTTGAACTCAAACTCATAGCAATCCTTCTGCCTCAGCCTCCCAAGTGCTGGGATTACAGGCATATGCCACCATGCCAGGCAGCATATGTGATGTTTTCAAAAACAAAAAACATGGCCGGGTATTTAGCTCAGTGGTTCCGCTGTCTGCCTTGCAAGCACAAGGATCCGAGTTCGATCCCCAGTACCAAAAAACTCCCCAAAAAACCCAAAAACAAAAACATAAGTCATAGTGTACATAGTGTTGTCCATGCCTTTTCTATTTGCCTCCTTATTTTTGGGCTGTGGAACTCAGGCTGTTCTTGAACTCACTTTGTAGGCCAGGTTGTCCTTGAATTCACTGTCCTCCTACCTCAGCCTCCACTTGGGATTACAGGTGTGTGTTTGCCTTCTGTTAAAAAATTGTTTTTTCTTCCTGAACTCTAGGTTTTATAAGACTTCTGTGTATCAGATGCATTCCTTAAGAAATAGTTTCCTTGTTGTATTAAAGGCTGCTAATATGATTGTGGATCAGGGTGAAGTTACTATTATTAACCCATTGGGTTTTATAACTCTTGCTAAAAGCAAAACATCATTTCTTCTCTTGTGACCTCACCTCTAATAATTGCAATTTGTATTCGATTTTCTGAATAGAGAAAATGGCTCTTGTACCCCTCTTTCCTTTTGTGAGAGCCCTCAAGAAATCTATGGTTGAGGATGCCATGGTGTTGTACTGTGGGTCTCCGGCTCTTGGAGCAGAATGGAGCTGCCATGCCGGGCTCCCCCACCCAGGACAAACACTTGAGGTTTGCCTTTCTCCAACAGGTTGTTTACATTTGAAACCTCTGTACAACCTGAGACAGATTTGTGTCAGATCTTTTCTTTTCACTAGGCTGGGTGTCCATAATGGCAGAAGCATTGAAATCTCAACACATTATGGAAGCTTCACATGCTGCCAGAACTCTGGCTAACCTAGACCGAGAAACTGTGCAAGAGAAATACCAGGATGGTGTGTACGTGCTCCATCCCCAGCACCGAACAAGGTGAGCAAACAGAACACTGATGTTGGTGTCTTTGGGAACATAAAGCCAGGGGGCTTAAAGTTTTAATATACTTCTGTATAATTTAGAGAAGTTGAATACTTTATTCATAAATCAAATAGTTAATACTGAAACAGTTTATCAATAATAATCTCAGAAGAACTGAAGGGTGTCTGAAAGCACAAGAAGTAAATCATCAGGGTTCTTTGCAAAGGGCCAACCTTCAGTGAGCTTGCATTCATCTGTTAGGATGTGTACTACTTACACTTTGAAATATGTATCTTCTTTGTTTCAAAGCATTTTCACTTAGATCTGAGTTAGTTACTGATGTGGATCACAGAAGTCAGTCTGAATTGGAAGGAGATTTGACTTCATTGATACATGCAGCCAAATGAACCTGCATGTGGGCCTGGAGCTCCAGGCTGGAGAAGGTTTATGCTAGGAGTCAACACATGCGTAGGAAAGAATAAGACGTAATAAGTTCAACTCTTACTCCTCGTAAAGTTATTACTGGTTACTATTTCTAGTTATGTCATTGCTGACATAAGTATAGGAAGGATGGCAATGAAAAATATACATAGTTCTTATATTTTCATTTAATACTTGAAAAATAATTTGAAGAAATAGCAAAAAAATTTAAATTTGAAAATGGATTGCCTGGTTAATTCCAATTTGTAAATGCGATAATATATGTTGTGTGTGCATTGCGTAATTGCATGTATACTATAGTTTGTAACCAATGCACTACCTATAATTTTTTTTTTTTTTTTTGGTACCGGGGATCGAACTCGGGTCCTTGCGGTCGCGCAGCAGGCAGCAAAACCACTGAGCTAAACCCCCGGCCCCTACCTATATTTTTATATCTCCAAAGAAAGAATATATTACCCCAACATCTCATTTACTCTATTTCTGATAAATATTTTCTTTAATAAAATTTTGAAGTTTCATGTATACTGACTTTGAAACTATATCAACATATTATCCAATTGTCAAATACGTTGATTTTTAGAATATTCTTATGGACTTGTTCAGAGAGTATCTGATGATGGTGTCTGTCACTTGATCAGCTACTGAGCTCACTGTAGTCACTTGTGGCTAGTCTGCCCAGCTAAAACAGCTCCCTTTCTAGAGAGAGATCTGTGAGCATGCTCTGTGTATTTCTTTGTCCAAAGTCCTTCAAAGATATCTCAGCAACCCTGTGCCTTAAAACTTGCCATAATTCTTTTTTTTTTTTTGGTACCGGGGATTGAACTCTGGACCTTGCGCTTCCGAGGCAGGCACTGGAACCACTGAGCTAAATCCCCAGCCCTTAATTCTTATTTTATGTCACATAAGCCTGCCAAAGCATCATCCACAGAGAATGATATATAAAGTCTTATCATAGCAATAATGCATTTATTCTGCTTCTTTTTAAAACTCTCTCTTTTCTTAGTCAGCCCATTAAAGCCGATGTCCTTTTTATTCATGGCCTTATGGGAGCAGCATTCAAAACATGGCGCCAGCAGGACAGTGAGCAGGTTTTGACTGAAAAGGCTTTGGAGGATGAAGACAGGTACACCACCTGCTGGCCTAAGGTAAGGAGCAGTGGCTTTGCCTGCACTGCGGCACCACTGCTCTTGCAGCCTTCCTGTGACTTGTTCCTTTTCTCTTCCTGGGACTTAGGGGCACCTGCAGTATGTTACATTAACAGCTGGGTTTGTGTGACCCTGTATTATATAGTTTCTGTTTAGGGCACAGCCTCTAAAAGAATATTCTTTTTTTTTTTGGTACCGGGGATTGAACTTGGGTCATTGCAGTTGTGCAGCAGGTGGCGAAACCACTGAGCTAAATCCCTGGCCCGCTAAAAGAATATTCTATAAGTAAAAAATAGGGAAAGGCGCATAATAACTCACTTCCATTGAAGCATAATATGAAAAATATATATCCATAATTTACATAATCAATTTTATAATCTTTATAAAGCTAGAAAGACTGAAGAAGTAATTCTACTTTGCATTTCTTTTATATTATTTTTTCCAAAGAGCCTTAACTCTGGAAAAAATTCATTGACTGGAACTTAACTAAAGTGCATTTTGGATTGATGCTGTATATATGTGGGAATAATTTCCAGGGCTTTCCTCAACTACCTTTTGCTCACTTTCACAAAAGCGAGAATGGCTCACACTTTCTGCTAGTGATGCTGAAGTGTAAAGATGACCATTAAATCAGGGGTCCCAAAGATGAACTGTAACTGTCATTAATATCTTTGAATTCTCAGGTCCAGAGTTCTCTGTTGGACTATACAGTCTGTTCTGAGATCATAGCTTTTGACCAAATGCTTTAAAAAGCTATTAGAGCTAGGGCTGGGGATTTAGCTCAGTGGTTTTGCCGCCTACTGCACAAGCCCAAGGACCTGAGTTCAATCCCCGGTACCAAAAAAAAGCTATTAGAGCTAAATTCCAAAAACAAGCCTTGCTTTGGGCTATAGCAGATTAAAATTGAGAATATTCTGGTGATACCTTCATACTGTTTTGTCCAGAAATATAAAAAGATAGAATCCTTGTTTTTATAGTCAAGCTTTATTTATTTTTTTGGTACCGGGGATCGAACTTGGGTCCTTGTGCTTGCAGGGCAGGCAGTGGCACCACTGAGCTAAATCCCCGGCCCAGTCAAGCTTTATTTTAATGTCATCTTTAATCAGTTGTCCATTGCATGAAACCTTTAATTATAAATTCAACTACTAGGCAGAAAGTTGGAAGTAAGTTGAGGTGGTGGAAATTCATGCATGTTCTTATAATTTTCATTTTACTTAGACATGGTTAGCAAGAGACTGTCCTGCTCTTCGAATTATATCTGTGGAGTATGACACCAGCCTCAGCGACTGGAGAGCAAGATGCCCTATGGAAAGGTAACTTTAGAGGAGATATTAAATGAAGAAAGGCTCAGGCTATTAAGTGGATCCACTGAGATGGGGATTGATTTTTATCTTGATACCATAGGCAGGATTTTAAGTGCTGGAAATGAATCTCAGGGCCATGTACATGCTAAGCAAGTGCTCTACCACTGAGCTACACCCCCAGGCAGAGTTTTCTTATAAAAACAATGAAATAGTAAAAGTCTTAGATACATTATCAGTATTGTACTCCTAACCTAGTTCTTTTGTAACTCAATAATGAAGGATCATGGATTCTGTAGCAGTATCCAGTTTCTACCAAAAGCAAAAGTGATGTTTTTTGCTTTTGTGTTCACAACCATACTGGCCAAAGGAAGCAAAGAAAAAGATGCTGAGTAAATTCAGCTCCTATGTCTCTTTTATATCCCTTGTGCTAGCTGAGTACATAGGAAAGAGCCTTGGTTTTCTGGGGATAGGACCTTGATTGTAGCCCAGTCCTGCCTTTGACTCACTGTCTAGTCTTAGACAAGTTGTTTAATGCGTGTGGGAACCTTCGTGTGTAGATTGAGGAAGATGGTCTACTCAGTGTTGTTAAAACACTGCTCTCTGGGGCTAGGGATTTAGCTCAGTGGTTCCACCGCCTGACTGGCAAGTGCAAGATCCTGAGTTTGAACCCGGTACCAAAAAAAAAACAAAACACTGCTTTCTACGTGGAGCCTGCGAAGGTGCTGAGAAGATGCTCAGGGCAAGCAGCAGGATCCAAGTCTCCCTCCCATTTCTCTCCTGGGAGCTCTGGGGAACCTTTTCTCTGAAGAAAGGTGTCTATAGATATCAGACTGGATAGTTTTGAAGTTCTCCTTTGGTTTTAAAATTAGTTTGAAATAACTAATTTGAATAGTTTCTTAGTATATTTCTAAATAATGAACCAAAATGATGGAAGCTTAATATGTGTAGCATAAATACAGATAGAACCAAAACTCGCAAAATAGACAACAGAGTCTCTAAGAGACACTTTTATTGTTAGACAGTAGAATTAGAAGGAACATTCACACACACTAACTTCTGGGGGAAGCTGGGCTAAGACTCAAGTTCGACCTGTAAAAATAGACACATTCGATGCTGAAACAATACTCTTTAGTAGATGAATGGCCTGTTCTGCATTTAGGTGGCCCTAATGCCAGTACTAATTAGTTGCAAAAACAGAATGAGCAGCTTCAGAAACTGAGCAAGTAGGGGTATCCCTCACTCCAAAATAGAGTATATAGGCTTCTTGACTTGAAAAGTTAGATAGCAAATTTGGGGGATCATGCCTCCTGTCATGCCTGCTGTTTTCCTTTTGTTCAGAAAGTCCATTGCATTCAGAAGCAACGAACTTCTTAGGAAGCTCAGAGCTGCTGGTGTTGGGGATAGGCCAATAATTTGGATATCACATAGCATGGGAGGTAAGGATAGTTTCATCTTTGCAGAATGACCATTGTGAGGTTGTCACCAGTGGGGCTTACTTGAAGTTCCTGCGTTTCTCTATTTCACTTACTTGTACCACTGTCCCTACCCCACCTCCATTTTAACATTGCTATTCTCCTTCTCTGCTCTTTGTTTTTGTAGAAGGGGACAGCTAGTAACCATGCAAGAGGGAGGGGTTCCAACTTGATGCATTCATGTCCTAGTCAGCCTCACACTGAGGGATGTTTACAGGTCACACTTGGATAAGCCAGCATTCCTGGCTAGCCCCAGGAGTGCTCCTTTCATCCTCCCTGTGCTCCCTCACCATTGCAGATTCCTGGTTGCTTTGGTGCCCATGCTGCCACCACCACCACCACCCCCGCCCAGTCTCCTCCAGCCCAGCTGTTTCCCAATCTACCTTGTAGACACCCTTTCTACAGCCCTCAGCCTACTTTATCTGATGAAGTACTCAGGATGGCTGACCCCAGGTCACCTTTTTGCTGAAGGAAAGGTGGCTATAGCCCTTCACATCCTCAAAGATCTACAGTCACTATCCTTGTGATCGATCTTTGTATTACTTGGGTACGAGGATGGAGGAAAAGATGCCTTCCTAGGTGCATTTTCCACAGCAGTTGGGTGTCCTTGCTGGGACTATAACTTTGCATCTTCATGTTCTCCTGGATGCAGGCTGTGTGGCAGAATGGGGAGCTGCTGTCACCTCAGTTATGGCACACCCAGCTCAGATGGGTGGGATATTACAGGGATAGTGGATTCTGGGATGGAAAGATCTATCCTATCCTGCAGACACGTTTCTACAGTCTTACCTGTTAGTAGGCTTATACTATGAATTCTAGAGGACCATGGTGTTAATAAGTGTTAACATTTTAAAGCCCTGTTTCTTGTACTACAGAGAATTAGTGTTTAACTGGTTCTTAACTGTTGTATCTGTTTCTTGTTTTGCCTTTTGAAAAAGAAAAATAGAGGGGAAGAAGATAGCTTATACACAATTTTTCTTTCTTCTCTGTGGCCAGGTCTTCTTGTCAAAAAGATGCTGTTGGAAGCCTCTAAGAAGCCAGAAATGAGTACCGTTATAAAGAATACCAGAGGAATCATTTTTTACAGTGTTCCTCATCATGGATCACGTTTGGCTGAATACTCTGTCAATATTCGTTATCTTCTCTTTCCCTCTTTGGAAGTCAAAGAGCTCAGTAAAGGTAATTCTTTCTGTCACAAAAGAAATTGGGCTATATTACTATTAATTATATAGGAAGAGAAAAGCAGTTTCTTCCTTGGATTTATTATCTTGTTATTGATATGTAATTGTGTTTAGACTATTCATGAAGAATTTCTGGTTTGGGTCTTTTTTTCTTTTAATACCTTCTGTTTTTGTTCTTAAGCCACTATTTACTCAAATATAACCACAAGTTTAGTATTATCTTAATCAAGCACTTAGAAAAATTATACATAATGTTTTGCTTAAGTATTATTCCAGATTATTAAGAAACTATTTTCCTTGAATTTGGAAAATCATCAACTGTTAAAATACAAACTTTTAAAAGATTTTTAGCATATTAAGTATAAAGTGCTACAAAACAAATATAGTGTTTGATCAATAAGCGTTTTTCCCTGGAACACCTGTTAATTAGAATTTGGACTCCTTGGATTGAGTTATCTCTTTGCTCATATTTTCTTTGTTCTGCTTTGTGGAGTTCATCTTTCTCAACATGGTCTAATTTAACTTGAAGTATAGTTTGAATTGCACTTTTTTTCTTGAGATATAATATTTGATATTATGTTGTTGTAATTTGATATATATATGCAGGGCATAATAATCAAATCAACGTAGTAAGCATTTCCATCTCTTCAAACATTAATAATTTATATGCATTGGGAATTTTGTACTTTTTTAGTCATTTTAATCAATAGTTTTCTAGAAAAACCAGAACTAATTCTTCCTCGTCATTGTTGCCTGTGCCACTTACTGAACTTCTTTCCATTTCCTCCACGCTCCATCCTTCCCAATCTCTTTTGGGACCACTGGTCTGTTCTGTTGAGATTCACTTGTTTCTACAAATGAATAAGAACATATGGAATTTGTCTTTCTGAGTATGGGTTATTTCACTTAATGACTTCCAGTTGCTGCAAAGGACAGGATTTCATTCCTTTTTTACGGCTCAGTATTATTGCATTGTGTATATATACCACATTTTCTTCATCCATTCATCCACTGATAGGAATCTAGTTGATTCTATCTTTTAGCTATTATTAATATTGGTGCAATACCTTTTTGCAAGTATCTTTTTGGTGTAATATTACAGAATTGCTGGATCACATGGTACTTTGAGTTTTTTGAGGAATCTCTGTATTGTTTGCTATAGTGGCTATACTGATTTACATTTCTACCAAAATGTATAAAAGTTTCTTTTTCTGCATCCTCACTGGCATTTGTTATTTTTTGCCTCTTTGATGACAACCATTCTAACTGTGGGGAGATGATATAGTGGTTTTGATTTGCATTTCCCTTGTGACTAGTGAGAATGAACATCTTTCTATACTTGTTGGCCATTTGTATGTTTTCTTTTGAGAAGCATCTGGTTAGTTCTTTAGCCTCTTTTAAAACTGAATTATTTCTTTAATGTTCAGCTTTCTGAGTTCTTTATATATTCTACATACTAATCACTTGTCAAATGAATAATTTGCAAATTATTTTCTACCATTTTGTAGGTTATCTCTTAATTCTGTTATTTCCTTTGCCATGCAGAAGCTTCTTAGTATAAGATAATATAATTCTCACTTGACTATTTTTACTTTTGTTGCTTGTGGAATCCTACCTAAAAAAATTATTGCCTTATACTGGTGTCTTGAAATGTTTCCCCTGTTTTCTAATAGTAATTTAATTTTTTTACATTTAAATATTTGATCAATTTTGAGTTGATTTTTGTGTACAGTGAGAGGAGGGACCTAGTTTCATTCCCCCCTCTCTGATTATCTCTCTCCCTCTCTCTCTCTCTCTCTCTCTCTCTCCACCTCTCCACACACACAAACACACACACAATTTGCAAGCACTGTTTAATGAAGATAGTGCTTTTTCTGCAGTGTTATGTTCTAGTCATCTTTGTTAAAAATAAGTTGACTGGATGAATATAGATTAATTTCCAACTTCTTTACCCTGTTCCATTGGTCTGTGTTTTAATTGATAGTACTATGATGTTTTGGTTACTATAGCTTTGAAGTGCATTTTGATGTCAGATATTGTGAGGCCTTCAGCTTTTTATTCTCTCAAGGATTGCTTGGCTATTCTAGGTCTTCAGTTGTTGCATATGAATTTTAGGACTGTTTTTTCTACTTCTGTGAAGAAAGTCATTGATATTTTGATGAGAATTGCATTAATTCTAGATTGCTTTAGATAGTATGGTACTTTTAATATTAATTCTTCTGATCCATGAATATGGGAGTATCTTGCCATTTTCTTCTTTCATCAGTTCTTTATAATTTTCATTGTAGAAATCTCTCACTTCCTTGGTTAAATTTATTCCTGAATTTTTGCAGCTATTATGAATGGTATAGTTTTCTTATTTTTTCATCAAGTTCATTATTAGTGTATAAAAATGTAATTCTTCTTTGTACAATTTTGTATCCTACAACTTTAGTGAATGTACATTTCAGTAGGACTTATGATCTTTTTGATGGAGCATTTGATTTTTCTATTTATAAAATCATATCATTTGCAAAAGTGAATAATTTAACTACTTCTTTTCCGATTTGGATATCCTGTATTCCTTTATCCTGTATTCCTTTCTCTTGCCTAATTATTATCATCACTAAGACTTCCAGTACTGTGTTAAATAACAGAGGTGAAAGTGAAAGTCCCGATCTTAGAGGAGCAATTTTAACATTTCCCTATTCACTGTGATATTGGCTATGGCTTTTTCATACATAGCCTTAAGTATGCATAATTTGTTGAGAGTATCATAAAGGATACTGAGTCTTACTAAATGCTTTTCCTGCATCTATTAAAATAATTATATTTTTTTCCTTTGTTCTGTTGATGTCACATTTATTGATTTGTGTATGTTGAACCATCTTTGCATCACTGGGATAAATCCCACTTGACTGTGATATATGTATGATCTTAATATCTGTTGAGTTTGGTTTGCTAATATTTTATTGAGAATTTTTGCATCTGTATTCATTAGGGATATGGGTTTATGGTTTGTTGTATCTTTGTCTGGTGTTGGTATCAGGGTAATGTTAATCTTGTAAAATGTTTGGCAGAGTTTCTGTCATTTCAGTTTTTTGCAGTAGTTTAAGAATTAGAATTATATCTTTAAATGTTTCATACAATTCAACAGTAAAGCCATCAGGTCTTGTATGTTTTTTTCAGATGGGAGATTTTTTACTGCTTCAATTTCATTACTTTTATTATTGGTGTATTTAAATATTCATTCTTCTCTATTCAATTTTGGTAAATTGTATGTATTAGGGGGGGTTTTCTTCTAGGTTTCCTATGTTTTTAACATTTCTTATGGTCCTTTTTAAATTCTCTGGTGTCAGTTTTAATGTCCCCTTTTTCATTTCTGATTTTACTTGGGTCTTTTTTTTCTTCATTGATCTATCTAAACCAAGAAATATTGTTTGTTCTTTCAAAAAACCCATTCTTTGTATCATTTCCTTATTTTTGATTTATTGTCTACTCTTGATTATTTCCTTCATTGATTTTGGGTTTGGTCTGTTATTGCTCTTCTAAGTTCTTGAGGTGCACTGTTGTTTACTTGAGATCTTTTCTGTTTTTTGATATGTATTTATTGTTAGAAACTTCCCTCTCACTACTGATTTTGCTGGATCCCACAGATTTTGTATGTTGTAATGCTATTTTCATTTTCTTCTGGGGTTTTAAAATTTGTCTAAAAATTTTTTTCAATTACCCATTGATCATTTAGGAGCATGTTATTAAATTTCCATGGGCTGGTTTAGTGGGGCAAACATAGGTAAGACTTGGGCTGTGACAGTGGCAGCTGCTAATCCTGAAGCTGCAAGACATGGAAGGATCTGTCTTCTGGCCAGTGAGGCATGCCCCAGCCCAAGCTTCCAGTGGTGTTGATGACCTAGAGTCTTTTCTTTGGAGTAGAGCACTCACTCATAGACCAGCTCATACCCCAAACCGGCTTAGGACTGCTGGTCCTCTGCTATAATTAGGGCTGGGGCACTTTCCCCATTTACTTTCTCCCAGCAGTGTGAGCATCCCTTCAGCCAGGGAGTGAGTTGAAGTTGCAGTTTGCTTTGTTTTTTGCTTTAGATTGCCTTTTTGTCTCTCTGTGCTGCCTTGCTGATTTCAGAGGTCTCCTCAATCACTTTTCTTGATTTTCCTTTTTACAGATTTTCCTTTATTGTGTGTTTCTTTTCTGTGGCAGAGTTACATGCAGGTCACCTCTTTTCAGCTGTATGTGATTTATTTTCGACAAGTTTTCTTCTCTGGTTGTTGTTTATTCATATTATCCTCTTCTTGCTTGTCACTTCTATTTCTTTTCAGATCATTCCTAAGATACTAATTAGAAGATTTTTAAAAGTTCCTTTGAGCTGAGTGTGGTATAATCCCAGCTACTCAGGAGACTGAAACAGGAGGATGGCAAGTTTGAGGCCTGGGCAACTCAGGGCCTATTTCAAAATAAAATTAAAAGAGTTGGGATGGAGCTCAGTGTAGAATGCTTACCTAGTATGTGTAAGGCCCTGAATTCAATTCCCAGAACTACAAAAAAATAATAAAAATTTCTTTGTTTCCTTCTTTGACTTTGTTTCTCCTGTGGTTGCATTGACTTTTCTGTCTGGCTCATCTAATATCTTTGAGGTTGTATGCGTCCTCTAATATCTGGTGCTTCTTGGCTACCCTTTCATATTTGAGGACAAGAAGCTGGAAAGGACAGACTATGTTCATGGGAAATGGTGGGTACCAGCTGTCACATGGGGGGCCTCCTGTAGTCTCACCCACTGACTGCCCTAAACTCTGCTTCCTGTCAGCCAGTATTGTGGTGAAACCTTTTTTCCCCCAATATCGGTGTCCTCTCAGTTCCTAGGAGGCTTTGGCCCTTTATTTGAAATCATAGAATGGCTTCTTAGGCCACCATCTTGAATTAGAATCCTGATGGCCTCTTTAAATTTGAATTAATGCATTTTATTTTAAACTAGGTGAGCAGAACTTGTCACATTCTTATTCTCTCTAATTTTATAGATTCTCCTGCACTTAAAGCACTACAGGATGACTTTCTGGAGTTTGCTAAAGACAAAAAGTTGCAGGTGCTGAATTTTGTAGAAACACAGCCAACCTATATTGGCAGCATGATCAAACTCCATGTGGTACCTGAGGAGTCAGCAGGTAAAATCATTCTTGAAACTTGCTGGCTATTAGATGCCTAGTGGGAAGTACCTCACATTTAATCATAAAATTTTATATCCACTTTTTCAGTTTTAGGAGATAATGTAATGAAGATCTAAAGTCTAATTCCATTATTCTTTCTAGCCACAGATTAAAACTTCTTTGAAAACACATAGCTTTGGCATTACCCTTCCCTTCTCTTTAACTGACTAGACAACAAAGGTTAATGGCCTACCTCTAAATCAGGTATCAACAGTGACCTGTGCTGCTTGAAGGTAATACCTAGTTCTTTGTCAGCTAGATTAAAAAGGGCAATTATTCAACAGATAGCTGCATGTAGAAATAGTTTTTAAAATCTGTTAATGTAAAAGGTTTAGTAAATGCAGGATATAAAGGCATGGAAGCTTTAGTAAATGGAAGATATATTCAAACAGGAAATGATCTGAAGGGAGTAAAAATACTAGTGTTAAAACTGCAGCTTCTTCCTGATCCTGGGTGGAGAGAAATGGCCAATACCTACCAGTTATAGGCATTATAGGTAAGAACTTATGGGCTCCTTGAGGGTAGATCTCAAACCTTCTTTACAGCCTCCTGTTATTACTCTGTACAGTGTAGCTGCCCCATACATATCCATACCTGAAATGCTTTCCCCCTACATGGCCACTTCCTCAGTTTGCTTGAATGAACCTTTTTTTTTTAATTTAAATTTTAATTTTTATTAGTACATCTTTGAGGTACATGATGCAAACATTCATTGTGGGAAATTGATACATATACATAACACATTTTCTTTTTACTTTCCTTTGTCTTATGGGGTTTTTTTTTTCTTGGTACTGGGCATTGAACTTGGGACCTTGCACTTGCGAGGCAGGCAAGGTACCACTGAGCTAAATCCCCAACCCTCTTATGGGCTTCTTATCACAACCAAGCTAGCATTGAGAACTACCCATTTGACTTCTTTCAGTCTTGACAAGGGAGAAGACTTTATTCTTAGATTTGTTGACATTTTAATTTTCTTTAGATTTAGGCATTGGAGATCTGATTCCTGTGGATGTTAACCATTTGAACATTTGTAAGCCAAAGAAAAAGGATGCTTTTTTGTACCAACGTACTCTGCAGTTCATCCGTGAAACTTTAGCCAAAGATCTTGAAAACTAACTGCTCTCTTCCATTTTCTATGGGAATACATGCAAGAAACGTGGCGTATAAAGTTATGACAGCAGTGTGGTCTGGAGTGGTGGAGACAACAGAGTGTGGCTCTCCATTCACACACTGGAAAGCATGCCCACAGAGTGGATGTGACAGAAGGAATGGCTAGAGTGGAAACCTCTGGCTTACAGAAATCCCACAGTGCTGGGCCTGGTGACTAGAGCAAAGCTGCTGGGGCTGGAGAGGCCCTTTTCTCACCTGGGAGCCCCAGTAGGCAACTCAGCTAACCATAAAAATGCCATAGAGAGAGTGCCTAAACGGAGAGAAGAGTGAACTAGAACACAGAAGATTCTGTTTTTGTTCTGGGTGTCCATGTGATATAAATTTTTAAAACGTAAGTTTAAATTTTTAGTTTTTAACTTTCAGTTAAATTTTTGTCTAACACATTAACACTGATGTTAACTTTGTTAGACCTATTGTCATGCAGGGGTGAGTTCTTACATGTTTTTATTTCCCTATTGCTGAGGACAAATTCGTTTTTAAATTCTAGCTTATAGTAATTCTTTACAGATCATAGCTACTTATGCTTGTCATGTGCCCCAGATAAGGATAAAGTAGCTTAATCCATTACTGACCAAAGTATAAAATAAACTATTATAAGCATATATGTGTATATCAACATTTTCAGATTCTTTTTAGCTATACCTTTCTTGTGCATTTGGAAGTTGTGTTAAATCATTTGATGGACTTTTTCAAAAAGAGCACTGAGATATTTGTATAGCTTACAATTCACCCTTTAAAAATGTTCAATTCATTGGTTTTTAGTATATTCAGAGTTGTGCAAACACCACTACCATCTAGTTTTGGAGTGTTTCATTATCCTAAAAAGAAACTCAGCAGTCATTTCCCATACCTCTGTCCCCAGCCCCTGTTAACATTAGTTGCTTTCCATATGTGTATTTGCCTTCTCTGGATGTTTCATACAAATGGAATCATACAGGAGGTGGCTTGTTTTCTTCATGTGTTTTCAAGAGTCATAAATAATATAGCATGTTCATTCCTTATGACCCAAATTATCTGGTTTTATGCTACATTTGTTTATTAATCAGTTGATGGACATCTAGGTTCTGTCCTTTTTTTGACTGTTGGGAACTCATGATGCTGCTATGATCATTTGTGTATAAAGTTGGTGTTTTTTGGATAGGTGTTTTTACTTATTTTGGCTGAGCAGAATTGGTGGTCAAATGCTAAGTCTGTGCTTAACATTGAGGAGATGATGGACTTGTGTAGAGTTGGGGTGTCAAAGCTGAAGATGGAGCCCAGCATTTGAAGGTAAGCAAGGTCATCAGCAAACCCTGTCATATCAACTTCTTAAGGTCCTCCCCCCCTCCCTGGTACCGGGGATCGAACTCAGGACCTTGCACTTGTGAGGCAGGTGTGGTGCCACTGAACTACATCCCCGGCCCTTTGGTACTTTTTTTTTGGTTCTGTTTTCCACAAACTGTGGCAGATAAACCACAGTAGAAACAACTATTCATTAACTTAATGAATGAAACCCCTTTCCTTAAAATCCTAATATATAACTACCATAGCTGTGCTTTTAACAAGGGCTAGAGAGACATCCAATATATTGCAAAATTACTGTGCTTTTTCAGGTGAGCTATTTAGCATTTTTTATTCTGTTTATAAAATAGAGAGTCCACCTCCATTTATCAGACAAACAGAGATTTGGATGAAGTTTATCATACAACCTAAGTGAAAAGTAACATAGCAAAACAAAAGAAGTGTATAATGATGACCAGAGATTCAGTCTAAGAGGAACGTAATCTTGGACAAAAAAAAAGTGATGAACAGGGAAAAGGTAGTGATGTGGAAACAAATTGGAAACCAAATCAGTCAGCAGCACAATTACTAGAGTATAAATGGGTGAAAATTCTGTTACTACAGGGATACCATGATGGATGCAGGACCATAATAGATGAAAAAAAATAAAATGCTCAGAGTAATTAGAAGATAGTAGCCGGGTATGGTGGTACCCTCCTGTAATCCTAGCACTCAAGAGGCTGAGGCAGGAGGATTGCTGTGAGTTCAAGGCCAGCCTGGGCTACATAGTGAACTCAAGGCTAACCTGAACTACATAGTGAGATCCTATCTCCAAAAAAAAAAAGATAGTAAAATTATTCAACTATGAGCTCAATGGACAGGCATTATCAGTATAAACTAAAGGAATAGAGACCCCTGTGCTCCTGACAGTCCTCCTGCTTCAGCCTCCCAAGTGCTGGGATTATAGTTATGCCTGAGAAATCTTACTGATCAAATCAAGATGGGGTGAAATAAAAATGCTGTATTTCAAAATGCAAACAAAGACCCTTAAAAATGCCAAAAACCTCATGTTAGAAACAATAATGTTGAAAAGAATCATGTGCTCAGCTAAGTTGCCCTTGAAATAATAGATGGACATACTCAAGCCCGCAAGGACTTGAAAAATACTGTTACAATCAGTTTTATCCCCTTAGCTTAATTTAAAATAATATTATATAATTACATATATAATGCTACCTCGGTTCATGAACTTAATTTGTTCTATGATTTTGGAAAAGATAGCTATGGTTGTTTCTATTTGTCACCCAATGCAGAGTTTGCAAACAAAAGCAAAATTTTGCCAAATGCTTCTGTTTGCAAACCAAATTGTTTGCAAACAAAAGCGCCATGAACCAAGGTACCACTGTATTTTAATCATCTAGTATTTTACTATGCATATACAGTAAATACATTTGTAGAATAATGTGTATTTCTGGGTAGATTTTGAGTGAACTTATTTTGGGTGCTTATATAAAATGCTGAATTTTTGAGCGTGTGCTATTTTGATACATGATTCTTTTTTTTTGGTACCAGGGATGAAACTCAGGACCTTGAGATTGTGAGGCAGGCAGCAGAACCACTGAGCTAAATCCCCAGCCCTTGATACATGATTCTAAAAGGGTATGGAGAAGTAGAAGTTGTAATCATAGCCACTTTGTTCATTGCTCAGGTTATTGTAACATAACCTAGCATATATCTTAGTAAAACAAAGATAAGTTGAAAAAGTCATCTTAAAAGGTAACAGAAGTTTACTTTCAGTGATAGAATGCTAGATTGTTTGGCTCTGACTTCCCAGTGATAACTGGATGAAGTGTTTTTTATTGATCAAAGAAGTAACAAAAAATGATGACTGATATATATATCTAAGAAAAGGCAAAAAGCAGAACAAAGATACTTTAGTTATTCCCTCAATACTGGGACAAAATACCTGACAACCTATAACTTGAGGGAGGAAAGAGGTTTATTTTGGCTCATGTTTCGGTCTATAGTTGCTGGCTCCAAGGCAGGAAGCCATGGCGGGGGCATGGTGGACTAGAAGCAGAAAAAGTGGAGGAAGGAGCTGGGGAGGGAGACAAGCTCTTCTAGGCCACATCTACAGAACTGCTTCAGCTCATCAGACCCCACCTCCTAACTGCCAGCTATTAGCCCCCATAATCCAATCACCTTCCAAAAGTGCCACCTATGAACACATGAGGCTCTTGGGGGACATCTAGATATAAGCCATAACAAGGGACTAGCAGTCAAGACTACTTTTGCTCTAGGCAGGGACATCACTAGATTATTTGGCCACTGGGAATGACAGTCACCACTTGAAAATGAGATTGGGGCCATCCACTCCCCGTGCCCCGCCCTACTGACCTAATGAGACCTGTTCTAGCAGAAGACTGACGGGGCCTGCAGCTCTTTGGCCCACAGCCCATCGCTACAGAGTGCCCAGGGTAACTCTTCTGGTCAAGAGTAAGTCCTCACATGGGGGCCACCTGTTCCTCTTTGTCAACATTCTTGGGACCTACAGTTAATCTTCAGTATTGGCAGTGGGAATTGGCGAGCCTTTTCATCCCTACATAACAGCTCTCTTAAATTCCTCTTAAGTTCACTCCTGGTGATTCCCCAGTGCTGCATTCCCCTCCTGGGATGGCACCTACTTCTTAAGCTCTGACAACAGTCATCTTCCAAAATCCTCCTCCCCTCTCTACATAGTCTACCCTTCTCCTTCCTCCAATGTCTTAGCCTGTAAACCTAAACAGTCCTCCTTCAAGGCTTTAGGGACAGTCCCCACTTATTTGCCCAGGCTCTCAGTCACAATCTCAACCAGACTCCACCTTTGAAGAGTGAAGTGCTCTGCTATGTTGATGGTATCTTAATCTGCAGCCCCTCTCCCCAAGACTGTCACTCAAATACCTCTCTTTTTCTCCTGCAGATACTGTGCCTCACCTTCCAAGGCATAGTTAGTCCAGACCACCATGCAATACCTGGGGCTTCACCTTATACCCACCTCACAGGCCATCACAAATGATCACAAAGCTCTCATCCAATCAGTTCTCCTCACAGAGACTGCTCTTGTTCCTCAGCCTAGCTGGCGTTCTCTGCCCCTGGATCCCCAATTTTGGCCTCATAGCCAGACCTTTATAGTGCACCCCCCTAAAAAAACCCCATACCCTCATGCCCTCCCCAGCTCAGGGTATTTTTCACAGCTGCCTTCAAACCACTCGCTGTGTGATCTCAAATCACTTTCTCAGTGTTAAAAATTCCATCCCACAGACAGCTGATAGTTGGTTCATAGATTAAAAACTATTTGTAATCCCCCAGTGGGTGCCAGGTGACATATACTATTGTCTCTAACTTCAGACACACAGTAATTGAGACTCAAACACTCCCCACAAAAAACACCTCACAACAGGAAAAACAGCCCTAACCCAAACACTTACCTTGGCTTCTTCCAGGGTTTCTCAGTATACAAAAATCCCCATCACCAACAAAAGCCACATGAAAACTCAGTCAGCCATCCTGCCACTGAAGGTGGCTGTCCTCCACTCTATCCCATTGAGCCTTATAGCCCCAACAAGTCTTAGCTGACAAAACAGCTGAGCACATTGCTCTCAGCCAAACCCCAAAAGACCCCAATCACTTCATTCCTCTTCCTTGTTCCCAGATTTCAGCTATTAAACTCCACCATCCTTGGCCAGACTTCTCCCCCAGCCCTCCTGCATATACAAGCCCTGCCAAGACAACCCACAAGGCTCAGTCCCCTTCTGGCCCTATTCCTCCCACTTATTCCCTAGGAGATTACTCCCATTCATCTCAGGCCATTTGAGCCCTCCTATGAGCCAGCAAGAAAGCACAGGAGCAAGCACTCACTGACACTTTCTTCCCTAGCCTTCACTCATTATTCCCCTTCACTTCCACCCTGGCCTACAGGTCCTGCTCAGAACCCTTAAAAGGTCACTCTACATCCAACATGGGAGAGACCCTACATTGTCCTTATCAACCCCCTTCCTGCTGTCCTTTCTGCCCTGCCCTTATTATTACCTCAAAACTCAAGAATGTCAGGCTGTTCTGTTCTTCCTCCCTGCAGGTTTCTCCCAGAAAGCTACCTGTTGTCCTCTGACTCTCTCGCTCCCTGAAATTATTTGCTTTACCCCTTCCCTCATGATGAAAATTAATATCCTTTCCTCCAATCTGAACTTCGCTCCCAGAAATAATCCCTGACATCTGGCTCCAGGACACCTTTATCAAGTTCACTCTGACACAGATCAGCTTCTTCACCTTCTGCCTCCAGTTTGTTGAACCAGGCAACATGTTGCCAATGGCAAACAGTGATTTTCTTGGGCTGTTCAGTTAGTTCCTCTCCTGACAGGAATCAGAATAGCCATTGTTTTGGGCATTGGACCAGCTAGACTAAAAGTCTCTACCTTTTCTCAGCTCTCTCCAAGCAGGTTCAGCCCCACCCTCTGCCCCTGCCCAATGGCTGGCCATGCTGACAACCTCAGTTCCTGGCCAAGAACAAATAAAATTCACTGCTGTGCTGCACAAAGACTTCCTATTGCCCAAAACTCAATCCCCACCTTGACTACCATGCCATCCAGCTTGCCTGACTGAATTCCCCCTTCTTCACCATTTCTCTACCCTAAGCAGTTACCTATTAAACTCGCTAACCTGCAAGATCAAATCAACTCACTGGCTGCTGTTGTGTCCAAAACTATCAAAGCCTAGATTTGACTCACTACAAAAAGGTGGGCTCTGTGCCTTTCTCCAGGAGACCTACTGTTTCTTCACGAAGTCCGGACTCATGAGATGGTGTCAAAAGGGTGTGTGATCAAGTCACTGCCCTACAGACTTGGCCTTGTCCTGGACCATTCCTGCCTGGCTGACCACTTCCTGGAACTCCTGGCTCATACACCTTCTTGGGCCCATTGTTTCAATATTCCTCTTAAATCACATTTGCCCCATGTCTCTAGCTTCATCCAAACACAGATGTCTCAGTTCACTTCTCAAGTGGCCCCTACCAGCCCCACAAATTTGTCCCTGCTCAGCCTGAAGCAGCTTGATAACCCACACCCTCGTACTTGTTCTTGTTCTTCATTACCTTTAAAAACCTGAGAGATGATAGGTCTGACCCCTGCTAGTCCCTAGCCACCCAAGTTCCTGAACTTGGAGAAGAGTCACAGCCCATTCCTATATTCTGCAGCACCCCCAGCACGCACCAACCCTGTCTACATTGCTATGTTAAGGCACACCTGGGACAACAAAACTTTAGCTGTTGCTATGGCCACATACTCGGCTATTCTCGCTCCCCCAGTCTCATACCCCATATGGCCTCACCCCACCTAAGCCTATCCCACTAACGCCTCCAGCCTTAACCAAACAGACCCAGGTCAGTAAACTGGGCTTGGACTCTTCTTTGGAGTTACTTCAGGAGGTCCTGCATGGAACCCCGAATTTGGGCTGGCACTATGTTCTTTTTTGAGGTCATGACTGTTTACCTAACAAGTACTACTACAAGTGTAAGGAGGAAATAGTTCTAATATTAAATTTCTCCAATTAATATAAAAGACGACAACCCAACTCATTTTGTGAGGTTAACAGTACTGAAAGGGAGAGGTAACAAGCCATTAATGAACATGGTTATAAAAGTCCTAAGCAAAAATATTGACACAGTAAATTTAGCAATATTTAAAAAGATAACTGCCGGCATGAGAGTGCATGCCTGTAATCCCAGCACCCAGGAGTCTAAGGCAGGAGGATTACCACAAGTTCGAGGCCAGCCTGGACTACATAGTGAGACCCTGTCTCAAAAAGTGAAAAGATATCTGTCCAAGTTGGATTTATACTAAGAATGCAAGTTTTGCTTAGCACTGAAAAACTGATTAATGTAATTCACTGGGTTAGCATATAAAAGGAAACATCACCGTCAATATATGCAGAATTATTTTGATAAAATTCAGTGACCATTTATGAAGAACTGCAAGCTAGGAATAGAATTATCTTAATCTAGTAAAGGATATCTGAAGACAAAAATGACAATAACATACTTAATGGCAAATTAACTTTCCTTTTGGGGACAAGTATAACAAAGGAATGCTTACTATCAGCATTTTTATTTAACATTGTACTAACTGTCCTAGCTTGCTCTGGAAGGCAAGGAAAAAAATACATTCTTTGTAGATTACCATCAGCATAATCCAAAAGAGTTGACATATACAAGAGTTTATCAATACCAAGATGCATTTTAAACTTTTAATATTTTTATATCTGACATCTCACAATAGGTGGTTTGTCATAATGTAGTTGGAAGCCTTCTTAAGAACAATGGTATAGGGCTGGGGATTTAGCTCAGTGGTTCCAGTGCCTGCCTTGCAAGAGCAAGGACCGGAGTTCGATCCCTGGTACCAAAAAAAAAAAGAACAATGGTATATAAGTGGTATCATATTTGATTGTATATTGAGTCTATTAGAATACAGTAAATTTGGGGATTTAGCTCAGTGGTTCCAGTGCCTGCCTCACAAGCGCAAGATCCCGAGTTAGATCCATGGTACCAAAAAACAAAAAACAAAAAAACCCAGTAAATTGTTAGAATTTTTTAAAGTTTGACAAGGTTGCTGATGCAGTTGGTATACAAAAAAACTTCCATAAGTATATTAGCAAATGAAATTTAAAGAATTGTTAGATATAATCACAGTATTAAGGTTATGAAAAATGTTAGAAATTTGTTGAAAGTATTTAGGAATCAAATATATTTCAACAAAGGAAAAAATAAAGAGCAAAACGTTACTGTTAACATTTAGGTGATATATGAAATTTCAAACTTCCCTCTGACCTCATGTATATTTAAATTTTTTATAACAAATAACTTTGAGAAACATTACTATAAACCTTAAATGGAGAAAAATATATTCTGTTCCTGGATTGAAGATGCAATGTTGTAAAGATTTTCAAGCTAAAAATAGTCAAGATAGTTTTAAAGAAAAAGAACACAGTGGGAAGGTATCTTTACCAGATATCAGAGTTAAATAAGACCGTGTCACCTTGGCACAAGGATAGGCCATGGGTACAGAACAGAGAGCCCAGAGTGTCGGAGTTCTGGAACCAGCCATATGAAGACCTCAGGAAAAGCCCCTCCCCAGAGAGAGATTTATTATACTGGTCAAAATTAGCAAACACCATCAATTGTTCAAAGCCTCTAGAGATTCAAAAGCCTTGCAGCAAATTGAGAAACATATACTTAACAAAATCTAAGGCAGCAATGGTGAACGTTTTAGAGTTTTAAATTATACAAACAGCCTGCTGTGGCATGTGTGCCATAGGTTCACCACCTCTGATCTAAGGGATCTTGATAAGAACAATGGGAGGCGGTCACAAGGGAGCTAGAACTAGAGCCTCCTCCGTCCCCCCACAGATCCGGCCTGCATAGAGAACCTGTCCCACGAGGTCACAGAGGAACTGACATTCACACTTACGAAATACTGTATTCTACCACTAAAAGAAAAAAATGTATATTGATGAAAACAGTTCAAAAATTCAATTTTCACATAGCCACAAACAAAATTTTTAAAGTAGGTGTGTTTATAGGTCATGTTGTTAGGTCACACTCCAATAAAATTAGAAGTAATTTGAAGATGCAAAAACAACACAAAAAAAATCCTTCACTTGGAAATTAGTTTCTTAATCCTTCAATCAAATAGAAAATAAAAGCAAAATTTACAATCTATCATTAAGGACAAGGAGAATATTTCATGCCAAAATGTGTGGGGTATACAGTGTTAAGGGTATAATTACAAAAAAAGTGTAAACTTAAATATCTTTATTGTTAAGTAAGAAAGACTAAAAATAAGCCCACTGCTGCCTTTAATTAAGATTAGGAAAAGAATAAAATTTAAAAACAGAATAAGGACACAAAGTTGAAATTAATGAAAATGTTTTATATAAATCTTAAAGCTGTTATTGGTAAATGTCAATAAAAGCCTAAAAAAGGAAGCAAGAACAATGGGTAAAGTACTAATATAATTATCCTTTAGGAAGAAGGTATTGGACACCCCTGCCTCACACTATTCATAAAATATATTCTAGCTACTTTGAAGAGTTGCTGTTAATCCAGGAAAAGCCTGTAATCTTAACCATTCTAACACACAGACTTATTTGGGGTATCCCACTACCCACTGCTTCTGTTTCCTACAGATTAAAACCCTATGTCCTCTGAAATTCTTTCCCAACGGCTAATGTCCTTTCTAGCTACATAAATTTACTTTCTTACTTTCCAAATGCTTATTCCTTCTGCTCTGCAAAAGACAACAAGAGAATGAGAAAGCAAGCCAGAGAATTAGAGAAAATATTTGTAAAAGATACATCTTGTTAAAGGACTATTATATTAAATATAAAGAACTCTTAAAATTCAACAGTATGAAAATGAACAATCCAATTAAAAACAGACTTTGAACAGGCATGTCCTGTCACCATAGACAGCAAACAAGTATTTGATTTTTAAAAATGTAAAAAAAATTTTTTTTGGAGACAGGGTCTTGCTGTGTCATTCTGGCTGGCCTTGAACTCACTATGTAGTTCAGGCTGGCCTCAAGCTAATGGATTAATAATCATTAAAGTTGTAATCCTCAGGTTCTTGAGTGCTGGGATTACAGGCTTGCGGCTACCCACATGGCACAAATAAGTATTTGAAAAGACATTCAACGTCATGTCATTAGGGAGTTGTGTATTAAAATGAGACACCATTATACACCCATTAGAATGGTCCAAATCTAGAAATACAGTACCAAGTTCTGAAAAAGATGTAGAGCAACAGGAACTCTTATTGTTGGTGGGAATACAAAATGGTACAGCCACTTTGGGAAGCAGGGGTTTTCTTGTTTGTTTTGGTGATACTAGGAACTGAATCCAGGACCTTTGCACTAAGTTAAACCCCTGGCCCTTTAAAAAAAATGTTTATTTTGAAGACAAGGTCTTGCTAAATTGCCCATGCTGGGCTGGAACTTGCTATCTTCCTGCTCAGCCTCCCACACTGCTGGGATTATAAGCATGTATCACCGCACCTGGCTGGAAGGCAGTTTCTTATAAAACATACTCTTATTAAATGATCCAGCAACTGGATTATTTGGTATTTTGAAAACATGGACACAGGAACCTGCAAATTGAATTGGGGGTGGGGGGGGGTTACCTGGAATCGAACTTGGGACCTTGTGTTTTCGAGGCAGGCGGTGGCACCACTGAGCTAAATCCCTGGCCCTGCACATTGATATTTATAGCAACTTTATTCATAACTGATAAAACTTGGCAGCAACCAAAATGTCCATCAGTAGTGAATAAACTATAGTACATCCAGGCAATGAGAAATGAGCTGTCATCTCATGAAAGATGTGCAGGAAACATAAATACATATTTCAAGTGAAAGAAGCCACTACAAGAAAGCTACGTACTGTGATTCCAACACCATGACATTCTGAAAAGGGTACAACCATAGAGACAATAAAAAATACATGGTGGCTGGGATGGTGATGGGTGGAGGAGGGACACAAGGTAGAGCACAGGATTTTTAGGGTAATGAGACTGCTCTGTGAGATACTGTGGCACATCCATTTGTCCAAAACCTTAGAATGCACACCACCAAGAGTGAAGGCAATGGAAATATGTAAATCATGGCCTTTGGGTGACAATGCCCTCTCAGTATTGGGTCATAGGTTGTAACAAATGTACCATTCTGGTGCAGGATGTTCATGATAGCAGTGGGGGGGGGGCATATGGGAACTCTTATTTTTCCTCAGTTTTGCTGTCAACCTAAAATTGCTCTAAAAAATGTATAAAATAAAATAAACTGTTAGAAATTCTCGGCCGGGGATTTAGCTCAGTGGTTCTGCCGCTTGCCTAGCAAGCACAAGGACCTGAGTTCGATCTCCGGTACCAAAAAAAAAAGAAATTCTCAACACTCTTCTCTCAAATTATCCTTAACTCTCTATTGCCAGTCACTCACTGGAACTATCTGTATGGCACTGAGACTCAGGCAAACAGTTTGCCTGTGATGAGCGTGAGTTTTGGGGGGTTTTTTTCTGTACCGGGGCTTGAACTCAGGATCTTGAGATTGTGAGGCAGGTGCAGCACCACTGAGCTAAATCCCCGGCCTAAGAGTGAGTTTTAAGCTAACCTTCCCCACTACCTTGGAAAGGACAGTTCCACACCCAGCTGTTTCCTTACTTCTCATCCAAGCCTCAGGGTGGTGCATTAAGATTAAGCGAATTCAATGCACGAAGCAGTACTGGTCAGGAAGGACTAACCATATTTACTGTTTTGAGATCAGTATATTCTTATTCCTAAAAATCACCAAAGAACATTATGATCTATATTTTGTGTATTATCTTAGAACAAACCTGGATAGAACTGGGAGAACAGGTACTTTTTCTGCCTCTATACAGTCATGTACTCAGCACGTTAGCAGTTCAAAGTTTATGTTTGCTCTAAGGTCCTATAGAAAATGAATTCTAGCATCTTGGAAGTCTTACAGTGTAGCATAAAGTTACTGTGTTATGGCAATGCTGTGGTTCCTGCTAGTAGCTTTCAAGTCAAAAATTCTTAGCCTACTTATTACTTGTTGTTTTTCAACTTAATACAGTTTTTTAAAAACCTCAAAACTGGGCCGGGGATTTAGCTCAGTGGTTCTGCTGCCTGCCCCGCAAGTGCAAGGACCCGAGTTTGATCCCCAGTACCAAAAAAAAAAACCCCTCAAAACCAAAAACTCAAACAGATGAATAACTAGCAATTGCATCTGATCCAGAACAGGTGAGCCCAGGATGATATTCCAAAGTTCTCTTCATATCTGAAAAGAAATAACCCCAATTTTAAAAAAGACAAATATTTAATATGTATTCTGTACAGAATGGGTACAAATATCACTTCAAAAATATTACAGATTTTTAATCACCCCAACAAATAATCTCTGCTGCTTTCCTTCTTCCCCAAAATGACTTCATTATAAAATGAATGACTTAATGGATTACTTGGCTTATACTCTTATACATCTCCAGGAGGATCTTGTTAAATATCTTGAGCTTCTACAACTTTAAGCTTTTACAGAAATTGCTTGGGCAAATACCCTAATTTCAATCATGTACCAAAACAAGTTTTAAAAATCGGCAAGAAGTCTGAGAAGATCACATTATAAAAGGGACAGTACTTAGGGTCAGAAACAGTGTTGAGCTATAAAGTACTGTGCCTAAACACTCTGCAACTGTATCATATTATAGGGCAGTAGTGAACAAACCCCAAGGTCACAGGAAGAAGGCCTTGTGGCAGCACAAAGATAGACCAAAAATGAAAAGCCACAGAATGAAATCCCCTTGATGGCAGCTCCTTACAGTCAAGGTTCCTCAGTTGACTCTCCTGCTAACTTGGGAAACCTTCAAACTAGTAAGCACTGATTTAAAAAACAAGTAAAGCTATTCTAATTGTTCTCATTTTTAAGAGAAACTAGTGTGAGAACCATACCTAGTACCAACTCAAAATGTAGTCTGTGTTGTTCATTAAATTTGAACATCCATGATGAAATACTTTTTTTTTTCAGTCTTGCTGTGTAGTTCAGGCTGGTCTTGAACTTTCAACAATACTCCTGTCTTAGCCTCCTGAGTGCTAGGATTACAGGAGTGCACCACTATGCCAAACAATACTTGTTCAACTCTTAATGTTAAACTCGTTGTAATTTTATCTTCAGTTCTATTCCTGATTGTACCTGTCAGTTGAGATTCTCTAAGCAACCCATCTTGGCCTCCCTCAACTCTTTATATAATTTTTCTTCTCTCTATAACAAACACAAGAGGTGAACAATGTAATCCTTTAAAATACATTAAGTGCCACAGAAGGTACTGATCACCTAAATCTTTTGTAACTGGTCAATTATGCCTATTATCTCTTTATGTCAGTGAGTCAATATTTCTTTTCTCTTTTATCAATTTTCACATTAAATGAGATATAGGAAGTTGTTTTTGAGTGCCGGATTTAGGTAACTTGTCATATATCTGGATGATGACAATGAAAATGAATTCTGAAATCCCAGAGGTCTGACTGGTAACAAAGAATGGTACATCCCAGGCAAGATGACTGTGACCATACCAGTGGTTAGCATTTCAGACAGGAGTCCCCCTAAGTCCATCCAGGACAATATGGCATCATTCATGAAAGACTGAAATAGAGCAGGAGGCACAAGATTTGCCTGTGAACTTATTAGCCAAGATACTATATCTGCATCAAGTTGGTTCTAGACCTTGTAACATTTTAAAAGTGTACAACACTATGATAATACCTTTTTCAATACCTGAATAGGTGAGAAGTGGTGCTGGAAACATGTAGGAAAAATGTATAGGTAAAAAAAAAAGAATTCAGTAACCATACAGGCATTCTGCCCCAGGGATCCTTATATACGCGGCTATGCAGTGCATTTCTTCCTGAAGCCATGGCCAGATAGATGAGGCTAAAACAAATATTCTTCAGATTATAACAATGAAAATATTATGTGCCTATATGAGTCTGTATCTTTATGGGATATCTAAGGGGAAGAAAAGAGTCTATGAGACTTCATTTAATAAGGGTGGGATGGTGGATACAAATTAGTTGAAGAAGCACACCCCATAACTCAAGATGACAACAATTTATAAGGCAGGAAATGGCTGAGACCTGGTACCAGAGTCTTTAGTGCATTTAAACTGAGGGTGGACTAATAGTATATGCTTTAGAACCTGAACAGTATACAACCCCAGCTCCCACAGGATTCACACACAAGCTAGGTTCACATACATGTACAGTCATCCCTCAGTAATCCAAAGGGGATTGGTCTCAGAGTACCCGTAGATACCAAAATCCACAGATGTTCTAGTCTTACATAAAACAGTATTGTCTTTGCATAGAACCTAAGTATTTCCACCTGTACACTTTAAATCATCTTTAGATGACTTATAATCCCTAATATATGTAGTGTAAATGCTGCACAAATAGTTGTTATGCTATAATGTCTAGGGAATAGTGACAAGAAGTCTCTACATGTTCAGTACAGATGCAGTTGTTTTATTTTTAATCAGCAGTTGGTTGAATGTATTAATGAGGCGTGTGAAGATATGAAAGACTGACTACATAAATAAGCACAATGGCTCAAGGAAATGTAGGGTCTAGTCATTTGGTTGACCTAGTTTCCACTTCTAACTGACTTTTTAAACCTGGTTTAGCTGAGCATGGCAGTGCATGCCTGTAATCACAGCTCTCAGGAGTATGAGGCAGGAGGATTGCTGCTGAGTTCAAGGCCAGCTTGGGCTACATAGTGAGTTCAAGACCAGCCTGAACTACATAGTGAGACCTTGTCTCAAAAAAAACCCCAAACAAAAAAAAAATTAAACCTGGTTTAAAGTAGGCCAGTAACAGCTCTTAATATTCCCAACTACTTTTAATGTCATCCTTTATGCATAACCTTCCAGCGGTTCACCAGAGAGCTATTCCAAATCTGTAAAATACAAAGAAAATTAAAAACAAAAACCCACCACATACACACATAAACTGAATGACCATTTAAAATTCACCATAAAGGAGAGAACTTGGGCCTTATCAGCTAAACTTCCTTCCTTAAAATTCATACAGAGTGTAACAGGAGGATCTCATTCCCTCTAGAGCAAACTTAAAATGTATGAATCTTAAAGAAAACATATTTTGATGGCTGAATAATAATCTTACTGAAGAAAAGGCTCAATTTTTTTTTTTAAACACAGATGCACAAATGGTTTTTCAGTGTGCCTTTGTTTAAATAGATGTTTTTTTCGAACCAATCAAGCAATGTCTAAAGAGAGGAATTGTACAATTGTACAAGGAAGGCTTCAGAATCCATTGGTCATGTTTTTGCCAGTGGGTCAAACACCTGCAGTGTTGTTCTCTTGTCTTTGTCACTGATAGTCACCCAGTGGTTAAAGGCTTTCCCCCCATGGTCTGAGAGCAGCTGCTCCTCGGCAACAGAAGTACTGAGCTGCACTGGGTCTGTCTGTGCCCTCTCAGAGCTTCTGGCTTTGGGGCCCAAAGGGTCAGAGCTCTTGGAAAGCCAGGCATTATTCAATAGTTTAGGGTGGTGGAGAAGGTTCCAGAAGGGGTCCTGATAATCTCCACCAAGGGAGGCTGCTCCTGGCTTCATTACCCTGGGGCCATTAGTTTCAGGGCTTGGGGCAGATGAAGTGCCTAGAAAATCCACTTGTGGGAAGAGAGTGTCGGTTTCCAGCTGGGGTCCCGGTGAACACCTGCCCCCATCACTGCTGGCTGGGAGGCCCTGGAGAAGCTGGCTGTTGCTCTGCAGGACCTGTAGGTGGAAAGCAGCTGGTGCAGATTTCTTCCTTCTTGGGGGCACCTTGGGCACCAGAGATGGGACCTCTGGAGCGGGCAGCATGGTGGCTTCTGCCACAAGAGGGGCTTCATCTGGTCCTGGCTTTCCCCTGCTGGGCCTTCTCTCCACATCTTTCCTGGGCTGAAATGTTCTCGGCTTGGGAACAGGAGGGACTCGAGGGGGTGTCACTGGAGGGGGTGTTTCAAGGCTTGTCTCTGGGGGCCCGACTGTAAAATGGATAGGGTTTTCCTCAGACTGTTCTTCCAGTGACGTGGGCTGAGAAAGGTAAGATAGAGGGTCAATGAGGAGGCAGCACTTAGGATGCCAAGACACAGAGACACTCAGTGGTCAGCAGGGATCGGAGATGGATGGAGACAGAGTGGACATTCTGCCCATTTGGGGCTGGAGAATGTTTGGGATGCCGGAAATGTGATCAGGTAGGAGAAAGCACAGGGCATGCACATACACACTGGGCAGACCAACAAATCCAATGAAAGATGAGTGGGGCCTCAGTGAGTCACTGGAGACAAAGCTGCCTCTGGTACCTTAGGAAATGGGGATGCAATCTTCCTTTATGCAAAGCAAGCCTCTCTGAAAACATTCTTTGAGTGGCGGGCTTGGCAGATAATTCACATGCGAGGGTGAAGTAACTTATAGCATGAAGCTAACTGAAGGGCTAATGGATGTACCTTGTCTTTGAATCTTTTATATGTAAATATAGAAGAGTGGAGAACTTTACACAGGGGCTTCACTTCCTTGCTTTATTCAAAATATCCCAAAGCAAAAAACCACACAAGAGAAATGAAGCTTTTGCATGGAAGTGCCTATCAGTAGTTAGTGTTTCATTATTCTCTTTGGCTCCTTAAGAAACATGAAAAACATACTCCCTTCTACACCAGCTTTGTGGCCTAACAACCTGCAGCAAGTTAGGAAAATGAATCCATTTCTGTCCTTTGCATTTTGAAGAAAAGACGAAGTGCAGGAAAGAGGAGAACAATGGAGGTCCATTTTACAAGAAGCCATGGAAAATGGACAGCTGGCAATTAACCAACGTGGAACAAGTGCCACCCAGAAAACACAAAGCAAGCCCATGAGGAGGGACACTCCAGAGCAACCTCAGACTGTCCACAGGCAGAAAAGCAGCAGGCATTCTGCGATGCCCAGGCAGGGATTACCGAGTGTCCCGTTCCTAGAACTGAGATCAAACGGAAGATCCGGATGTGTCTATAGGTGCCAGTCTTTGGGCAGCTACTGTCCTTACAAACTCATGTCTTTGATGCAGTAAGCAAGGCTGAGAAGCTTGAGAGCGAGAGCAAAAAACAATCTGCAAGAAAAGTGGCAAGGAGAGCTGTGGGACCTTCACAGATGGCAGTTGCAGGACAGCGAGCAAATCTGCTAATCTAGAAACTGGTTATGATCTTTCTAATGCACATGAGATCTGTACATGTAAAACCACATGCACACCACACACACCACGCATGAAGGACAGCTCTGGACCACTTGGGAGAGTGCATCCCACAGCAAGGAAGCACAGTCCCTCCAAGCTGCCATTGTCACAGTAAACCTGTGAAAGTCAGCTTGTTGCTCCTGCTCAGCTGGGGCCAAGATGCAGTACGCAGGCCAGGAATAAAGTGGCTGTCAGAGGAACTGATTTCCTCAAAGACGTGGCTGGGTCTGGGACTCAAGGTAGTAGGTGGAGAAACCAAATTCAACTAGACTTTTGTCTATGAGATATAATTTTAACTAATGGTCCATTTGAGTAAGTTTGGAGTCAGATGTTCATGCTTCTGGGGTCTTACCTTTCCTGTCCTCCTTAACATTGGCTTCTTGATGGCAGGAACCCTGGGTGCTGGGCGACAGGGCAAGAGTGGGGGTCCCAGGGAGGGCTCTGGTTTGGAGGACCCTTGGTCCCTCAGGGCTGTGGCATTTACAGCTTCTTCTGGAGTGCCTGGAACATAAAAATCCTGTGGCTCAAGTATGAGGATGAGGCAGTCCATTGCATGATTTAACTTTTGGACAAGATAATATCTTACTGATTCAATGTAATCCTTTTTTTTCCCCCTTAAAACAAAAATCCTTAAAGATTGTCTGGACCAACCAGCTAGGTCCAGCTCCAGCTTTTCAACCTCATCATCTCAACAGGGGTGAGGACCTGAGCTCTATGCATGGTCCTGATGGGAGATCAGTGAGGCCCTGATGCACATGCAAAGCTTCCTACATAGCTACACTTCTCAAGGCAGAAATATAATGCATCAAACCCCCAATGGGCCCACGATCAAGAAAATGTTAAGCTGGGATTGTAGAAGATTTCAAACCTCAAACCACTACTAAAATCTACATCTCTAGAACCTTTTTAAAAAACCAGCTTTATTAAAACATGAGCCTCTATCTAGAATATATAAAGAACTGAAAAAAATCAGACACCCCAAATTCAAAGAGCCAATTCAAAAATGGGCATCTGAAATGAACAGACATTTCTCAGACAAAGAAGTAAAAGCAGCAAACAAATATACAAAAAAATGTTCAACATCACTGGTTATTCGAGAGATACAGATGAAAACAACACTTGAGATTCCACCTCACCCCAGAAAGAATAGCTGCTATTAAGAAATCATCTAACAACAAATGCTGGCGGGGGTGTGGGGAGAAAGGAATCCTTCTCCATTGTTGGTGGGAGTGCAGATTGGTGCAACCACTGTGGAAATCAGTATGGAGATACCTCAACGAACTAGGCTTAGAGGTCCCATTTGACCCAGCTATTCCCCTGGTGGGTATCTTCCCAAAAGAATTAAAAGAATCTTACCACAGCAATATATGTGCACCCATGTTTATAGCAGTACAGTTTGTAATAGCTAAAGCTTGGAAATAGCCCAAGTGCCCATCAACTGGAGACTGGATAAAGAAGATGTGGTTTTTGGGCCGGGGATTTAGCTCAGTGGTTCCGCCACCTGCCTCACAAGCCAAGGACCTGAGTTCGATCCCCAGTAACGGAAAAAAAAAAAAGATTTTTTTTTTTAATAAAATGGAGTACTACTCAGCCATAAAGCACGAGAAACTACAGACATTTATAGCTAAATGGATGCATATTGAGGCCATACTCTTAAGTGTAATACATAGGACACATATATGTGAATACCGAATAGTTTCTCTAGTGTGAGAAACTGGAAGTATAATTAAGGATACACACGGATGAAATGGCCTAATAACATATTTCTTGGATTGTGTTTGCATCATGTGTCATATGACTGTATCAAAATTTAAATTAGGGAGAAGCTTGGCTTATGTGGAGTCTGCTAACTGGAGTTTTTTTTTTCAGGTCATTATTTGTTCAGTGTTGGTTTGGGGACCTTTCTGAAATAAATCACATCCCCTGGTGTCTTGTTGTTGCTTGAGATGCTTTTTTAAGTTATATGGAAAACTGTTTAAGTGCTTTTCAGTTTTGTTTTGGTTGAGTTCTACTGTATTTGAATATTATTGTAGTTTTTTCCCCCTTGCATTGTTCTTCTTTGTGTGGTTTTAATTTTTTGTATGTATGTGTTTGATAATAAAGTTCTTTAAAAAAATGAGTCACATACCATAAAATTCACCCACTTTAAGTGTACCACTCTGGTTTTTAATTTACTGTATTTGGAAAATTACACAGCCACTACCACTATCTAATTCCAGAACACTTATATTATACCAGAAAGAAACCCTGTACTTATATCAGTTGCTTCCCATACCTCCTCCTTTTAGTCTGGACTCTAATAGCTTTCTGATTCAATGGATTTCCCGATTCTTGACAATCATGTAAAGAGAATAATAAAGTATGTGGCCTTTTGTGTCTGACTCAGTGTAACATTCTCAAAGTTCATCCACAATGTAGCATGTATCAGTACTTTCTTTTTATGGCTGAATAATATTCCATTGTATAGATATACCATATTTTATCTATCAGTTGATGGACAAGTCAGTTGTTAAACCCAGTTTTATTTTTTTTTAAGTTTTTTTCCAGTTTTATTTTTTTAATTAAAAAATTTATAGTGTATAATCCTACAACAGTGTTTCTCAGGCTTCTAACTCATGCTGTCCTTAAATGTTATTTGAGAATTCCAAGTAGGTTAAGTCCACTGGCTAAAAGCAAATTACGTGATTGTAACTGCATATGCCTTTTCAAAGTGCATAATCTCACCTCTTTTTACAAAAGAGATACTGGTACAAAGCCAAAACCAAAACAACAAATGTTAGTTAGCAGTGATTGTGAAGGAATGGAGGAGATTCCAAGGCAAAACAAGGTAGCATGGGTTAAGTGAAGTAACAGCAATAAAAAATTAACAGGCAGTGAGGTCCCTGCCTGATGGGACAGAATTCATGTATGCTTGCCAGTGAATTACAGTAAAGATTTTGTGCCTGAAATAAGGACACACAACCCAATTGCCTCTTTTTAATGGAGCTGGTAGAGTGAGTTGGTAACTGTAACATTAACCTTTTAAAACATTAATTTATTTTTTCCTTAAAAGCTGCTTAATCCTGGGATTATTTTATATACTTATTGAATTTCAAAGAAATAACTTTAAATGGACAATAAATCTAAATAAATTGTTATTACAGGGTAGTTTTATTTAATTCTGCCTCCAAAAATATTACATTCTTTTCTAGACCACTTTTGGTGGGAGGATGAAAAGGAGTCAGTTTTTCCTCAGCCAAGCAGGAGAATCCCAAAGCCCACCTACCTCCTCTGGCCTCCAGGAGACATCGGATTGCTGCTTCTGCCTCCTGAGCATTGGTGGTTTTGATCTGCTTGACATTGTAAGGTTTGCTTATTCCAGTTCTAGCTTTGGGCTTCAGGATAGAATTTGGAAGAAAAATCTATTAACACAGGTAGAAGACAGCCTTCATGGCGCATTCACCATCTGTTGGTCTGCACAGGTAGGGTGGTTGGTATGTGAGTGCAAGGTGCAGAGTCCCATCAAATGGTGACAAAAACACACACAGAGTCTAACCCACATCTCTTAATTCTCTCCTCCCTGGAGCACTCTCATTCCAAGAGGAATGCAGTGATGACCTTCATCTCCCAAATGAGGTGGTAACAGGTTTTTGCAATGTGGAGAAATCTACCTTTTATCTTCAAAAAAGCTGGACTGCACAATCAGAGTCACACTTTTCATGGCCTAGTTGAGTACTGAAATGCTGTCCAGATACATTTTCCTTAAAAGTGCATTTTCTACCTCTTTACCCTGTGTCTCGGGCATCTCTGAGGACTCACCTTCATCACTGTAGATGACTGGCATCCGATTGACCCCTTCACCTGCTGTGAATGCATGCACCTGCCTGGCCCAGCTCTCCAGTGTGCATCTGGTTTCCTGGCCCAGCAGCACTGGGCTTCCTGCCCATCACCTCCTCTCTGAGCCCTCTGTGTCCCCATCCCTGCCTCTGGTGTCCTCATGATGGTTACTCTTGCTGGGCTCCTCCACTCTGTTCTTTAGGTCCAGAATGTCTCTCTTTAGCCTCTTCTCTAACTAACCATGATCATCATTTTCTTATGACTGACCTGAATTTCTACTGTTCTCCCTTCTACCTATCAATGATCTGTAGACAAAGGGGAAAAGCCAGACTTAAAAGGAGAGAAACAGAAGCATCTGAAAGCATTTCTGCCTTGCAGGATCCTTGGGATCATTCATCCAAACCAGCTTTCTCTAGAGCCACTTAGCCTGCAGAGGGGCTGCTAATCAGCGTAGGATTGGGAGAAGGCTGTCGAGACTCAGAATACAGGATTGATCTACTATCCCCTGAGAAGATGCACTCCCATGTGGCCTCTGGGTTAGGCCCCTTGGGTGTGAAATGCTGACTGGCTTCCTTGGCACCAAACACAGACTCACCGGTTGTTGAGGTGCTCCTGGCAGAGGTTTTGCTGCCTGCAAAATCGAATACTGCCCATGGGTGCCGGAGGAGATGGACACATCTGAAGCTGACTTCTTCACCATCAAACCAGCTGTAAAAACCCAAGGAGGGCAGAGTCTCATCTGTAGCAATGTCACAGCTGGCCTGCCAGCTGCAAGAAGCCCTGGGAGGTGGCTGTGCAGACAGATGTGGCTGTGCTGAGGCTGGAATGTTCAGAGTGCAGGCCTTTGGAGGACTGCTACAGGTTCTTCTGAGGCTGGGCGCAACTCAGTGGAAAAGTGCCTGCTGAGCATGCATGAGGCCCTGGGTTCCACCCCCAGTACCATGCCTCCTCCCCCAAAAAGTTTCTCTTTTGATTCTCTTGTGGCCTGGCCTTCTAATGTAGATCCTCTGGAGAAGCAGGAATTGAGGGAAAACTGATTCTAATCAGATATAAAAACTGATTTTTAAGTGTCTTAAAACACTATTTTTTAAACACACTACTACTATTATTAGAACCAATTTTTAAAAATGTTTTGGAGGAAAACAAAAATTTTAAAAATCCCAAATAGAGAAATAAACTATTTTACATTATGCTTATAGCCATTAATAAGTCATCTTTGAGAATTTTTTTTCCCTGGTATTGGGGATCAAACTTAGGATCTTGCAAGGTGCTGCACCACTGAGCTAAATTCTTGGCCCATCTGTGAGAATTTTTAATGACACAGAAAATATGACACATTAAGTGAAATGTAAATGACTTCACAAAATGGAAATCAATTTTGTCAAATTTTTGAAAATTATGTGTAGTTATAGACATACGTAACTGGAAGTTTTTTGGTTAAAAACTACTATCTGGAGGTAGTCAAGTGAATTTTAAAATCGATTTTTCTTTATAGTTCTCTATAAAAATCTTCACAATATGTGATGTAGAAATTTTATCTTAAAAGAACAAAATAAAAAATAGATACTAGGAAGTAGGGAGATGGACTGGTCTCAGCTGGGAAGGGGATCAGGAGATGAGGGGTGGAGAAGGGACCAATAAGGAGCTGGGGTGCGTTATGTACATATAGACATGCACTGCCAGCATGTACCAGAAAGAGGAGCGAGGAACGGAGGGGCGAGGGAAAGGGAATATGTGAGAAAAGGAATGAAGATGTCTTATGTGTATGTACCAACTGCCCATAAGGAATGTAAACATTATGTACTACACACATGTACTAATAAACTAAAATAAAAATAAAAACTGATGTGAAATTTACATACCATGTACAGAATACATACATTTCCAGTGGACCTATCTATGGATTTTTATAAATGCATGTATACTAACAAAATAAATTTTATATTAAAAATTTTTGTAGTACTAGGGATTGAACACAGGAACTTAAGCATGGCAGTGGGCAAGTGCTCTACCACTGAGCTATTTCCCAGACCTCTTCAAAATTTTTTGTTTTGAAATAAGGTCTCATTGTTCCAGGGTGGGTTTGAACTTGTGATCCTCCTGCCTCGCCCTCCCAAATAGCTGAGATCACGGGAGCGCACCACCAAGCCCAGCTAAATTTTATTTTTACATTCTTTTTGTTTGTTTGTTTGGTTTTTTGTTTTTTGGGTTTTTTTGGTACTGGGGATCGAACTCAAGTCCTTGCGCTTGCACAGCAGGCGGCAAAACCACTGAGCTAAATACCCGGCCCTATTTTTACATTATATTTTCTTTTGCTTTCTGAGTATAACTTTGGAAAAGCAAAAGTATGCTTCAAAAAATTATGTACTTCTAGGACTGGAGGTTTAGTTCAGTGGTTCTGGCATCTGCCTAGCAAGTCCAAGGTCCCGAGTTCAATCTCTGGTACCAAAAAAAAAAAAAAAGTTACGTACTTTTTGGCTTGTCATAGATTTTTATTGGGATGGTAGGCATAGCAAACTCAATTCTGAAAGTCATGGCTTAGGAAAACTGATGTCTGACTGTGGCACTTTTGGGGGGAAGAAGTAAACTGTGGTAAAATATAAACTGAAAAGTGAAGCAACTTTATTTTCAGGTTATTAAGGCAAGTTTGACAGGATATGCGTTGTCTGAGAGCTAGAAGAAAACCACCTTGGTATGTGACTCAGGCTAGGGCAGGGCTTGTTTCAGGGGTGAGGCCCACGAGGGACAGGAGGCCATTACGGTGACTGGGTTAGAGACATGCAGGGTAGGGACCTGGAATGACCAGACTGCTAAGCAGCAGGGAGAGATCTGGGTGCGGTCAAGGAAGGAAGTGCCTGCCTCTGACAAACTTGTGAGAAGTCCCTTGGGGAGCTGCAGCCCCAACTTTCAACCCTAAAGGTTTGGGCAAAAGCAGAGCTGTGTAAGGACTCGCTTGATCTGCATGAAAAACACAGCCACTTCTGATATCAGACACATCCTGGATTTGCGTCAAAAACGAGCCCATGGCAAGAAAAAGCATGGTGGGAACTCAGTGGTGGGAAGAAGCCTGATTAGTGACCCTTGTTCAGTAGCAGGAGCTGTGCAGTTATTCCCAGCAGGCATCATGGCAAAGCTGCAAGCACGCGAAGTCTTACTTGGAGGGGGTGGCCTCTGTGGCGGGTGAGGTGGCCGAGGCCTATTGGGAACCGATAGAGACCTGCTTGGAGAACGGTGGCGGAAATCCACAACGGCTTCCAGCTCCTGCTTTAACTCCACCAGGTCAGCATCGTCTGGGGGACACGGCAGGTGTGAGTAGGATCATCTCCCAACGCGGCTCAGACCTGGGTCTGCACAGAAGCTGAGTGCAACAGGCAGAGCTGCTGCGGGACAGCTGAGGGCCGGGTTGGGGATGGCATCCCTTTCTGCTCAGGTGGGGACACCCCATGCCTGCTTGGAACATTGAGTGAACTGTGCACAAGGCCTCTTTCCTTCTCAAATTATCAACGGGACTTCCACAGAGGTGACAGTGGAAACCACAATCCCTCAAGATTTCCCTGACCACAGGGAAGACAACTGGTTAATTCCTTAATCTAAAATGCAACCTCTGTTGGAAGTTGAGAATATTTGCCCTCCTATGACAGTGTTCTCCAATGCCAAGCTCCTAAATACCAGAAACCTCTGCTAGCCACCCCCTGAGCACCACTGTGAATGGCCATGAGCACCCCTTCTTTTTTTGGAGATAAAGTCACACTCTATAGCCCAAGCTACCCTTAAACTCACAATCCTCCTGCCTCAGCCGCCTGAGTGCTGGGATTACAGGCATGCACCACCATGCTGGGCTTCAAAATCCCTTCTAAGAAGCCAAAAGGGACACTTGGAAATGCTTGTTTCTGTTTTACATATAAACCCAGGACAGTTACAGGTCTGCTTTCCCACATGGCAACATAGCCCTTTTCACTTCATCTTGGCTCAGCTACCCTGTTCCTCAAATCCAACAGGTCAATCTCATGTAGGGTCCAGAGGGGGCTGGCACTGGGGAGACAGAGGGATTCCTTCTCAAAGGAATGGCTAAACACCTCCCAGCATCGAGGAGTTGTTCTCTCGATGCCTGCCAGCGGCCAGGCCTGTCCTGGCACCCTGTTGCTCTATCAGTTTCTTCATTCAAGAGACATTTGCGCTCTTGGCTGCCCTGGTCTCCAGAGGCTGCCCGATGATAACCACCCCCAGAGAAAGACTGCCTCTCCTGTGAAAAGCAGAGGCCTTCAGCCACTTCCATGCCAGTGCTGGGGGATGGCTGAGAACACACAGAGCCACCCCAACACTAATGGAGGCTGCTTCTCCTGCCCTGGGCAGCACCCCCCAAACCTAGCTATGCACTGTACCCACCCAGGAAGTTTCATGAAATGCCAGAGCGCCGGCAGCCCTTCTTACCCCTGCCCAACCCAAGGCCTTAAGGCAGGGCTCAGCAATCTATACATCTGGAGGGTCCAGATGGTTCCAGACAGGCAAGCCACAGGTTGGTTGAGGGTTCCAGGGGGCCCTGTTTGGGGTCTTGTTATGTGGTCCCAGGGGCACAGGAGTCTATGTACCTCTCCCAGCAAGGCACCTCCCTGAGAAACACTGAATGCACTTACAGTCCTGTTCTCTGCCCTAGCCCCAGCTGAAAGGTCCCTACACCTGCAGGTGAGTGCAGCCCCTCACCAGGGACACAGTGACCAATGGCAGGTGGTGTTTGTGGATAGAATAGCATCAATTTAGTCTAAGGCTGAAATGTGAATTACTTTACTTCCCAGCTATGTAAAGCTACTGGATTTTCAAGCTTACTCAAAAGAATTACTCTGCCATTTCATCCAGGGGTATTCAGTTCATGCCACATGACCCTTTAGTTCCTTTTAAGGTTAAAAGGATATAATGGATGCCACTGAATAATATGACTGCATAAAATATAGTATTGTGTGGATGAATGCATCAGGATATAGCTATTGGATATCTCTTAAGGAATTGAATCAGAAAAGTGTCAGAGAAAAAAAAATCACAAATGTAAAACCAGTTGAGAATTGTGGCCCCTTGAATACACACAGGAAAGAGGAATGCAGTAGTCTATCAGGGTAGAAGTTGTAAAGAAGAAATGAAAGACCCAGTGGAAATCAGCATGTGGTGGCTGGAGTCTTGCCTAGAGCCTGGTTCTACATTCTATGCCTTCCCAGCTGGGCCTCTCCGGGACCTGCACGCCCATGTGATGGATGAAATGACATTCTGTCCCAAACCTGGTGAGAAAAGGAGGCCACGCTACCTTTGTATGTCGGACGCTGCTTCTTTTTGATCAGGGCAGGTGACTTGCTGGCAGGTGCCACTGCTGTGAAGCTGGGGGCATCAGGAGGATCATCTCCCCCCAGTTCACTGTCTGAGACCACAGGCTGCCTGAGTTCATCCACTAAATAGTCTTCGTCATCTTCTAGAACATCCCCTTGAGGAGGAACGCATCACAGCGAGGGTGAAAACAATTCCAGTTCAGTGGCCCTGCCTTTCAGGGAGGTCACCGTGGCACATCCCCAGCGGGCATGTCACCAGAGCCAGCTCCCCCCATTCACCCTCCCAGCTCCAACAGCCTCCGAGCTACTGTTAATGTAGTACTGGATGTGCCCGGGTCCCTCTACCATTTCCTGCACCATCCCACACACATGTGCACTGGACCACGGGAAGTGATCCTCACCCACTACGGGGATGTGATACTCGCACTCTAACCATTCATCACCTCTGCAAGGCAGGGTTTCAGGAGGGGCCTCCGAAATTGCCTGCTACTGCTAGAGAGCTGCTTCCTGCCTCTCCTGCAGATCACTAACCTTCTGACTCATAGTCCAAACTCGTGAAGTCGAAGTTTTCCTCCAGCAAACAGGAATTGGCAGTGGGGGACACGGGAGCCATGCTGTCCCGTTTTCGAATGAGCTCCTCTCGCAAACCTTTCAGCCAGTCTTTCGTCTTGGGTCTAATCTTCACCGCTCTGCCTTTCACCTGTGAGGGCGGCACAGCAAGTGGGAACAATATTAAGGTCACCACAGCTCCCCTTGGTCACAAAGTGCTTCTCTACAACCCATGTACAGTTGCAAGGCCTGTCTCTACATTGTACTAAGAAAAACTGAGGGTCCAGACCCCAGGCAGGATCAGCACAACTTCCACACATTTGGTCTAAATAAAAGTTGAAACTATCATTGCCAGTATTTCATTCAATGCAAATTTAAAACCAAGGTTTTATCAAAACAGAATCTATGGGAAGTGTTTAACTTTCTTTACATTTGTACGGGGGCTCACAGCTAAGAGTTTGCCTTAAATCTCAGAGAACAATTTGGATTTGGACATTTCAGCAATGCTGAAACTATTAGGACACTGGCAACTCTTAGAGACGGCTAAATGCCTTTTGCATAAAGGGATGTGCATTTTTGGAGCCGGGGTGGAATGTTATGGTTTGTATCTAGATGTCCCCCTAAAGCCTTATGCACTCATAGATGGGGCTTTTTGGAGCTGGCTGGATCTAGAGTGTATGATACTGGGATTAAGGGTGTGTGGTACTAAATTATTCCACTGATTAGAATTAGCATAGTTCTGGGTGTGGATAATAGGAAGCCCCACCTTGGGTGTGGGTGGCACCACCCAAAACACTTGAAGCCTGGATGGGATAAAAGGGAAAGGGAGACTTTCTTCACTGCTTGCTGCTGCTGCCTTCTGCCTACCCTGCCATGGACTGCCTCTCCTCTGGCATGCTTCCCTGCCTTGGAGCCAGCCGACTATGGACTGAAATCCCTACAAACTCTAGAAGGGACAAGAAAAGGAAGTTGCTACCAGACTCAGAAGAGAGCCCTGAAGAGACTGACCAGAGGAGAAGTGACCTTTAGTCAATTCAGCCAAACTGAAGTGACCTTCCAAATTAGGAGCTGAGGGAATAAATGCTCCAGCCTCACTCTCCTTTCTTTTTCCTCTATTGGCCCAACTCAAGAAAAACAGTAGGCCAGGGAAGCCTGCTGATAGGGTCCATCAGGGCAGCCTCCTAGGACAGAGAGCAGGTAGAGAAGCAGGAATGGGCTTAGAAGGGCAAAATTTAGGACTTCAGACCAATCACCAAAGATGAAAGCAGAGATGAAGAAGAGGATATTCCACTAGTAGAGGGCTGGGGAGAAGAGAAGAAACATCAAAATAGACAGAGAGACACTAAGACCTGTGGGAGACAAATAGGCCATAAAAATACTGGCCTAAAATTGTACCAAGTTTATTCAAACTGGAAAAGCCCTGCCTTCATCTGATTAACCCTGTCTTGGCTCCTATTTCCCTTCACTATTCTTTGAAAAACAACTAGGTCATGTTTGGTGATTCTACTTTGTTCTTCCGCTACTTCATAGCTTCTGAATAAAACTTTATTCTAAAGACAAAACATGACAAATGACGTATAAGCTGCATGTTCTGAAATACAGTCTCATCTAAGATGAAATCTCTCCTGTACAGAGCTGTGAGCCGAGACACACCAGGAACTCAGCAGGAGCCACACTAAATTTGCTCCCAGATCCTCCAGATTCTTCAAGTCTCTAGGGCTGGCCACGAGACACCGGAGAAACAGAATGGAGAATCACACCTCTTTCTCCCATGGTACCTGCACATAAAGACACAGGTTGAGCCAGGCATGATGGTGCATGCCTGTAATGCCAGCACTCTGGGAGGCTGAGGCAGGAGGATTGCAAATTTGAGCTCAGTCTGAAAAAGTGAGCTACTTAGCAAGACTCTGTCTCCAAAAAAACCCAAAAAGACACAAGTCCTGAGAGGAAGGGAAAACATGACCACAGAACAGTCAAGATGGGTCAGGTTCACTCCATGCTGTGACCAAGTGGTGACTCTGAGCTCACTTACCTTCATACCATCTACATCCAGGACGCTGAGAGCTGAGTGACTATCTGCAAAAGTCACCAGCATCTGCCCCTGGTTGATCCTGAAATGCACAAGATAGGTCAAATCAGCACCAGGAATGACTCAGCACCTCTCCTGGCTCCTGACACTCCTAAGCCCACCCTCACGTCCACATCCCATCAGAGACAATTACCTGACAAGGACAATTGTCCCATAATTCCCCAAGGTCTGCATGAGTTCAGTACGCAGGTCCTCAGGAAACTCATTCTTCTCTTCTAGAGTTGGCGACTGAAGGTTTACAACAACGGTGGCATCCAAAGGGCCCTGGAAAGAGGACACTTCCTGGAAAACCCTCTCCCGAGCACATATGTCGACTTCTTGCACTTCTACTTCCACAATGGCCAGCACGGGTCTGCATCAGACATGGGGAGAGGGCAGAGAATGGTTAGCCCAAGTAGCAGTGTCACATCCCAGCCCCCAGGCCTGGTCCCCTGTCCCTCATCAACCTGTGAGTCCACAGGCCAGCTGCCCTGCCTCAGGGTTTGGTTTTCATCTTTCCCCAATCTATTTTTGGGGGGTACCTGGGATCGAACTCGGGACCTTGTGCTTGCGAGGCAGGCGGCGGAACCACTGAGCTAAATCCCCGGCCCCAATCTTTCCCCAATCTTCTGTTACTGTAAAATTTTTATTTAAGGATGATGTGTGAGAGAAAATATCTTCAACAATAGAATCAGTATTAGAAAATCCCCAGCCATCAGCAAAAGATCTAGTCCTGCCAAGGATGTGGAGAAGCGGCCGCCCCCCTGATTATCCAGAACAGTCAAGCTTTTCACATGGCTACTTGGCAACCTGGAATAGGAATCTGAAAACCATTCATCTCTTTTGATTTAGTAATCTCATATCTAGGACTTTATTCTATGGAACTGGCCAGAGATTCAGACAAAGATTGACTGTTCACACTTGATGGGAGGGGAAAAGGGAAATGATGAATTATGTAGTTTTATTAAAGATTTACAATACTATGTTATATGGCAATAGAACATAATATGAAGTAATATACAATATGATGACAGGGATGGGGTACAGCATGGTTGTAGAACACTTGCCTAGCCAGGATCTGCGTTTGAGGCCAAGCACCAGAAAAAAAACCCCAAAAGATTTATTGCCAGGGTAGTAGTGCACACCCATAGTCACAGCTACTAGGGAAGCAGAGGCTAGAGGATCACTTGAGCCCAGGAGTTCAAGGCCAGCCTAGGCAACACAGAGAGACTCCATCCCAAAAAATATCTACGGTAATATGGTGGCACCCTTTAAAACCAGAGAATGCTACAAAAGTTTAGAGACAGGATAAGGTAACATTATCCCTTTCTTTCAATTTTTATTACTTTTTTTTTTCCACCTAAAGCAAGAAAAAAGATGCCTGAGAAAATTCACACAGGGACACACACTGAGTGAGTTCAGAAGACTTCAGCAGCAACACCTTTCTGCCCCATGTGTGGCCAGCTGTATCTAGGAACAAATAAGTGAGCCTGATTGCTAATACCAACACGATTATATCTTGAAAATACTAACAAGAAAGCCAGGCTATGCGGCAATATCATTTAAGAACATTTAAAACCACAAAATAGTAGAATTTCCATCTTTGAATGATGTCATTTATGATACAAAGCGATGATAAAATGCCAATAGTTATTAGTTCTCAGTGGCTACACAGGTATTTGTTATATCTTTGTTCATTAGTGTATTTCTCACACACACACACACACACACACACACACGCACACGCTTATGGGGCAGCATCTTGGCTTCTTTGGGGTTGGAGGAGATACTGTCTTCCTCAGCAAGGACCTTACCTGTGATCAGATGCTTGCAGCTCTGCACGACCATAGTACCTGAGGGTGCCGGGAGACCAGGTGTGTCTTACTTTGGTGTCGCTGTCCAGATCGTTGTCTAGAAGGTTGATTTCTCCAGCTATGGACAAGAGTTCATTCAAGAGACACAAAACCAAATGTAGCAAAACCATATCAATACATGTGAATGTGGTTATGAATGCCTTAGCTGAGAGCTCTGACCCAAACCACCTGTGCCTTGAGCTCACTGGCCTTATCCCCTGTATCTTGAACCTGGGCTCCAGTTGCTTTGGGACCTATGGTTAAAGCAGTTCCTTACTTGTAAATTACCCAAAACAGTCATGACCATGACCACTGACCACTCTCCACGGTTGGCTAACTGTGGCCTGGAATACAGTTGTCCCTGCTGCCACATTTCCACTGAGGGCCCAGGAATAATGGGCACATGAGCTACTCACACAGTGGCAGATGCTGAGCCTTGGAAACCAGAACTCCTGCTGGCCCCTGCCTCTCCATGCTCTGGGCCATGGAGATGCTCACAAACTCATCTGAAAGAGCAATTATCTACAGATGTATTTTCCTGGCTTTGAAATCTCAGCAGACACCTCTCCCAAACCGTGGCACTGTTGTTTATGTACTAGCTTAAGGTGTAACTTCAAACAAATTTCACTTCCCAGCCGGCCATCAATAATTGTTCAAAACATACTCAACAACCAATGGATTGAAAAAATATTTACTGTGTTTTGCTCTTGTTCAGCTGGAATTGGGGCCTTAAGCAGATAAGAGTTTGGCTGAGCAAAATGGGCAGAAAAAAGTACTGAGAGAAAAGGGACAGGCAGCTTGATATTTTGCTTCTCTTTTCCCCAAGATAAAAGAGAGAAGGTAGGGTGCTGCAGCTGTGATTCAGAGATGGGGAAACCCAGGACAGGCCTGCTGGCAGCTCATAGTCTCCAGAGGCCAGGAGGGGCTCTCAAAATGCAGCTTCCAAAGGGCTTAACATCTGGGGCAATCTTTCATCGTTTGTGTTAGGAAGAAAACTGTAGCTGAGTGACTATGGTTTTGTTCCCAGCGTGGCCTTTAGCATCCACCCTCGCCCAGCTCTCCAGTGTCCCTGCCTCGCTCACCTGTTTTATCGAAAGGGTGCTTCTTCCTCCACCACAGCACTCTATCTGTCCAGGCCGGGGTGCGGCATTTGTCACTTGTATCGTAGGCAGCGGAGCCAACGTCATATTTGTAGGTGGGTCCAAAATTAATGGCTCCTTCATGAAAGTCTTTAAAAATCTATTGGGAGAAAAGTCACAAAACCACCATAAGGGGAAGAAAAAGTACATTCTAGAGTGTTCTAGTCCTAAAAAAGTAACAGAATCTGTGTTAAAGTTGCAAATATGTCTTACACTGGACAGATGTGTGCCTTTTAATTAGCAAAGAAAAGGTGGTTTTGTACTCATCCCGCTGACCTAGGAGCATGGCACCTCCCTCTCCTGCGTCTCCTCTAGCCACTGCTTGCTGTCAACCCCAGAAGATGAAGAAGGGCATGGGTTGAGACCTTGCGCTCATGTCTGAGACCTGCCTCCGTGCAATGGGAAGGTCCACAGGCTCCCACATCCCAAGGGAAATGTGAGAATAGTGGGGCAAGGAAGAATCTTTTCTAGGAAGGCTGGGGGCCTCTTGTCCACCTGCCCATGCTCCATGATCCCCGAACTAGTAGGGCTTGGGTGACAGAAGGTCCCATCCTTGCTTTTGGAGAGGGATTTTAGCTTTCCCAACCTCACACATCTAACCAGTTCTATTCTTCAAAGTTAGTATATGTAGCTCCCTGCCTCAGTCTGTCCTGAGATGCTAACAGATGCTGAAATTAGCCAGCAGTGCTAGCTGGAGGCAAGAATAATCAGGACATCTGGAAGCTAGCCACTATGACCTTGAAGAGCTAGGGACAGATTCTGTAGATGAATGTTCCCTGCTTAGGCCATGGCCTCAGGAGTCCCCAGGCACTTGTGTTTGGGCCTGGAGGCCATGCCTGAGCCCTGTACCTGGACAGTCTAGGGCCAAATTATGGCCCTGTGTACTGGCTGTGTGACCCTGGATTAGTAATTTGACTTTGTCCTCAGTTTTCTTTGTCAATAAAATGTTACAACACCTAATTTATAAGGCAGTCTTGAGGATTATGTGTACAAACTGGTGTCTAAAGTACTACTATAATTTGTTTGTGCTTTTGCCGAGAAATAGAGACATCACCAGCGTATTCTGAACATGGTCCACAGTGTTACTTGGTAGTTTATTATGACTGCCTCTAAACACACTGCACATAAGCATGAGGAATGAGGTGGATTTGGTGTAAAGAGACCTGTATACATCAGCATTTGATGCCACCACTAGGTGATATGCTCAGATGCTTGCATCAGGGCCACTTGAAGGCAGCCAGGACTCAGAGCACAGCTGTTCCCTGCTGAGACCCAGGCTGTACTCTTGCTGCTGGATTAAGTGTTTTCTGGTGGCTTTCCTGCAGCGATGGCCTCTCAGGCCCCAGGAAGATGCGTGGACCTATATGCGGCTGACCAGATCTTGTTTAATGTGAGATAGAAGCGTGTGTGAGTGGATGCTCCTGTTTTCTTACCTTCACAAGCTCCATGTGGTTTCTACAACATCAGAAATGCCACAAGTGGAACTTAATCTGCTGAACATTGGCGTGTATGTTTAGTAGACAGCATTCCATACTGGAAAGAGACATTATTCCATATTGGAACAGCTGTTAAAAATATCGTAAAAGCACAACTTACTTTTCCACTTGATTTCTGCAGCTGTAGCTGATCAAATTCCAGAAGTTTCTTCCAGTCTTGGCGTTTAACAAAATAGAAGACTTCCTCGTAAGTAAGATCAATGCGGTAGTTGAAATCGCCACACCAAAACACATAATCGTGAGAAAACACATTTCTCCCCTAATTGCAAAGAAAATCACAATCATTCTAAGCCCATCTTTCCAGGAAGGTAAGAGAGGGGGGAAAAACTAATTTCACCAGACAGAGGACAAGCAGAAGCATTTTTCTTAAAATGTTACTGTTAAGTTTTCCACTAAAGCATTCTCACTTGTCACTAATCCCATGAACTTACTGGAGAATTTTTACATGACCTGCTCTGCTGTTTTAAATAATAGTGTTCTGGAGTGCTTTAGACAAAGCTCCAACTCTGAGAAGCACGACTACTAATTCTGATCCTGAGGACCAGGTTGTGTTCTTGTTCCGTGTGTGTCCTAGGAAACCCACACATAACCAGCAACATGAAAACTAGGCATAAGGAAAGTAGTAGAAACACTAAGAAGTGCACCTTTGTAAACTTCATGATTGTGTTCTATGACTCTCCATCAACACCCCACACCTTCCTCCCAATCCCGCCCAGTTACCACGAGCCCACAGTCCCCATTCAGCCCTGGAGAAGTCTCCCCCCTAGTCTCAGTGACAACAGTGGCTACTCCTCAACTTTCCACAGGAGCTGGGCTCTGCCCCAGGTGCACCTGGTCCCCACAGCAGCTCCTGTGGGGCAGGTACTAATGGCTCTAAACAACAAGTTCAGAATCAATGTAATTTACTAAAGGATGCACAGCTAGTGCATGATAAGGATGAGATTTGAACCCAGATCTGTTCAGCTCCTAAACCCATTTCTGTCCCCTCGGTATGTGATGTGTTTCTGATAATCTGAATAGAGGATGAAGATAGCCACAACTAAATAAACCAAGTGTGTAGACAACTGGAGGAACTTTCTCCAGAGGTAGAAACACTCTTCCTGTGCGGGCCATTGTGTGCTGAAAACTGGCACTGTAGTCAGCACAGGTGACTTCAATTAACTTAAATACCTACTTGTGTCCAGTGGCTATTGTACCAGGCACTTGTATGGAGTATTAACTTATAGGTACTCTCAATATACAGTATATAAATATATATGTCATATTGTAAACTCTATTTGAGATTGTGGTCTAAGTATATTATTTCAAAATAGTACTTTTTAAGTGAAAAAGGTTAGACTTTTTAGCCACACACAAGAATTAAAAAATTTCCAACTCATTTGTTTCTTCTTTAACTCAACAAATAAAAGCTACAAGGATCAAGACACTTATTAACAAAAACTAAGCAATTTTTGCCTTGCATATGGTGCCACCCAGGTGATAGATTATCAGTTTTAATGAATCTGCTCTCATAAGATGAGGTCCAAGACCCGGCCAGCCCGTATCAGACTCTGGAAGAATCATGGCAAGAACAGTGAAGTCTGTCCTCCCTCTAAGGTACAGGAGGTGAGGGTGGGGTGCACACAAGGCTGAAGGTGCACAGGGAATCATCTTTGCATGGGAAGAACATTAAGATCTAAATTTTAAAATCAAGCCCACAGGTTTCGGCATGAAAACCTCTGAACCACCACTAGAGGACAGCCTGGCATGCATTATTGGCAATGTCAGGGTAGAAGTCAGGTCCAGGTCTTTAGTCGTGATTTCCTGATTTTAAAAAAGGAAGAATTCTTAGCTGAGCAACAACACAAGTGTGAAGGTTGTGGACCTCAAGAAAACTAAATTTTTTTTTTGGTGATGGGAATTGAAATTAGAGCTTCATGCATGCTAAGCATATACTCATCAAGGGTCACACCTGTATCCCCAGGAAAACTAAGGCTTGTACTGTTCAGATTAAAACATTCTTCATGGACACACTGGTTCTCTTCCCCATTCATCATCTGAATTAGAAATCACATGATCCTGGGTGATTTCCAGGGCTGACCCTGCATCTGCCCCCAACCAGCTCTGTGCTGTCAGAGGCAGACACCCTACTTGCGGTTGTTCCCCCAGGCCTGGCTCTGTCAGCAGCTCTGCTCACCGCGGGGAAGGACAGCCTGTGGGTGATCTCCCTGTAGTCCTCGTTCCTCTCCTTCACCTGCGACTGCCCAGCCGTCAGGTGGCTGCAGATGAAGCAGAAGCTGGTGCTGTGGAACTGAAAGCGGATGCCCACAGCACCCTTGTTTCCTGCTTTGCCCCCCATGCCAGTCTTCACTGTGTCGACAGCCACGTCCCTGCAATGCAAGAACACGAACATCCTATGAGCTGCAGAAAAGCTTAAACATCTTTTGCTAGAGAAGAATTCAGGAGCAGCCTGAGGCCTGTGCTCTGAGACCCCTGAATACCAGCTGAGAGGTCTGTTCAACCACATCATTGACTCGTAGATCAGGAGGCTGCTCCCTCTCACTGCTGGCTGCTCCTTCGTGGGGGTGTGGAGCATCTTCCCCGCGGACTGGCTTTGTACCCCACGAGCACCCATAACTGCAGATACGTGGTCCCTGGGTCTGCCCTAGCTCTCCCGCTCACAGGAGCAGCAGGAACTTCACTGTCTCCCCAGCCCGCACCACAGATCTTGTGCTTAGCATAGAGGGGCCATTGGGCAATGAATGCATTTCAGAATTGGGAAACATCCCATCATCTAAGGCTGGCTTGGGAAGGCGATCTCAAACCGACTTTCCTGCACTGCAGACTCCTGGCTCATTAAAATGGGAACTTGGAATGTGCACATGCACGCAGTGAGGGCAGGGTCTAGAGCCACAGAGCACAAGCCAGCTGCTTAACACTTCCATGAAGTGATGGTGGAGATGGTGGAGGAGCCTTCTGGGGCACCCAATTCCCAGGAGACAAAGCGAAGGTGACAGTTTGCCAAAGGGGTGTGAACTTTTAGACCAGCTGGAGCAGGGAGACAAGGACACAGGTGCCACACATGTGGTGAGACCTCTGGCCATGCCTGGAAATGGGAGCCTCCTCTCCCCTGCTCCCTCCTCAGTTCACCTCTAACCTTTAACCTGACCTTAGTAAACTAACCTGTACCCACTACCTAGGGTATAGATGAGCTGCCCTAGCAACACCATGTTTACCCCCAAATAATACCTAATGGGAAAATAAACTTCAGCTGTAATTAATAGCAGTCATTACCATGGTGATGGCCAGTGCCAGGCAGAAGACTGTACCTCACTATTCTCTTGCTCAGGTGGCTACTCTGTAATGGCAGATAAGGCAAAGATAGGCTGATTGGAGTTGGCTTTTTTTTTTTATCTAGTTAGGTCTTATTTTCAGGGAAATGGCACAATCAGAGGGGCAGGGACTTATTTCCTTCAAGTTACACAAAAGGATTATGAATGCAGAGCCCAGTCTTGCTCTCTAAAGGATGCCATGCATCATGCTGGTGGCCTGCTACACAGAGGTACTGCCTGAGTCTTGTCCCACTTGACTTAGGAAGGTCGGCTTAATGTCTGGCATCAGCATTAGGAAACCCCGATAAACTCATAAACAAGACCAAGTAGCAACAGGAAGCTATTAAAAGTTAAGAGAAATGGTGAGCTCCTCCAGTATACACACACACACACACACACACACACACGCATACACATGGCCTTTCCTAAAAGGAATGCATTTCTTAAGGCTTCCCCTTTCTTACACTCACATTGTTGTTACCCTGGAGAAATAATTATGAAATGACACAGGTTCTACTAAGAATTCTTTTGAAGGGAGACAAAAGAATTGCCATTTCCTGATAAGTTAGTCAGCTCCAGGTCAGAGGTTTCCTGTCTGTAAAATACAGACAAGAAACGCTTTCTTTGAATAGAAAGGTGATGAAAATCATGGGCCACTCTTCCTAAGCAAGCTTAGCTTCCTGGCTTAGGAGTTTTCCATGGTGGCTTTTTAATTGTTAGATAATGTGCTATTTAGCCTCATTTTTCTCTCCCCTTGGGAATTTTGCCTAGAACAATGGCAGGCCCTGATTCCTACCACAGGAGGGGGGACCCCAGGAGGGGGGACCAGGCAGAAGTCATAGAACAAAACACAGACTCACAACCCCTCATTCCCCAGAAGCTGATAACCGAAATGCTCTTACCTGATGAATGGGACATGGTATGGGCGCACAAAGATGTAAAGACAGACGCCCACCAGCTGTGCCGAAGTCAGGAGAATGTACCTATGGGAGCGTGAGATGGCTTTCTGAAGCTGCTCCCCCCACATCTTCCTGTTGGTGGTACTGCAAAAGAAGAGAGGAGAGCACCACTTCTGGTTAGGCGGAGGTGCCGTCTCCCACCTACTGAGCTCTCCAGGCCCCATCTATCCTTTTACAGAACTGATTTTGCACTGGCTGCTCCTCAGTAGGAGTATCATGCCTTGCTTGTTCCAGCCGACCATCTGCATATTTCTGGTTGTGTCTTACACATCACAGTGGCCCTCTCCTTGGTCCCTGACACCTAGCACAGAACCTTCTTAGAAGAGCTCTGTAGAGTCGGTTTTAATTATTTGTTCAGAAAGTTCCTTAAAATGAAACTGGGCCAGTTTAGAGAGGGCAGAAGTCTTGTTGACTATAGCACTGGTAATCCAGTGGTTTGGGGTCTTTCCTTCGTGAATGGCATAAAGAAGAGGAGTAGCTACTCCTGGCACTCAGGTCTCCTCCCCTCTCCCCAGGAAACACGAATCAGCCACTCTCCCGACCTGCCCTGTCCCACACTGCACCCTCACACACACCAGCTTCCCGTGGCAGCATGGATCAGCCGCATCCCACAGCCCAGGCAAGAGCACCTCGCAGAAAAGCCAGCGATAACCAGCCCTTCCTTCTGTTTCCTTAGTTAACGGGGGAGGCGGACCAGGGCAGCACATCTGTGTGAGTTCGGGGAAGGAGCCCTCTCAGAAGTCCCCTCAGGGTCAGGGTCACAGGCTGGTGGATCCAGAGCAGGCTGGCTCTAGGAGCACCCCAGGGCCCACTCCCAGTCAGGCACCTGGCTCTGGGACACCCTGGCCCCTGCTGCCCGGCCCCTTACCTGGCATTGACAATATTCCCTGCACTCAGTTCCACCATTTCCTCAAACCCCACAGCAAACATGTCAGCCGGGCTGCTGTCATCTGGGGAACAAGGCAGGAGACGAAGGGAATCAGGACCGCCAAGGCCTGCGTTCCTGGTTCAAGGGCTCCCCATTTCTCTCTTCTGAGCTACACCATTCAATGCTGAAATCTACCCAACCTGACCATTCACAGGGGCCGGCACCAAGCCCTCCCCTCCACCAGACACAGCCCTTCCCTGGGTATGTCCTGGGACGCATTATGGACCCCTCTGAACCTGTTTCTTTCTCCACAAAAGGGACGGTTGTGGAGTGTAAATTAGGAAATGTGAGGAAAATGCCTGGCACAGTACAAGAGCCCTCCTTGCCCTTCCTGATGACGGTCTCCCCAGCCACAGCCTCAGAGTTTTGGGGCCACACTATCTTATTGAGTGTGTGCCTCCTAAGTACTTTTCACAGTGCAGGGCAGAGCACTGCCCAGGACTGACACAGTCCTGTGCAAGGAGATCGTTATTCAGTGAGCAGAGGACTTGCACTGGACACTGTTGCTGCTGGAACTGCTCTGCTGTAGAAGTGCCCAGCTTACACAGAGCCCAGCAAGCCTGCAGCTGCTGCTTCTGTCCCTACCCCCGCCCCTTTTTAAACAGTACTGGGGATTGAACCCTTTGCACTGAGCTTTGCACATCCAGCCCTTTTTATTTTTTTACTTTGAGATGGGGTCTTGCTAAATTACACAAACAGGCTTGAACTTGTGATCCTCCTGTCTCAGCCTCCCAGAGTGCTGAGATTACAGGTGTGCATCACCATGCCCAGTTTCGCTGCTCTCCCTGAACAGAAGCATCCAATTTTCCCTGCAGCCATTTACTAAACCTCTTTGGTCATACCCACCAACACTCAGGGACCTGAGCCATCAAGCCCAGACACGGTTCCAGCTGCAGAAAGTGAGACACCTCCTGCCCTGGAGGAAGTAGCCTCCTCCAGGTAAGGCCAGGCAGTGCTTGCTTCCTTCCACACAGGTACCTGGCACTTCTGGCTCAACTGGCCTAACACAGAGACTTGTTGCTGCTTTTTGTAAAGGAAACAAGATCTGTCCTCTGCTCTGGTTGGCGACAGGAGGCTCATCTCCTTCCCACTCCTGAACTGGGTGGGTTTCCAGGGAGCCCACTACTGTCTACCCCAGTCAGACCCCGGCAAAAAGCCACCAGCTTCCTGCATGGGGAGGAAGAGGGTGACTGTGGGGTCAGGGAGGGCGTCCTCCTCCCTGGTGGCATTCAGATGGCTTCTGGATGCACTGCTGGGGCCAACACAGGTCCCCACTGGCAGGAGAGTCCAGTGACCCCGAGCCATGGGCTCGGCCACCTCCTCAAAGCAGACAGGAGGAAAAGGAGTGTGTGGCAGGAGAGGGTGTGCAGAAGCACAGGCCACTGCACGCACAGGACCATGAGTCACTCGCTAGGCAGAGAACCTGGTCATGAGTCCAGGAATGAGGGAAAAACCAAGGCCCCGAGTTAACAATGACTGTGCAAAAAATCCTTAGCTGGGGCTGGGGATCTAGCCGCTGCCTCACAAGTACAAGGTCCCAAGTTGGATCCCCGGCACCAAAAAACAAAATCCTTTGCTCTCCAAAACCTGCATTCTGAGGCCAGTCAATAGGATCTTGCTTGACAAGTTAGGGTACGGGCGAAATTTGAAATTATTTTATTCTGAAAAAATACATGAATTCTAGCTGGGCACAACCGTCTAATCCCAGCATTCTGGGAAGCTGATGCTGAAGGATCACAAATTTGAGCCTAGCCTGGGCAAGTGGGCAACTTAGTAAGACCCGGTCTCAAAAAGAAAAAGAAAAAGAAAAAGAAAAAGAAAAAGAAAAAAGAGTGGTGGGGTAAGGATATAGCTCATTGCATAGGCCTTGGGTGCAAATCCCAGTACTGCCAAAAACAAAAGACAAACAAACAAACAAAAAAGTACATGAGCTCTTTCATGACTACTCAATATGGACGAATATCCCTTATCCAAAATGCTTGGGCCATAAGTGTTGTGGACTTAGGAATATTTGTATATACATGGGAATAGGACATGGCTCTAAATGTGAAATTCATTTATTTTATATACACTTTTACACATAGCCTGAAGACAATTAATGCAATTTAAAAATATTTGTTCATTACTGGGAAATGATTCTAGGGCCTGCACACTGAACTACATCTCCACCTCTTCTTAATTCTGAGATAAGATCTCACTAAATTGCCCAGGCTGGGCTCAACCTTGAGACCTTCCTGCCTCAGCCTCCCAGAGTGCTGGGATTACAGGCATGCGCCACCATGCCCGGCTTTTTGCAACATTATCAGTGTCCCTGTGTCTTGATTGTGATCCATCACATCAGGTCAGGAATGGAATTTTCCACTGGTGCTGCCACATCAGCGCTCAAAACGTTTCAGATGTCGGAGCATTTCAGAGTTCAAGTTTTCAGATTAGGGCTGCCCAACCAGTAGCTTGCTGAGAGAAAGGCAGGGATGAAGTGTTCTCAGGCAGCAGCAGTATTAAGTGCATGCCTGGCTCCAGCTGGCTCCTAATAGTAGTATGCCTCTGGAGGCCAGGTCTCCTGGCAACTAGGAACAAGTGACCCAATCCTAAGACTAAGATGTCTACATGTGAAGACAAGAAAGATCCAATGTCATTAGCTCTTTCAAACACATGGAAAAGAAAAGGGGTCACAAAGTTAACTTGCTACATAGTACTCTAGGTTGGGCCACTGTGCTTTCAAACTTTCAGAGTGCGTGTGTGTGTGTCTGTGTGTGTGTGTGTGTGTGTTGCTAGTGATCAAGCCCCAGGCCCCATGCATGCCAGGCAAGTGCTCTACCCCTGAGCTATGTCCCCAGCCTACATGTGAACATTCCAAAGAGTGAAAATGTCAAATACTAAACTCCACAAAGCAATAGCTACTAAAAAGGCCAAGCCTGCTGGGGCAGGTTCACTGGGAAGAAACTCTGGAGGTCACCAGAGTGGCTGCACTCACCCTCAGAGTTCACTGCTCCAGTGAGCTGAGGTGCATCGAGCAGCCAGTCTGTGAGCTCTGCTGTCCCCAGGAGGTTGCTCCGGAACTGCTTTCCTCCATTCACATTCCAGGTCCCCACAGCGATTTGGATCCGCTTGAAATTTGTGAATTCTGACTGTCGCTCTGTCATGGCTTTCAGGATCCTGGGAGTCACTGTGGGGAGGCATAAAAAGGCACCTTTCTCTACAGCCCAAACGTCAGACACTATAATTTTAGAATTACAGAAGGGACGACCTGTCAGAGAAAGCCGGTTCACAGCCTATAGATACAGACCAAAACATGTGCATTACTGGGAAGGCGAGAGGAGGTGAACACCTACATTAAACACTACACTTCCCTTTCTGCAAGCAAGGTGTGAAAACACAGGTCTGGAAATTCACCCTCCCCTCAGAGGCCACGTGACATCAAGTCACAGAGGATCCCCCAACACACACGGAGAAAGGCTTGTCCTCAGCCTTCACCTCGTGATCCCATAGAAGGCAAAAGCACCGGGGACATCACAGTTGACCACATAAATAGTATATATACACGCATTACACGTGTATATAGAGCTACATGTATAACTTTAAATACTTACCAAAACCCCCGACTGCATTTTCTACCTTCTATCCCACATGTCTGAAAGGCATTAAAAAACTAGGATACCACATTGTCTCCATCCTCTAGAGATCCAAAACAGATTTTAAACTACTGACTTAGCCCAAGTCCCCTCTCCTGACCCTGAATAAGCCTCACTAATGTCACTTGGAGCTTGTTCAGCTTTTTCTGAACTGGCAGTATTCCCAAGGCAGAAACCAAACATTGCCTTGGCTAGCACAAGCCAAATAAGTGCTCTCCAGTATGGAGAAATGAGAGCCCTAAAAGCCTATTAAACCATTTCAGATATGGGCTCATTTCTCTTTCAATAACACCACAAATTTCTAACATAAACTTTTATATAGGGAAAAATCCTGGGTCTCCCCTTTTCCCTTAGATCTATAAAGTTCACAGGCTCCAGGGAACAAGAGGCCCTCAGAATTTTCCCAAAAAACCTTCTAGCTATTGATGAACTCCTAAGCAGATGTGCACACACCCCCAGGATTCGACAGTGCCCTTTACTCTATTTCTGCAGGGCTCTCCGTGGCCAAAGGATGACAGGTCAGCCCACAGGAATCTCCTGAGCCGCACAGCTGTCAAGGGGACCAGGACCCAGGTAACGGGAAGTTTTTGGAGCAAGTGAGCATTCAGCAACATCAATGCTTTCGGAACAGTGCAGACTCAGAGCCCTCTCCATTCCTCCCTCCTCTCAGCATGGAAAACAGAACCAAGCCAAGACAGTAGGAGAGACCAGAGGCAGGCTCCCATGTACAGATCTCTTCCTTGTCATTTTACCTTGAACAGTATAGTATAACAGCTGTTTACACAGCATTAGGTATTATAAGTAATCCAGAGATGATCTAAAATGTAGAGGAGGATGTACAAAGGCTATACACAAAGACAGGCCATTTTATATAGAGGACTTGAGCATCTACCAGTTTTGGTACACATGGGAATCCTGGAACCAGTTCCCCACAGACACTGAGGGACAGTGACAGTGTACAGGGACAACTATAGGCTACTTAGGTCAATCAGTCAGACCAGGAGACCACAGACCAGAAGCCTAAAAGCTCTGGACATATCTGCCACCTGCCTTTCTGGATGACTCAGTGGGGCAGCAGGGCTGGTTAACCTTCCCCATGGCCATCACCTGCACCCATGCAGTGAGGACCATAGATACCCCATGCACGGAGAGCAGCAGGCATTACCCAGAAGGGCTGTGTTGTCCAGGAGCATCCTCCCTTTGTCTGTTGATTCCTCGTTGTAGACATCTCCCACCAGCAGCAGTCTGATGGCCTCCTGCCTCACCCCATCGAAGAAGTTGGACTGGATGGTACGAGACATGGACCGGGCGCCATCCTTCAGCTTCCCCACCTGCACGAAGCCACAGATGTGAGGGGATCGTGATGTGCCACTCCTCCCACCACCTTTGGCTTGCTCTTACCTTGGCCTTCCCCTCCAGGGCTCTGCTGCCTGTGAACACCTTGCTCAGGCTGTGTCCATTCAGGGACCACATGGCTTTGAAGGACTCCACGAAGCGCTCAACAATGGGCTTTGAATTCAGCCTCAGGCTCTCGAGTTGCAGATGAAGGACCTGGAGAGAAATAAAGGACAGTGTGCACTGAGAGCCTGAGGGCTTCATCCCAGGTACCTCCTCATGAGCCCCTCACTCAGCAGACTGTGGCCACTCTAGGCCCTGAAGACCTTGCATACCTCCAGAGACTGAGGAGTTCTTGCAGCAGAGAAAGTAGCTCCTCCTAATGTGCCCAGATTCATTTAGATGACCACTTAGACCCTCCTCTGACAGATATCCGACTGCCCTCCTGCCACTGCTGGGCAGCAAGCAGTAGGGGGCAGCAGGAGCTGTGGACCTCACTTCCTCCTCCTAGGATGGACTGAGAGGTCACCAGATGGCTGGGGCCACATTGAAAGATGAAGTTTCCCCTGAACCTCCAACAACCTCACTCTGCCCTGCCTGGCCCCGCAGTATATTCAGGATAATCACTGTACAGAACAACTGCTTCTTAACAACTCCCACGCCTATGGGCCACTATGGCTGGGATGCTTCCCAGAGAGCACGTGACTGCGACAGGGAAATGCACAAGAGGCACAGGCCAGTAGCGACCCAGGGAGGTTCCACAGGGATGTGCCACTGCAGATCGCTATTACCTGCAAAGTAAACCCAGTGATGCCACCCCATCTTGCTACTGAAGACTCAGCCTGCCTGCTGAAGGTACGGGACATGACACAGATAGCCCAAGGGACAAACCTCCAGCGCGATGAAGCTCTGCACGGTGTTGGTTCGATCCAAGCAGTCAAGACAGTTCATCCGCAAAGTGCCTTTCTGGAAACTTAGGAACAAGAAATAGGACCAGTTGTAAGATGGGCTCAGAGGACCAACAGCTGTAGCACAATGGCCTCAGTCCTTTCCAAGGGAGAGGCCCTTTCCTACTCCCTAGAAACTCACCAGCATCCTGGGGTACATCCCAAGGGACCCTGTACTGCAGCAGTGACAAGAAGGAAGACCCCAGACCACCTCTTCAGGTGCCGCAGCTCTGGCCTTTGTGAACCAGCTGGTTCTTGTTATAAACAGCAATTCACAGTTGCATGAACATTAAATTAGCAAATACTGGAGCACAGCTCCGAGGAGAAATGCTGTTAGAGTCCCATGGGCCTCTGGCCATGACAGTGTTATCTACTGATCAATACATGGCCTGGTTTTACGTATTTCTGTTTCAAGACATGTTACTGCATATGTATAGATTTAGGATGGCTCAACTGAATGGTTTTTTAACTTTACCATGAGTTAATAAGAATATTAAATACATTTTTGACTTACGCTCTTTTTGAAACACAATGGGTTTATCAGGACATAACCTCATTTTAAATCCAAGAGCATCTGTATTCTGCTGCTTTATTAACACCAAACTCATGGCCAGTAGCGTCAAAACTCAGGCCTGAATGAAGCTTATGTAACCTGCATTTTCTCCAGAAGGAACAGCACAGCATTTTTGTGCTTAGAAATGCTACATAGTGCTACGCTTGCAGGATACCTTAAAACAGTGAAGTCAACAGAAGCACAAAAATGTGAAAGACGTGCCACTAAACAGTATAAAGGACACTTGTCAACAGCCTGAGAACTGAGATGCAAAGGCCAAGCGTCACCCTGTTTGACCTCACCAGGGTCACGTATTTGCTGCTCTGCATGTTTCTATGAATGACTGCAAAGGCACTGTGAGTAGAGAGTCTGGAGCTACCAATGAGTTTTTTTGTTTGTTTGTTTTTGGGTTTTTTTTGGTACTGGGGATCGAACTCTGGTCCTTGCACTTGCACAGCAGGCCAATGAGTTTTAAAGAGTAGATCAATTCACAAACATGGGGTCTGTAAATAACGAGAGTGATCTGAGGACTGACTCCGTCTTTCTTTTCCTCTCAGGTCTGAACAGGGTGACCCACAGCCCGGTTTCTTCAGGTCCCACCAAGGCTGGTGATGGTCCCCTCACCCTCGTGAGTCCTCCTCACAGTGTGCGAAAGTTATTGTTACACAGTCTCCTGAGCTCTTCATTTTGACACAGTCCTTTACATTAGGATGTTCCTTTTCCCAGAAAATCGTATTTTACCATCTAATCACCAAATTCAGAAGCACATCATTCACTGATTACAGGAAGGGAAAGGGGAAGGCTGGAATCTAGATGCTCAACATCATCGAGCTCACAACCCGGGAAACTATAGGTATAGCCTTGAAGAGGCGTCTGGCCCAGGAGTGCTGCAGTTCCTGAGCTCCTCGCCTCGCAGGACGATGCAGAGTGTGGGTGAGACTCACCGTGGACTTACATTCTCGCCCTTCGTGAACACATCAAAGTCGTCCCAGTGCAGCTTTAAGTGAGGCCTCAACAGGTTCTCCAATTTCTCTAGCTTCCCGCCTTTGGCGAACTGATATAAGTCAAAATTTATCATAGGTGTGTCAACAGCGTGGCAGGAAGCCCAGAGCAACTTCTGAAAAGGGAGAGGGAGGGCGGTGAGAGGACAAGAGAAGAAGGCAAAGCAGTGACTGCAAACCTCCTCTTGCCACTTGCGTTCATGAGACCAACCACAGTCACCTGGTAGAGTGCACACCTTAGCTAGATGGTGCATGGAAAACCAGGTGCCTAACTGGCCCTGACCCTGAAAGGGAAGCATAGGATAAAGGTCCTGGGAGGACAAAAGCCACAAAGAGCATCTTGCCTGCACAAAGGCAGAAGGTCCCCCTTGGGCAAAAGAGGCAAGCACAGGGGTGTCTCCTTGGGGACATATCACTCCTGCAGGCCTCTTGGAGGGCAGAGGAGTAGGGAGGGTCACTGTTCTTTAGGGCCATCAGGGACAGTGACATAGAGCGAGCTGGGGAGCTCATAATCCAGCCCCCATTGCCCTGGCAACTGGCCTCATCTTTATAAGCACCAGACCCAGGAGGGTGGGCTCTGCAGTGGCCACATCTCCAGGCTAAGGTGGCTAGAAGGATGGAGATGCCTCAGGATAAGGGAGACCAGGGGCCAGAGACACGGGGCCCAGCCTGGTCCACATCCAGGTGCAGCCCAGGAGCTACGGTGAAGGTGGGCACTATTGCAGAAACGCAGTGGGGGGCTGCTGATGGCTTAGGCTACTCATCACCAAGGCCTCCCTCCCACACAGGGCTTCCCTGCCCAGCCACTCCTCAGCCTCCTCACCAAAGCACATCAATGTCAAGGACAGACCAGCTGTTCCTAGCCACCCAGCTCTGCAGCTCCACACACTGTGCTGGTGGCTTCAGGGTAGATCAGTCCAGCACCTGCCCAGCCAGAGGTTCTGGGGTCTCTGCAGGACTGCAAGGTCTCTAGGCCACCTCAGATGGCCAGAATACAAATCTACATATCCTGCCATGGTCAAGAAAGTCTCCCTGGGAATAGTTTGTGGAACTAAACAGTATGCTTGGTGGCTTACAGCTTTATATACTTTGGAGCCAGCACCTTGTCCAGCTGAGGACAGAGAACCACCAGATCCCAGGCTGGCTGTTGGAGCACCAGCCTCAGTCTGGTTAGGGGACTCACTTGTCAGGGCCAAGACCCAGGTCTCCGGCTGAGGTGCTGTCTCTACCTATCTTCCACCCCAAGGCCACCTCCTGCCCTCTGGTTACAAAAGAGACCTTCATTTCAGTGCCAGGGACACTGCCACCAGCTGCTGGGAGAGAGGCACTGCTACCAGCTGCTGAAGGGGGGACAGGAGCTGCTGAGGACATCCTTTCTCTATAACTCAAGGCAGAAAAGGGAAAAGGATCCCCCGCACCTTCTGCCTTAAAATAAACCAGCAGCACAGCTGCCAAAATGGGTGGGAAGGGAGGGGTTTCTTGATCACGTTGCTCATAGCAACAAACCAAACAGGAAAAGCAGGTCTGGCCAAATAAAACTGACATCCAGAAAGTCCCTGCTCCAAGTTTGTGGCTTTTCTAAGCAGAGTAAAATGAGCACCCCAGCTGGACTGTGCTTCCTCCAGCCAGGGGTCAGGGGTCAGAGTGACAGGATGGGCTGGTCGTGGGACCTGCCCAGGTGACTGTAAGTTCTCTCAATAAGGGGCTTCTTTGACCTTTTAACAACCAGAGAGTCTTTCTCTTCTAAGTGGGGGCCATGGAGCCTGGGTGAGGAATGAGGAGGCTCCCACAACTCATTCTGGGGTCTTCCAGGGCAGCCTGGTAGCTCCCTGGGAAACCTGGCCTCTGTGACCAGGAGAGGCCTGGGTGGAGTCCCCTGCTCTGACTGCTTCTTCACCCCGTGATTCACCCTCCCCAGAACTGGGTACCCAGAAGGTGGGAGAAGACTACCAGGAGCTGGCACCCAGCTTCTACCAGCAGCCCAAATGAGAGTGGGGACATGAAGGCCACCCAGGCAGCAGGAGGAGGCCACACAGCACCCTACTTTGAACCAAGCAGGGCCTGGAGGGAGACTGAGGCATAAAGTTCCTGCAGTGTTGGTATGAAGGTCCCAGGAGATGCCAGTCTGCGACTAGGCCCCACCTTCTCCCTTTCTGGACCAAGCAACTCTTGAGAAGAAAGTTGGAAGGCCTCCCTGCCCATGGGAGGCTTGGCAAAATGCAGCTTTGTTCTGATTTTGAGCAAATTCTTCAGTCTGGTGCAGCTCATTCGCTGGCTGAAGCCCTGGGGAAACCTCTGAAACCTCAGGAGGGCCAACTGCTGTCCTCCATCTCATAAGAGCCCTCCCGAGTGGGGCCACCTCACCCTCTCCACCAGCCCAGCCCTGGGTGGAGACACCGGGAATGGGGTTACCTTGAAGGCCCTGTTGAGCACCTCCTCTCCACCTCTGCTTCCCAGCAGGTTCACAACCACCTGTTTCCCATACTGCTCCTTCAGAAACACCATGTGCCTGCAATAGTAGCAAGTGGGCAGTGACACCAGGGCACCCAGATCCAGACTGGCCACCTGGTCATGGGCACCTCAGGGAAGATGTACAAAAGGGATGACACGTTCTCAGCCATGCCACTGGCCTGAGGCGTGGAAAGTGAGCCCGGGGTGGAGAAAATGACTTCTCAGCTTCTTACCACCACTGCTCACTGGAAATGCCCCTGATGGGAACAGGCTGTCAGGGCCTGTCTGCATAAAAGGCCCAGGACAGGAATGACAGGAAGGCTTTGCTGGCCCCTCTGTAAAGCACCACCACTAGATCTAGTGCTCAACCAAAACAAGAAGGTACAACAAAACTGCAGGCTTTTGGCCAGTAAAGGCTATTTTAAAATATGCATGGTGAGATATTGGGAGACACTCCAGTATTTATCCCTTATCAGCAGCTTGATAAAAGCAACTTTATAATTTTAATGTAGTACTTAAAAGAACAGGGAAACAACAATGCAAAAAAGCAGACATAGAAGTGTAACTTAATAGTGAGATCTTTATGCCTAAATTTAGACAAAAGAAGCCTGGAAACAAATACACTATGATGTTAAAGGGAATGGAATGTTGTAGGACTTAGAAGTTTTTTTCTGCTCTGAACATTTTTCTTTTCTAAATTTCTACATGGCAGGTTTCTATTATAAAGAGATTTTTCAAAAAATAATGATCAGGGCCAGGGATTTAGCTCAGTGGTCTTGCCACCTGCTGCGCAAGCGCAAGGACCTGAGTTCGATCCCCTGTACCAAAAATAATAATAATAATAATAATCATAATAGGGCTGGGGATTTAGCTCAGTGGCTTTGCTGCCTACTGTGCAAGCGCAAGGACCCAAGTTCGATCCCCAGTACCAAATAATAATAATAATAATAATAATGATCACATATACACCCACCATTTTTAGCTCAATGAGAGAAAAAATTCTCTAACTTTGATAGTACACAGGGTAGAAAGAATAAGAATTTTGAAGAGTGCAGTTTCAAGTTAGGCTTGCCTGCTGAGTAGCTGACCTCAGTGAATGGTGAGCCCCTCCAGGCTCCTGCCTCTCTGGGGAGGACTTCTGCTAGAGCAATGTTCCTGGCAGCTCAGAGCCAGGCAAGGAGAAGTGGAACATGTGGGGCTCTGCCTTTCTGGGATCTGCCCAGGGAAGGAGCGTCTGGCCTGAGTTCTGGCACGTGGGGCTCTGCCTGTGTGCTGAGGAAGGCCAAGTGGTCAGCTCTGAGCATCACTAGGTGACATAAGGAAGCACCCTCACCATATCCAAGCCACATCCTACAATGCAGCTTATCAGAAAAAAGGGCAATGTCAATTCTCCATTTGTCAGACCCCTCCACCAACTTCTCCAGATTCCAGGGTTAGAAGAGAAATACTACTACTTATCATTCCTGCCCTTTATCCTGTCACCAGGCCCAAGCCCTGGACCAAGCTAGCCAGCCCGTCTGAGCTGGTTCCTTCACCTGCACAATCAGGCTCAGCCTCCCTGTGCAGAGAGAAGTCATGAGGGTGAGAAAAGATGAAAGGGACCAAGACAGTGCTCAGCACATGGTTGTTGATTTTTTGTTCCTTCCCTTTAATTTAAAAATAATATTCTTGTATAATAAAAGATTCTTCACTGACTCTGTGCATAAGGGAGAGCCTGGCATCCATGTCAAGGTCAGTCCCACGAAGACGCACTCCTGCCTTGGATGCTCTGGGCATCTAGCCTTTTCACTTTCTCTGCACATTGGTTACTCTAATGGAAGTTAGTGGGAAAATGTGGAGTGTTTCAGGACCTCAAAGAGTCCAGTTTCCATTGGGAAGCATCCCTCCTCTCATTTCCAGGGAAGGACTAACCTTTACACGCACTACGATTCCGATTCTAGGCACACCAGCCATGCAAAATGAGACACAGAACATAGAACATCGCTATCCTATGAAGGTGTGGGCACCATCCTCACGAAAGGTCAACACTCCCATTGATACTCATTGCCACGCTGAGATGACAAGATCCTACCCAAGCAGCCACAGCCAAAGGCCTGCTCCCAACCCCTCCTCAGACACACAGCGCAAAGATAAAATGATTGTAGACAGCCCAGACCGACTCAGAATGTGCCAAAGTAGCCCAACAGAGAAAGACTACTCTATGTCTAAAGATGGGTCCCTGTGAAGGCTTCTGGGGGTGGAGAAAAAAGGATTTTCTTGGACCAAGTCCATCAAAAAACCAAAAGACTCTTGAGAGCTCAGCAATGCATAGAGAAAACGATTCAGTGGGCCAGGCCAGAGCCTCCTTCACCCTCATTTCCAATACTACTCTCAAATGAGAGAACCAACCTCAGCAACATGACACTGAGCAGCTCCTCCCAAAGGAATGTCAGAACTCATGATACTAGCCAGATGTCACCATTGAAAAGCATTAAAGAAGCGCTGTCAGCCAAAACTATGAGCAGACTGCCTACAAACAGTCTTAATGGTTTCAGTAAGTTCTTCAATGACTGCAAAAGAGTCCAAGTTTTCCCTTAGATTTGGGAAGCTCTCTAAGGGGCAAGGCAGCTTCTGGGGTGCTTATGAAAAAGAGTTCTTCCAACCAGAGTTGTTCCCACCAGGCATTTCCTGGATCATAAAATATTCCAAGTTTATGTAAATGTGCTTAAACTCACAAACACATGAGTATTTTAATTTGGTTTTGGTTTTTTGAGACAGGATTTTGCTATGTAGTCCAGGCTGGCCTCAAACTTGACAATCCTCTTGCCTCACCTGTCAAGGGCCACATGTTGGCTGCATTTTTTGATTTTGTTTTCGTTTTGTGGTCCTGATCCTCTAGGCCCTCGCATGTGCTAGGCCAGTACTCTACTGCTAGGCTGCCCCTGGGCCCCATATAAGGATTTTTGAAGCAAGCCCAGTGTGATCCTGTCTCTGTGTTTTGGGTCAACTTTGGGTAGAATTTTATTTTCAGTTATGTTTACTATTTCCTGAGAACATTTAGTATAGTTCAACCAAAAGAACTATATGTATATAATGCTCAGAATATATTAATCGTATTCTGGGGAAAGGCAATGCTTTTTCATTACCAAATTATACAACTCTTACAGTAAATGCCTATAATTTGTAAGATGCTGATTAGGGGGTTACAGCTAGGCTCGTGTTCCCAGTGTTACAGTCAACAACAAAAGTGTGTAGGCAAATTTAGATCCAATAAAGCTTTAGGTTGGAAGATTAAAACACTAAAAAAATTTTGCTTTTTTGAAACAAGGTCTCGCTATGCAGTTCAGGCTGGCCTCGAACTCACTATGTACCCCAAGCTGGCCTTGAACTCATAGCAATCCTCCCACCTCAGCCTCCTGAGTGCTCGGATTACAGGCATGTGGCACCATGCTTGGCTCTGAAAAAAATTATTCTTGAGAATTTTTATTATATTCAGTAAGATGGGGGCCAGGGATTTAGCTCAGTGGTTCCGCTGCCTGCCTCGCAAGTGTGAAGACCTGAGTTCGATCCCTGGTACCAAAAAAAAAAAAAAAATTCAGTAAGATGATTTTTTAAAACTAGCTTAGATTTTAAAAAGCAAATCTTTTAAGAAGCTATTAACCATTTCAAGTAAAGATTATAAATAATTCAGCTCAGTAATGGTTTTTCTTAAGCCAGGTACAAAACAGTGAGTGTGATATAATCCAATCTGTGGTGTTTTTGTGTTTGTCTGGTTTTGATTTTTGAGACAGAGTCTCACTATGAAGCCCAGGCTGGCCTTGAACTCATAATCTTTCTTTCTCAGCCTCCTGAGTGCTGGGATTATAGGAATGGCTCAATTTGTGTTTTAAAAAATGAAATATATAATATATGCCAAAATTTTTGTCTAGGATACACACAAAAAAATTGCCAGTAATAAAATCTCTTAAGTGTGAAATTTGGGAATTAGGGTATTCTTTCACTTTAAACCTACTTATATATTTTTTAAAACCCAGGAATAATCGCTTCTTGGCCTTTGGATAAGATCAAGTGTAAAATCCAGGAATATATTACTTTAAAAACAAAAACAGGGCCGGGGATTTAGCTGGTGGTGCTGCCACCTGCCTCACAAGCACAAAGTCCTGAGTTCGATTCCCGGTACCAAAACAAAAACAAAAACAGCTGCTAATATCTTATAATTTAGATTATCCCTTATTAAAAAGACAAATGGAAGGAGCTTCATTGCAAGAAATAACTGATAAGATAATAATTGTACATTGCTACCTGAACATTAATTAACCTTCAGGGAAATCTGAGAGAACGTGAAAAAGTCCCATTTTGTAAGCTCCTTTCTTGCATAAAGGACCAAAGTAAAAAGCAGATTTAGATTCAAGGTTTGGGGTCCTTCCCATGTTGTCCCTCCCCTGAGCCCCTGTCGGAATGGAGGACAACAGGATTAGATGGTGTCCCACAATCCCTACCTGTCGAAAGCAGGGGCGTTGGCCTCCAGGCCTCTGTGAAGCCTCAGATGATGAGAGCCAACCTAAAGCAAGAAGAAACAATGGTGAATCCTCTGCTCTGTGAGCCCAGGAAGGACTGTGTTCCCAGTCTTCCTCTCACTGTCAGCCAGGCTGCATGTGGCAGCCATTCGGCTACTTTGGTGGCCCATTCCCAGCTCAGGAAGCCCATGCTCCCTGTTCTGCAAACAGTGCTCCCAGTTGAAGTCTGGCTCTGCTGATCCCCAGTCCTGACTATAGCATTGCCCCTCCTGGCCGGAATCCTTCCACGGACAAGAGAAATTCCAGGTAGGAGTGCGAGGGAGATGTCAGATCGCCAGACTCTCCAGCCAAACCAGTGATGGGGTGAGAAACTGCTTTCCAGCCTCTTTACTCCTCCAGGGGTCTTGATAAGGATTGTCCTAACTATCTAATTTGTCTTAATATTTAGAACCACCTGTCTAATACTCAAATTTTTTTTTTTGGTACCAGGGATCGAGCGCAGGACCTTGCACTTGCAAGGCAGGTGCAGTGCCCCTGAGCTAAATCCTTAGCCCCCAACTTACTTTTAAAAACACATGTCAAGAACACATTGTTAGTAGTGCCAGCTTGAGGGGGCTCTCAGTAGTTAAATCTGGGGGCAACTTGAGTATCAAATAATATGAGGACAATAGTCTAATGAATAAAATAGGAATCTGTTGATCTACTTTGATGGTAACGATGGATATGTGGATAGGTAGATGGATGGACCGATGGGTCAGTGTATGAGTTGATATGGGAAAGAAGGAAGACTCATCCTTACAGCAGAATATCTATTGATAAATGTAGAGAGTGTAGAAATTATTTTATTACCACCATAGTGAAGAACACAAAAGTCATTCATTGATAAGTCTTACACAAAGTTTGATGAGGAGCATGATCTCAGAGTTTTGCTATACAGCACTTACTGCTTGAATGGGAAAATATTCATGACAAGTGGTAAAATTGAGAAGAACCTTGACTAGTAACCAAAATTAACATCACTAAAGGAGGGGCAGGTGGACATCATATGCCTGGAAGGACACTGCATTGCACAGGCAGTATTCTGGCCAGGGTTCAACAAAGTCCAAATCTTCTTTGGTCCCATGAGACCTGGGTCAGAAGGGAAGTGAGTGCATGAAATGAGGCATCTTTGTTGTGAACTAGAGAGAGTCCCCAAGAAAGGCCCAGCCAGAACACCCTCCCTTTGTTGCCTTGGTTTCCTCTGCCCTTTTTCCCAAACGCCACTGATGCCTGGCTGAGAAAATGTCAGACACTTAATTTAAAAACATTATTAGCCCTGCAGTGCAGAAAAGATCGCCACCCGTCAGTGTTGTCGCTTCAGGGCTCACATAGGTACCCTCAGCCACCTGCCACAAGATCACCAGGGGCTGTTGCCCAGGTAGGAGCTGCTTGTTCCGTGTATGTCCTCTGTCGGCAGCACAAGAAATGTCCCTGGTCAGAGGGACAGGCAGCAACTGTTTTAGAATCATCTCCATGGGTGAAGCTGTGGAGACAAAGGGACCCTTCTACATTACAGGAGTGTAAACTAGTACAACCACTATGGAAATCAGTGTGGAGATTCCTCGAAAAACTAAAACTAGAAATTCCATTCAGCCCAGCTATTCCCCTTCCAGGTATCTTCCTGAAAGAGTTAAAGCCGTCATATTACAGTGATGCATGCACATCCATGTTTATAGCAGCACAACTCATAATAGCTAAATCTTGGAAATGGCCTATATTCCTCCCAACAGATGAATGGATAAAGGAAATGTGGTATTTATCAACAATGAAATATTGCTCTGCCTCAAAGAAGGATAAATTTTAGTCATTTGTAGAAAAATGGATACACTTTGAGACCATAATGTCAAGTGAAATAAATCAAACACGCAAGTTTAAATATCACATGATTTATATGAGAAGCCCCAAATATAAATAAATTAAAGAGCAAAATAAAAAATTGATGATAGGAAACAGGGAAATAGATCTTTTGCAAAAGGGAAGGGGACCGAGAGATAGAGGGGGAGGGAGGGGGGAGGAAGGGGCTTAAAAAAAGATGTGTTATGGACATGTACCAGCTCCCATGGTTACTGTAATTGTTTCATACTGAAAACATGTACTAACAAAAATAAAAACTGAGAGAGAGAGAGAACACAAAGCCAACAATGGGTCAGAAGCCTGGCCTGGTTGTGACAGGCTCCAGTGCTGGACAGGCCTGCCTGTCTCTGAGTCACACCCCAAAGCTCTTTCTTTAAACAGGTGGGGCCTGCAGGCACAGCTGGCTGCACTTAGCAGTGCCCAGTCACCAGGTCTGGAACTCCCCCATTATAAAGATCATCCGAATCACCCATTGCTGAGTTACTGAGCACCAAGTCAACATGGGAAGATAGGAACAAAGTGGAGATCCTAACTACATCCCTCGCCCTGGAGGTTCCCAACCCAGATAGAATCACCATAGAAAGCCCCAGAAGCACTGAAAAGTTCCGAACAAGTTTTCAGAGCAAGGACTACTTAATTTTGTGGAGATCGTGCACTCACACACTGAGAACCAGCAGTGAAACACTCTGACCATGCGCATGGGGACTCGGAGAAGGTGGGAAGCAGATAGGGAGCTGGGGAATCAGTGGGCAGTGGCAGAAGGGTACAGAGGCCATGGCTGGCGCCCATGGCTCCAAGGTCTCTGCCTGTCTGTTGGCCTGGACTTAGATATATTCCATCAGCATGGTCACATTCCCAGTATCACTTGGGAACACGTTGCAGTCAAGGGCACCACGCCCAGATGAATGGCCAAGGCTGGAAATGAGTGGAAAGGGTCACAAGTCTAGGCCAGTGGTTCTCAAAGTGCGGTCCCTGGACATCCCCTGGCCCAGCTCAGACCTGCTGAACCAAATCCTTGTGGGTGGGGCCAGGCCTGTGATTCTCACAAGCCCCCTGGTGACTCCACTGCACACCTGCTCTTCTTTGGGCAGTGATGGCTTTGAATCCTCATCTACTTCATTCCCCTTTGCTAAGGGGACAAATGCCTGTGGAGGGGCAGGAGAAGTGCTGCTCCGGGTCCACATCTGCGCTGTGGAGCCATGTCACACAGTCCTCCTCTCTGGCATCGTGGCCTCAGGCTGGATCCTCCATCCCCTAAACCAGATGGGGCCTTGTGTGTAATGGAGGAGACTTGGACCCCCCAATTTTTCAGGAAATGGTCCTTCAGTACCCCTTTAGGACTCCTCAGGCCCTGCTCTGCCTCTCCCACCCCCAACCTCCTGGTCTTTTCTCCACCCTAGCCTGCCTTAACACCAATGTACATTGCCCTTCTCAGGGGTCACCTACTCCTAAAGTCACCGTGTGTCAGAAGCCTCAGGAAAGAACTGCAGTTGGATGGCATGAAATCTCCATTGGTCCTGGCCCACTGGAGCTAAGTGCACTGCTTTTTTTTAGCTTCCCTTCCTTCTCCTTCACCCTGGCTTCCTCCTTCTTGCTAAAGGGTTGATTTCCCTGGTCTGGTCCCTGAAGGCATTTGTTCCATCTCATAGACTGGTCACCGAACTGGCCATTCCAATGGTGCAAGTGCTGGCCATGGGCCCCAGCAGAGGCTCCACCAGCATTCATTCAAGAGGGACCAAAATCACAGCAGCATTTACAGGCCCTCCTGGTACCCACTGCTCCCACCTGCAGACTGCAGCAACACTACCTGCAGCAGCTCCTTCCTGGGGTCTCGGCCCTCTATCCCTGAACCAGGTTAGTGTGGGGATCTGGAGAACTCAGTAGCATCTCCTACCAGCTCAACAGCTGACTTAGGCACAGTTCAGGCTCAGTGAGGTCAAGCTGGCAGGCCAGAAGTAGCCACGATGTGTTTACAGAAATGAACAAATGCTCCAAATCAAAGTTCCCAACACCCTTGTCAACCCCAAGAAACACAGTTTACCTGCACACTATGGAGCAGTCCCCATGCTTTCCTGGACATTGGGGTCACCTCAGGGTCCTCAGGAAGTACTGCTGCTGGCTCCCACCCCCAGACACTGGTTTAACTGGTATGGCACTGATGGGGTCGGGATGGTCAAAGCCACCAGTGACTCTAATGTGTGACAGACTTGGATACCAACATTGGCAACTCCTGGGGTGGAATTAAAACTCCTTAAGATACACAGCCACCCTGACCCAGCCCCCCCCCCCATCTCCTATATCACCTCTCCTATCCCCCCTGCCTGGGATTCCAAGCACTGAACCAGTGCCACTCCAGGGATGTGCCGTGATCCAGGGGTTACACCAGCTTCTCCCTCTCCTGGAGCTGCCTCCCTTGCCAGCGTGGTTCCCCCATGCCCACTCCCCAGTCAAGACAGACAAGAATCCCGAGGGGACCTTCCAGATCCTCAGCTGTCCTCTCCCTAGTCCTTGCTTGGGCCAGCTGCCCCTCCTGAGAGGTGCCACTGGATCTCGGCCTTCCTCTGTCACAGGTTGATTCACACAAGTCTGTCACATCCTTGGCCCCTGCTCCTTGAAGGAGGGACTGTATCTGACTCTGGATGCCCCATGTACCAGGCTAAAGCTCCATGAACTCCTATGAGATGAAAGGCTTGGCCTGGGGTTGTCGATTTCCCATCAGTTGGTGAGGTTTGGCAGAGAAACACAAGGAAATTGGTCTTTGTGCTGTCGCCTCATGTCATGGTCATCATGAAGATGGGGGACATCTTACAAGCCCTCAGGACACAGAGGGCCACGATTCTTTCCGTGTGACTTGTGATGTCCAGATGTCCAGTGTGACTCCAGATGTCATCATTTATTAAAAACAGCTATCATTTTGAAAACTTTTTAGGTTCTAGATACTCTGCTAAATTCAAGTATGTATTATGACCTTTATTTCTCTCTATAATCCTATGAGGCAGATATAATTAACCCAACTTTACAGGATAAGGCTTAGTGAAGATTAGAATTTCTCAAAAGTATATGATTACTGAGCTGGGGATTTAGCTCAGTGGTTCTGCCACCTGCCTCGTAAGCCCAAGGATGTGAGTTCGATCCCCAGTACCAAAAAGAAAAGTATATGATTACTAAATGAGATGCCAGAATTTGAATTTGACCCAGGTCTAGATAGCTTCAAAGTTTATGTTCTGAAAAAGTATGGCAACTGCCTCATGACGTTGGTTCCTTCTATGCTGGCTGCCAGATGTCCAGGACAAATATGATGCTGCTGCCCACGAGCTGCTCAGACCCACAGCAGGCACTGTGCATGCCAACTCTGGCCCTGGCTTCAGTTGATTCTCATCCAGAGTACGCTTCTCCTTCACCCACTTTTTTCTGGAAATTGCTTTGCCACAAGCCATCTCACATCTTTTGTGGAACAAAGAAAAGCACAAACATGCAACCAAACACATCAAGAACTCAGTAAAAGGTTTTGACAGGGAAGAGGTGAATACTGCTAAGAAGCCCCCCAATCCTCCGATTCTCCTTCTGATGGTTTTGTCGTATGAAACTTCAAAGCACAGACCAAACCCACGTGTGCAAGACACGTGTCTGCCTATGCACCTTAGAGGGAGGAAAATCCTGAAGCGGCAATGGGAGCAGTCTTCAGCAGATGAACAAGATGGTAAATACACACTCTAACAAGCAACACCAGGGGAGCAATACATTCAAGGGTAAAATTTCACTGTGGCTATTTATAAATTGCACAAACTTTTTACATGATACAGATGAAATTATTAAAGATACATGCCTGCCAGACAGAAAATAAGGATTTAAGAGTCTGGACTGAAGGCACTATGCCTCTGAGCACACACAGACAAATCGTGGCTCCACACCCTCTTTGCCCACCTCAACCTCCACCCCTGACAAGGCTCGTGTTCCCCAGGGCAGCCCCACAAAGTCACACCTTGCAACTGAGAATGCAAGCTATCTGCCAAAAATCTTTGAGCTTCTCATCCTGAGTGAAGAAGGAAGGGGCAAAGTTTAAAATGGAGAGAAAACTACCAGAACTCATCCTTAGCAGATATTAATAGTTCAGGCTAGATAACCATAGACCACCATGTAAGTTGCCCTCCCAGTCCCCTCTGAAGATGATCCAATCCCTCTTTGATGATGGATGGTATTTAGAAGATAAACACAAGGATTAGGCCCAAAGGTTAGCAAATCCCTAAGAAGATTAATGACCACTAAAGCTTTTCAAAACTGTAGCTGAAGACACCACAGAGGCTTTGGTGAAACACAAGTGTTAGGATTCTAAAAGATGATGCAGCTTCTCAAAAGCTGTGTGAGGCGTGTCCTCACGACCCTGGTTGGTGACTCAGGCACAGTCATTCCATGGCAGGGTAAGTCTGAGTCAGGGGCATCGTCAAGGTCAAGCTGGAGACCGCTTTGGTCTTTTAGACAAGGGAGATAAGAATATTAAGAGTCCTAGAGGGCCAGGGATTTAGCTCAGTGGTTCTGCCACTTGCCTTGCAAGTGCAAGGTCCTGAGTTCAATCCCCGGTACAAAAAAAAAAAAAAGAGTCCTAGAAATAGGACAGAAGATGACCAAAGACATTGGAAGGCCTAAGACAAAATGGCAGAGGAAGGCCCCTGAGGCCACGCCACCAAGCACTGCAGGGGAGTTGTGGTGAGAAGAGGCAGACTTCCTCCTGTGGCTCTCTGAACACTCTGGAGAGACAACAACAGAGACAGCTGCCCAGTGTGAAGAGGTCCTGGCACAATCAGGGACAGCCCTAGGCGTGGCCTGTAATATGGCCTGAGTCCTCACCCTGAGCTGGGTGGGAGTACAAAATGGATGGGTTTCAAAGATCCTTCTCATACTCTATGAATCTGTTACACCCATCCCCTCAGTTCTGAGCCTTTTTATAAGTTTTATATGAAATATAATGTGGTCTTCCTGATTGCTCTCTATACTATATCCCTTTGATTGGTTTTTCAGCCTCATAATTACAGAGCTCAAGCAGTTTCTGAAAGAAAGCTCCAGGACCAGGAACGTAGCTGGGTGGGGGATGTAGCTCAGTGGTGCCGCACCTGCATGGCAAGGGCAAGGTCCTGAGTTCAACCTTCAGCACGGCAAAAACAAAAAAAAACCTCCACATTTAAAGAAAATTATTACAAAACTCTTTTGAAATGTCCAGAGTAGGAACTCTACAGAGACAGAAAGTGAGCTAAGTGCTGCTCAGACCTCAGGCTGAGCTGGGACAGTGGGGTGACTGCTAATGACACAGTTTTCCAGCAGTGCTGAGAATGCTCTAAGTTAGGGACTGGAGATGCAGCTCAGGGCTGAACTGCTTCCCTAGCACATGTGAACCCTGACTTCAAGCCCCAGCACTGCAAAAAAAAAAAAAAAAGGATGTTCTAATTTTAGATTATGGAACTTGTAACACAATTCTAAGTGCACTAAGAAACACTGAGTTCTATGCTTTACGTGGGTTTATGGAATGGATCAATAAATGTCAAAAAAACCCACAAAACTCCCTTGGAAAGTGCTCTCGGGGAAGTTTCTCAGTTACATACTTTTCTATGCTACCTTTCAATGCCACTGGCCATCCTTGGATGCCTGGGTTGTTCCTTTCTAGTGGGAAGACTACATGCTAATAAAGCCTTTTTTCCCCACAGAACTCAGAGCCTACACGAGACACTCAGTCCATCCATCTCACTCCATAGGCCGACACGTTGTGTTGTCAATGCAGCAAGCTAACAGCTGTGGGCCTCAGAGGCTCCCCTACCAGTGGCATGGGGACAATTCTAGGTCTGGGTTGAGAAACTGAACCCCAGACTCGGAGCCCTGCTGTGTCAGACAGCCTAGCACATGGCACCCTAGGCCTCTTCAGATGCTGGCTGATGACCCAACTGCAGTCACACGAGAGGCCTCAGTGAGAAGAGCTGGAGATGACAAAGGCCGCAGGTGAGAGGTCTTCTGAAGGTACCACATTTCCCCAACGCAGGGGAGAGGATGGAGATTAGTGTGAGGAACCCCTGGACCATTCAGCCCTGAGACCACTTCATTAGAGAACCCACACAGGGAGTAACATGTCTTTCATGGATGACAAGTGTGTCCTTTGAAAGTATTCCCATCCCCTGAGCTCTTCCCGGGACACAGAAGCCAAATTCTTCTGGCACTGACCACAGCCCTGCTTGGATGGTACTGGGTATTTTTAGAAGTCACGAGAAGGCTCTGCACAATCCTCACGTGGCTCCACACAGGCACTGCCAAATGCCAGACCCATCACATGGCCACCAAAAGGCCCCCCTGGCCCTTCTGAAGGCTCTGTAAGAGTCCCAGCTCTCAAAACCATTCTTGGTACACTGAACACAGCCCAGCACAACATGTGGCCTCCTCCTTCAGCAGACATGCACATAGTACCCAGGTCAGAGAACACAAGTGTTTGCTCATCCAAACACTGCAAAGCAGCCTGTATAATACACACACACACACACACACACACGTGTACATACACACTTTTGACAGCTTGACTCAACACACCTGGGCTGAGGAAAAGGATCAGAAACTCCACCATGAAAGTAACACGTTTAAAGAAACAAACCACAGCTACTGAAGGGCAGAGGAAGAATAACATGAAGAACACAGTTTTTGTTTAAATCACCTACCTGAAGCCCTGGCTGCTCCCAAAACAGCGGAACCGACCCTCTGATCTGGATAAAAGATGAGACTCCATCATCCATGTAAATCGTCTGCAGCACAAGGGAACAGAAAGGGAAAGGTATTCTTCAATGAAATCCAATGTCCTGGACCGGTAACGGGATCCGGTGCCTGTGATCCGACACCAGTCAGGAAAGGCAGACAGTGGACTTGGGCGCCCTCTGCTCTCTCACCCAGCACAGCTGGCATTGGCCAGGTGGCAGGGCAGGTGGCTGCTGGCCAGTCTCTGAGGAGGGGCCTGGGGTGACTGAAGACCCCAAGACCTGTCCTTTGTAGAGTCTGGGAATTCACACTCCTAGGGTGCAACTTGGCCCTGCTCCATGAAAAACTCAGCACTACCTCCTCCTCCCCACTTTGGGAACAGAAGCAAATGTGCCCTGGGATTTAACTAAGACCTTTCTCGGTGCCCTCTACTTCCACCTGTCCAATAGCTAAGTAGCAGGGAGCCAGCTACTGGAAAAGGATTGAAGAAATCAAATGAACAAGGAAGCGAAACAGCCAAAAGACATAGTTGACTGCACCTGTCAGTCTCATATTTGACAACACAAGTCAAGACTCAACTTGAACTTGGTTCTGGCCCTGTGCCACTCTGTCCTTAAACACGGCACTCAGCCACTACACACAACAGTTTCCACAAGCTTCCAGTATCCTGCCCCTGTGTAGAAACAGATGATACTTACGCTTTGAAAAAATCCCCCCCCCCATGCACAGGGTACTTCAGAGTGTGCCTGTGGGCTTCCAATGACACTGGAGAGCAAAGGAGTTTAAAAGACAAAAAGTACAGTCCTGAGTGCCCACAGGAGAAGACTGCAGTGGTAATCAGACGCCCAGGCCCTATCTGCGCAATTCTACCCTGACTTGGCAGGGCTGGCCAGGGCGCCACTCTAAGTCCTTTCCATTGCTTACCAGCCCGCTCCCTTACAGGGAGCTTTCCGCACAGGCAGATCACGCTCAGATCACAAATGCATTAGTAATTCTGCAGGGGAGGGTATGACAATGAGACCTGCAAGTCCCCAGACCACAGGAATGACACAGACCTGGTATCTGTGTTGTGAACTGTAATTTTAGCCTTAGTCTCCAAAGGAAAAATGTACCTGTTGAAGAACACCCTGTGTTTTCAGGTACAGACTATCAGCAAATTTGTCACTCTCCTTTATTCTACTAATAAAACCAGGACAGAATAGCAGATTGTTAAAACCATTTCCAGCATAGTTGCAATGGTGAGATTAAGGATATAAAGCTGACCTAACTGCAATCCCCATAACCCCAGATTTCAGAGAAAGAAACCAACTCAGCCAATATTTGAATATGAAGACAACTGTCAATGATGCTCAGGTTCTGATCAAGCTGAGGAACTCTCAACCTTCACTTGGTGACCCTGTGCTCATAGTGCTGCTTCCAGCCTGACCTGGTTCCAGAGTCCTGCTCAGAATCAGCTTCTGGAACATCTGGAACCCCTTCCCCACTGGAGTAAGAGGAAAGGGTGCTGCAAAGTTCTTCCCTCTCTCCTCCCCAGGAAACCCTCTATGTCTACACCCCCACTCTCACCAGGCCCTTAACCTGGCCACCAGCATGTGAGGTGCTCCACAGTATTCCCAGAATGCACATGGAGTGGGGGAAAGGGCTGGTCTCACATCACAGAGCCCATTCCTCAGCGGTCACTTCGGGGCCCAGAGGGAGGCAGGGTGGAACATGAAGCACATGAGAACAGCATGCTGGCAGGGGCCCAGTCTGATCCAAATCCACTTCGCAAACTCCCACCTTCCTAGTAGGATGGCCCTAGGACATTACTGCACACGGTCAGCTCCTGTTCCCTCTCTATAAACGGAGGTAATGTCACCTGGTGCAGAGTGTGAATGAAGGTGCATGGACCCAGCAGAGAGTAGGCACTGAAAGGTGTGGTTGCTGTGACTGTGGACAAGGCCATCCAGTGAGTAAGGAGGGTTTTGCTGGGGCAGAATGCTAGGCAAACAGGTCTAGGCCATGAGGGCATGAGGCAGGAAGGAAGCCAAGAACAGAACAGCTGGGAAGGGCAGCGACCTAGCAGGAGCCCCTTGTGGAAGGAGGGAGCCTGGGCAGGTGCTATGACAATGTACTAGGCAGCCAGAAGGCCACCATTAACGGTCCCTTTCTCCAAGTGCTGGGAGCAGAAACCAAAGTGCCATAAATAGAAAGGGACAAAATAGGAAAACATGCCAACTGTGTGCACACGCTTCCATCAGAAAGGCTTTTTGCCGGACCTCTACGTCCGGATGCAACAGTAACAAACCAGCCCTTCCAAATCAGCTCCGGGGAAGACGCACACAGTCATTCTCACTGCCCCTCAATTAGTCAGTGGCCTTATCTCTAATAGTCAAATACTTATCTCGGATCCTTTTTTTTTTACAGACTGAGGGACTTTTTGGTTTTGTTTTTCTGCACAATGAGTCACTGCTGCAGAGCAAGCCCACTGGGTATGACTCACAGCTGAGCCAAAAAGACTCAAAGCTTCCTCCCAGGAAGCCAGAGATGCCTCCCACACATGTACACAATATGTGTTTGTACATATACACCACACAAAGGCACACAGCATGTACAACACACGATACACACGACACATGCAACACACAAATGTATACACAGCACAGTGCATGTGATATATACATACCACACATAGAACATGTGGCATGTACATATCACACAGATGTGTGTACACCCACAATACACACATACACACATATACAGCCTGCCTAGGAGGAGGCAGATTGTTCATTCCTGGGAAGAAAATGTTAAAACAAGGCAGAAACAGAGGGAGCTGAAAGCTTCTCATTCTCAAGCTCCCAAAAATTAACTCATGAGAAGCCAATTTGTCTCTTGACAGACCCCACTCTGTTCTCTGTGTACAGCCACTCGACAAAGGACACCTGCAAAGGCCATCCAGTTGCCCCCAGCACCTACTGCAGGGCCTCCGGTCTGTAGACTCCTCTCCCCAGCAGGGCCCAAGTCAACAGTGGCTCGTGGATACCACCACCAGGGCAGTGCTGTCCCAGCATGCCTCTTTTTCACTGGGGCTTGGCAATGATGTCCTTAGTGATTGCCTACAGACAAGCCTGTAGCCTCAAGTTACTTGGGAGGCTGAGGCAGGAAGATAGCACCCTGGGGCCAGGTGACTAGAATCAGTGCCTGCCATTTCTTCATGGTCAGGTGGAGGAGGAAGCCACACCTCCTACCTGAATCCACCCCTCTCTATCTACCAAACCACTGTCATTAAAGGCCTCGGAGAGCTTGTACAATCTGCTATTTCATATCAGCAAAGGCAGGAGACGGGTACCTAAGGGTGCACACTACCCTCAAGTCCTGGCCCCATAGACTCAAAGGAATAGGACATGCCCAGCATCCATGATACCACTTCAGCCCTAAGTGATAAGCTACTACGTCACCAGACAGGTCCCCATGCTCACAGTGAACCACCTCTACCAGGGCTGCTCCCCAAGCTCATCAAAGACCACAGGGTGAGCAGAGCCTCCCCAAACTGCTACCAATCTCCAAGACACATCATGAGAGGCACCTTCATCAGCTCATGGCCAGAGCACCAGGCAGGAGGCAAGCAGCTGAGCCCTGGCTATGGGAAGTGCCCTGGCAGGTAGAACACTGCAGTTTGTTCCTGCTGTACTCTGAGTCCCCACATGCCCAGGATGGAACTGGAGCCCAACAGGCTAACGAGCAGACTCTACTGACGTGCCCAAGGGTTCATTTCCAGGTTGCCAGCAAGGACAACTGTGGACACACCTCTGCAGAGTGACACCCCCTCTCCACGTGGTTGTCTTCTCCTTAGCATCACAGTGGTCTGACTGCCTGGGTTCCTACTTCCCAGGTGAACCATCAGGAACAACCTCAAATGCATGTGCCCAACAAAAGACTGCTCTGAGTGCAAGGCCACAACACTCATGCCATGCGACGAGCCTGGTAGAAACAGTCACCGTGGGGTTAAGTTACATCCCTTCAGTCAGGCGGGGGCCTGTGCCTGCAGCCACCTGTGTGGACAGCAGATGGTGGTGTCCAACTGCCCTTCAATGAGAGGCCAGCATTGCCTGGCCCAGAGGAGGAAAAGGGATGGAAAACAAAAGCTAGAAGACCTCAAAGGTACATTCTGGAAGCCAAGAAATCCCTCCGCCTAGTCTCAAGAAAGGGAAGTGGAGGCAATTCAAACAGCAGTGATCATGCTAAGGTTTTCCCCTCTAAAACTCATGTTGAAATTTAACTCCCACTATGAGATACCAGTATTTAGAGGTGGGACCATTAAGAAATGATTAGGGCTCTATACTTAATGAATTAATGGGTTATCCTGAAAGTGGATTTGTTAATGAATGCCAGAATGGCTAAGCCTCCTTAGGCTTAGTGTGCTCTCTGTCTCTCATCAAGTGATGACTTGTGTCACAGGACTCTGCCAGGACAAAGGCTGTCATCAAGCCAGGTACAGTGGCATAAGCCTCAATTACTTAGGAGGCTGAGGCAGGAAGATAGCAAATTTGAGACCAGACTGGGCAATTTAGCAAGGCTGTTTCAAAATAAAAAATAAAAAGCCGAGGCCTGGGGATTTAGCTCAGTGGTTTCGCCTCTTGCTCCACAAGCGCAAGGACCCGAGTTCGATCCTCGGTACCAAAAATAAATAAATAAATAAAAATAAAAATAAAAGGGCTGGGGATGTAGCTCTGCAGTACAGCACTTGGCTAGCATGCTCAAGGCCCTGGGTTTAATCCCCAGCACTGCAAAGAACATCACTAGACTGGGGCCCCTCACCCTTGGACAAGAGCTGTGAACCAAAACAAACCCATTTTATGACTTACTGTATTAGTCACTTTCTCCTCACCAGGATAAAATACCTGACACACACAACTTGAGGAGAGGTTTATCTCGGTATAACTTACAGTTTCAGAGGATTCAGTTCATGGTCAGCTGGGTGCAAGGCAGAAATGGTGTGGTAGAAGTGCAAGATAGAGGAAAGCTGCTCAACCCATGGCAGCCAGGAAGCAGAGCGAGCAGGAAGAGCCTCAGAGATGTATCCTCCAAAGGCACACCCCCAGCAACCCACCTCCTCCAACTGGGCCCTTCTTCCAATAGCATATACAGCTAGGAACTCATCAATGGATTAATCCACTGATGAGTATAGCACCCTCATGATCCAATTATTGTACCTTGCAAAAGCCCCTCCTCTGAATACATGAGACTTTGAGCCTGGGGTATTTTAGAGCTAAACCATAGCACTGTCCCAGGTATTGTGTAATTAGCAATAGAAAACAGACTAGGACAGGGCTGTGGCCCAAGAGCTGGGAAAGCCTGGTCATATCTAAGGCCTTGCTGGGTTGCCCTAAAATAGGAGATTCAGGAGCTGTGGGCAAGGTCCCTACTCCTGAGCCCTAACAAGTTGACAGGTAAAACAAGAGACACATGTCAGTCCCTGGCACACATCATTAAAGAGCCAGGGCAAAGGCCTCAGCCTGAGTCTGTAGCAACACCTGCTAGTCTTCAGAAAGTGAAGCAAGAAAAGATCACAGGGAGTGTTCCTGAAGCCAGATGCACAGCATCAAAGGCACAGTCCTTTCACATGGGATTATGTACTGGTTATGGGTTGGTTGTGTCCCTTCCAAACAGGTAAGTCCTACCCCTAGTACTCCAAAGTGTGACCTTGTTTGGAAACAGCATCTTTGCAGATGTAATTACTTTAAGAGAGGCCATCCTGGATGGAGAAGGGTGGTCCTTGTTGCAATATGACTGGCGTCCTTATAAAGACAAACAGGCAAAAGAGGCAGAGCCTGGATGATGTTGACCCAAACCTGGTGATGCCCAAGGCTATCAGAAACTGGGGGCTTTGAAGAGAACCTTGATTTCAGATTCCCAGCCTCCAGAAGAGTACTTCATTATAGGAGCCTCAGGAAGCTCACACAGCTCACCTTGACATTGTGTTAAAATGTTCTACCTTAGGCAGTTGTGGTGGCGTACACCTGGAACTCCAGCACTCTGGGAGGCTGAGGCAGGAGGACTGTGTGAGCCCAGCTTTGGGAACTTAGTGATTTAGAGAGACCCTGACTCAAAATAAAAAAATAAAAAAAGGACTGGGGATGAAGCTCAGTGTGAAAGCCCTGGGTTTAATCCCCAGGAAAACACACACACACACACACACACACACACACACACACACACACCGCGGGGGGGGGGTAGAGACAGAGACACAGAGAGAGAGACTTATATGACACGACAGTGAAGTGGAGACAGTTGTTTCCCTGATGACATACTTGGTAAGATACAAAGGATGAGACCAGTTTATTAACTAGATAGAGAATGAAGGGAGGCTGGGACTCAGGGATTCCCTCTAGGGCCCCACAGTGATCTCTGGAATCTGCTCCATCTCCCAGTTCAGAGGCTTGGCAACGCTGATTTACACAGACGTGCTTTGCCCCTTTGGTCCTGTTCCCAGCGAAGCTCCCAGTTCATGGCAGGTGATAAACAATAAAGATGTACTGAATATCTGAGCAATAAAAGTGCAGCTGGAGAAGTGGTTATGAAGGTGGTGAATATGAGGTAAAGGCAGTCATCTTCACCATGCAGACAACCAAGGAAAAAGAAAACCTCCTCCACTGGAGGGCTGCATATTCTTTTCTTTCCTTTCTTTCTATTTATCTTTGTACAGAGCTGGGGATGGAACCCAGGGCCTCATGCAAGCTAGGCAAGTGCTCTACCAATCCTACATCCCCAGCTCTCTCTCATCTTTAACCAGGCATTTATTTAACAGCCTTGTCAATATTCAGGAGTCTGAGCATGGAGCAGAGTCCCTGGCAGATAACTGCACCTGCTGCTTGTTTGAGGGCTCCTGTTCCATGTCTCTCTTATGCTTGCCCCACTCCAAGAGGAGCCTCCCCAGCTTTGCATCTTTAATAGCTGGTTCCTACAAAATGGAGCTCCACACTGATTTGAGTCGCCTCTGAATGCCCAAGCACACAGAAGCTCACCAGATAAGAGACATGTGGTGGATTAACTATGGTCAACTTGAAATGCCCATCTGAACTGAGTCAGCGTGGTTCTGGGCGTGGAAGACCCACCTGAGGACTGTTTTGAACAGCATCCAAAGAGAATTGGAGAGGAAGATTGTGTGCTGTTGATTTTCCTGATACGGACTCAGCTGTTCTCATCGTCAGAGAAGCTCGGGTCCTCACCCTTGCTAGGGATGGCTGCTGTGGTTGTCAGGGAAGCTCTGGTCTTCGCCTTGAGCTTTGCTTCCTGGCTTTAGTGCAGGTCTCTCAGCCTGGTAACACAAATCCCTCATACCGCCAGCACAGACTTTCTAGCTTTCACCACTGGCCTTTGGACCTTCCTAGTGCTGATCCTCGTTACAGTCTTGCCTGAGAAATCGCCGTGGGCGGTAGGCCTCTGGCAGGACTTATGGAAGACACTGCCTTGGGCTCTAGGCCTTTAGCTGGACTTGTGGGAGACACTGCTGTGGGATCCAGGCCCTCGGCTAGATTCTTCGGGTCTCTAGTGTGTGGACAGATCTCTTGCACTCCTCTGCATCTGACTTTTTGGGTGACTATTATAAAATAATCCTATAAATTATGTGTCTTGAGGGCTGGGGATTTAGCTCAGTGGTTCTGCTGCCTGCTTTGTAAGCGCAAGGACCTGAGTTCGATCCCCAGCACCAAAAAAAAGAAGAAGAAACAGGACACAATTCAGTCCACAACATTAGGGGCCAGGCATTTAGCTCAGTGGTTCCGCCACCTGCCTCGCAAGCCAAGGACCCAAGTTTGATCCCTGGTACCAAAAAAAAAAAAATTATATGTCTTGTATTAAATCTACTCCCTTTAAAACCCTAACTACAACAAGGCAGGTGTGCAAATTTATGCTGAATTCACCCAAATTCAACTGAAGTCTGCACAGGGAGTGCCTCTCACAGTGGGTGCAGAGCCTCAGCTGCACTAAATACACATGGGGGGTTTGTAGCTTGCCACCCACAGTGGCGTCACACCTGTGCCTCTCTGGAGCTTTCCCTTCCTGCAGTTGATGTGCTGCTAGCTGGCAGTAGCCCACAGGGTGCAAGTCAGAACAAACACAACAGCAGTTGTAAGACAGCAGCTCTGGGAGTAAGGACAGAAGTTAGGAAAGGAAACTGATAAGGAATTATGCAGAGTCCCACTCTACGAGAGCTGAAAGCAACTGCTGCTCAAAATGCTGACTTCACAGCTCCCAGGTGCTCACACTTGCTTCTAGGATAAAGCTTGAGCTGATTTAGAATAAATGTTTCTTGTCCCATCCTTCCATTGAATTGATGTACTTTTTTGTCCTAAAAAGATTTTTCAAGCCCTGTTGGTTCGTCTCTCAGCTGCTTCTGGAACAACTGTCACTCTTTCTGACCAGAGCAACCACTTCCGATGCCTTCTAACTAAAAATACCTTAGGTAAGCAACACTGTCCCAGCATGAGATGTGAATCAAAATCCATGCAAACCTGAGGCCAGATTTTTCATGCAGAGGCTAATGACATACATACACAGGAAGGAACTGTGATCAGAAACCAGCCCAAATACATCAGGGTCCCTTCTGCCCCAGGTGAAAAAATGTCTGCATAAGTTGCAGTACATGTGAACCACTTGGTGCCAGGGGTGGGCCCGGGCACTCACCTGCTCTGTCTCCACAAAGTTGGACACATGGCCATCATCATTCACGCCACGGGTATGGAAGCGAGCACCGGCACGCTCACAGCTGATTCGGGAGATGAGACAGGCCTTGGCCTGCTTGTGCGAGGCATACACTGTGCGAATGGCCACCACGCCACAGATGACCTTCAGCAGCCAGTCACAGCAGCTCACCTGGTGCTGCCGCAGGGGCATGTGCAATAGCTGGTTCCTGCAAAATGGAGCCCCACAGAGATTAGGGTCACCTTGCCACTCCAGCAAACACTTTCCTCAATACGGGTATGGACAAGGCACTGGTGGGGGACCTGGCATTCTGCTCAGGACTCTGCAGTGGGGACATACAGATCCAGGAAGTCGTGTGCTTCAGAGACCCCAAGTGTGACACATGGAGGGGGAAGGAGGAAGAAGCCCTTTCCCAAAGCTACTACCAGTTGTCAGAGAGGCCAAACAGAAAGCAAAACTATTAGTGTGAGCCAGACAGGCACCTTTCAGGGAATTTTCAAGGAGCTTCTGTTTAGAGGCGACCACATTTTTTTATTAGAACCCATCAATAAAAAATTTAATAATGTTTTGATTAAATAATCATAGCTAGTGATAAAATGACAGATGATAAACAATCATTAAATATACACACTTAAATTATATACATCTATACACACACCGTGGGGTGAATATGATGAAAGCATTACAAACCAATCTAAGATTTTAAAAAGTGATGATGAAAGCAGCTAACATATACAGACACACATAACACCATTCTATATGCTTGGTTGGATTAATTAACTCACTGCATCCTTAAAAGGAGCCCATGTGAAAGGTATGCCCAGAAACCCATTTTACAGATACAGAAACTAAGGCACAGGAAGCAAAGCACTTGCCCAAGGTCACAGGCCTGGTGAGCAGAGCTGGCACTACCCAGCCCCACTCCTCTTGATGAAAGCCCTACATTCACACAATCACCCTCCCATTCCCCACCCACCTGGCCTCCCCCAGACCCTGGGGACCTGAGCTGTGTCATTCTGAGGCCTCTCACAAGGGGACCCTCTTTTACAGGGGCTGGAGCAAATCTAGATCACAATGCCCTACTTGTTTAAAAAAGGCAGCCCAATTCCTGCCCTTGGCCTTCCTCAAAGACAGCAGCTTGCCCTCACTGCTGGAAATGTGAGTTCTGGCGGATCTCTGGGCTTCTCCATAACCTCTGCTCTGGGGCCAGCCTCCTTGACTGCAGCCACATCTACTTTCACCCCACAGGAAGCCTGGCCCCCTCGACTTCTCATAGCCACAGGCTTCCCTGCATGAAAAATGATGAACTTCAAGCACGATTTCACAAAATGACATCTCCTTCTGAGTCACTCTGAACTTCAGGTGATAAACCACTTTACTAACAAAGATAGTGAAATCCACCTAGGGCATCAAGGCCAGGCCTCCAGATTGCAGATCTGCCAGCCAGACAGTTCGGGCCTGTCACCAAGATGCAGGGGGAAGAGCTTTGTGCCAAATGGATAACTCCAAAAAACCTCTTCTAGTGACAGGTGCCTGGTCCTCTGGGGGAGGACAGCTCATACCTCAGGGGGAGGAGACCCCAATCCGTAGAGGAACGCAGAGCTTTGTATTTCCTGCTAGGACTTGAGTGTCCTGGGAAGCAATTTTTAGTGTGACTGACAACCAGCCTGGAAAGACCACCTCCCCTGCTGCCCACTCTCCCTCACTTACTAGCCACTTGCAGTATAGACCCCACCGATTCCTGCTAGGTGTCTCCAGACCTCAGACACTGCACCACAGCACAGGGGGTGTAGGTGATGGAGGCCGTGACCACTCTGCCTGGGGACTTGGCTGTGCTCTGTTCTATGGTCTATGGCCTGAGCCCCAGCACCATGCCCTGGAATGGGTGCCAGTCCAACAGCCTGGTACCACCACAGTTGCTCCCTCCTGTCCAACCCCAAATTGCTCGGTCAGCCTGGACCAAGATTCCCATCACTGTTGCTTCTCTTCCATCTCCCGGAGATCTGAGGGCAGCAGCACTGGCAAGCAGGCCTGGGCCCTGTCCCACATAATCACTACCTCCTCTTGGCTCCTTCACAGGACATGGCAGGGTCTTGACCCCAGGGCCTAGAAAAGCCCATAGATAACTGGCATATTCATAGGGTCATCTACTCATAGTCATGCTCCTACATGGAGTGATGGCCAGATGACCCTAAACATATAGAAACTCAGCCAGACTTGTCTTCACGTTCCTTCAAGTTACTTTGGGCATGTTAACTCAGTTTCCCCAGAGACAGGCCTTGTTCAGCTTGTGACTACTACCCTGGACTCTAGAGCTAGAATGCCTGGGTTCAAATCCTGGCTCTGCCACTTATGAAATACATAGAGTTCAGCAAAATTCCCATATCCTCTCATGCCTCAGTTTCTCTATCATAAGGTGGGGTAACTGACCCTATTATGAGGACTTTGAGTTGTCATCCCAGAGAGCTTAGACTGGTACCTGAAGCACAGTGCTTTGTACATGTCAGCAAGGAATGTCTGGACACAGCAGGAAACTGGGCTCTTGACCCACTCAAAGAGCTAACCCAGGCAGGAGCACTGAGCATGCGCCAGCACACAGGGAAGCACTCTAAGATGCTGGCTCAAATGCTCTTTCCCTACAGAGCAGATTTCTTCTTCTAAATCTATGGGACCTGCCAGCAACTGAACCCATTCCCTAAGCTCACAGGATAGGGAACCCAGTTTTTCTCTCATCCTGCAGAGAGAGCGGGTGTAGATCTCAGCTCTCCAGAGGTGACCCAGAATCCTGATGTAAAATGAGGGTCGAAGACAAGTGGCCGCCCACAGGCCGCCCTCTAGGGGTATCTGGGGCCTCACCAGAAGAAGGCGTTCCCCCACTCAGAGCTGTCATCACCCTGCTTCTGCACCCGGACAGTCAGGTCAAACCGGGAGCCATCATTGGGCCACGAGAAATAAAACACCCCCGAGCTGAGGATCTTCCTCAGGGCCAGCAGGCGGTCCTCCTCCCGGGCCTCTTCCTGCAGAGGATAAAACTCGGTGGCGGTGATTTTGTAGATTTCCGCATCTGGAATTCTGCCCACTGATGTGCAGCCTGTCACCAACACCAGGAAACTCAGAGAAGCACCACCTGCAAGTGGAATCAGATAAGAGAGCTGTTTCTAGTGGCAGTTACCTATGCCTAGGGCTCTCCAGCCCTGTCACCTAAACCTAGGGTGTTGCCCCACAGAAGTGGGTGCCAGGAGCTGCTGGAAACTCAGGGTCTGGCCCTAGCCCAGCTCTCTAGGATCAGTAATCTGCTTTACTGGATCCTCCGATGATTCTAGTGCAGTTTCCAGACCTCAGCCCTCTCTACATCTGCAGCCTAAGCCCCCAACCCACCTTCGCCACTCTCATGCCAGCCTTCCCTGCCTGGTGCCCCTGTATGTGCCAACAGCTCCCCATTGGCATTGGTCACATACAAAGCCAACAGCCTCCTTCAGCCTGTGTCCCTCAGCAAATATGCTCCTCGGGGGCAGGGTTTTGGGTCCACTGTCTTTCACACCACTGGTGTTTGATGAATGTGTCCTAAACCAATTCCTGTGCAGGTCACCCGGACCACACTGACTGCTGCCCGGAGAAGGGTGCACAGTCTCTAGGGCATTGCCACACTGTCCCTGGCTGCCCAGTTCCTGTTCTGTGCCCCTTACCACACAAGGCTTCACAACCATGCTGTGTGAGTCAAAGGTAGATAGCAGGCCGGGGATGTAGCTCAGTGACACCGTGCCTGCCTGACAAGTGCAAGGTCCTGAATTCGACCCCCGGTACCAAAAAAAAGAATGGATAGCAATGCTGTGCCCAGGGACAATGGGACACCTGCCCCACCAAAGGACAGGGTCCAAGAGACAGCCTGGGTAGATAACTGGCATGGTTTGGTCCAGAGGATGCTCTGAGGTTTGAGGGATCCTCTCCCAGCAAGATCTATTCTGAACAGCCAGTGGCCACTGTCTAGAGTGACCATTTAGACATTCTCAGATCTCTCCACACTCAGATGAGAGACCCCAAAGACAGCCAGTTCTACCTCCCCAGACTTCCTCCTCACACCCCACAGGAGGAAGAATGTGGCTCGCAGCACAGAGCGACTGGTTTTTATTAAAGAGCAACATTGAATAAGTGGGTCACGACTCACTTGCCTGCTGATGCATTGCAGGGTGGCAAGGCACCTGCAGAGGCACAATACTGTTTCCCCTCACAGCTCCCCACTCATGTCCTCAGACCACTGTGTGCCTGACAATGAAGGAAGTCATGCTGGACACAGCAACGGGGTTGGGGCTCAGTCTCTCGGTAGGGTGGGTGAGTCTAGGTGTGGCTTGCATTCTCGACTCCCAGCTCCAAAGATGCAGAGTCTCCACCCTTGGCTGGGACAAGTCCACAGCTCCCCTCTGCCTGATATATGGGAGAATGCACCATTCAGCGAAGTCCCCCGGAATAGACAAAGGCTAGGAGTGGGCTTGAGAAGAGGAATGGAAATTTTTGCCTTCTATCCTTCCACCCAAGTCAGGAAGTGGATTTCTCACCTCACTCTCTCACCAGCCTCTGCGTAGGGGCCTGAGTCCCTGGCAGGAGTCCCAGGCTGCCAGGAAGACAGCCGGCATCTCCTGTGCAGGCCAGCGGCCTGGGGGAGGCGCAGGAGGCTGGGCTACAGCAGGCATGCAAGACAAATGAGAAAAGGGGAAGGTGCTACCACCACAGGGGAAGGTGCTACCACCACAGGGAACTCGGTTCCTGAGTCCTGGGGCTCTGGAGGGTGCAGGCAAGGGACTCACACTGAGGACAGCGCTTACACATTCCAGGTACTTCACACGAACTCACTTCATCCTCCCCAGGCCACCATTATTATCTCATTTTACAGGGGGTGAGGAGAATGGAGACCCAGGGAGGTTAAGTGGCCTTTCCAAGGTGACAGAGCTGGGGAGCTGGGATCCAAACCCATTTTCGGGCCACACCACCTGGACAAGTTACTCAAGTCAAGTCTAGCTGCAGACCTCTTGCTCCCCTTGTCCCTTGCAGGTGGTAGAACCAAACCACCTCACAATGCTGCTCTTGCAGGGCCACCATCACCACTTCATACACAGTGACTGTCCCCAAGGGACACTGCCCAAGCACATGCTAGTCTATGTTGGAACGGAGATATAAAGGTGGAATTCACCTTAAGCCCACTCTGTCTGCTCTTGGTATCCAGCAGTTTTCAATCAGCTTGGCTTGCTGTACCCTTCAAGGGTGTGGCCAACCAATATACCCACTGTAACTGAATGGGGCACCCTCACATTCACACATTGAAGTCCTCACCTGCAGGTGACAGCATGAGAAGGTGGGTCCTCTGGGGGGATTTGGTCAGTGACAGTGGAGTCCTCCTGCACGGACCAGCTCCTTATTAAGAAGGCTCCAGAGAGCTCCCTCGCCTCTTCTATCCCACAAGGACACAGAGAAGGCATCACCTGTGAACCAGGAGGCGAGCTCTCACCACCCAGACAGCAAACCTGTTGGCACCTTGACCTTGCACTGGCAGCCTTCAGAGCTGGGAGAAATAAATGTCCATTGTTCATAAGCCGCAGTTCCTATCTAGGGAACTTTGCTATGGCAGCCAAACAGATCCAGACGGCACCTCTTGCTCATTTAAAAAATGCCACCTCAAGTTTTCACCCGTCCTTTAAGAATAATAATCTTTTTAGCACGTTCTATATATTGACACGTAAAAATAAGGCACCGTGGCCTTCTTGAGGGTATCCAGTGGAATCTGTGGTGGCTAGATACCCATCCCCATCTATTATTATTTTTTTTTTTACCGGGGATCGAACTCGGGACTTTGCGCTTGCGCGGCAGGCTCCGGAACCACTGAGCTAAATCCCCGGCCTTCCCACCTATTATTTAAGGAACACATAAACAAGCTCTGCCTTCACAGGTGGAATTTCTAGCCATATCTCCATCCTACTTCCATACTGACTTTCATCCATATTTTGTATTTCTGTTTTCTGTTGATCGCCTTATAAGAATATGTAGCACTTTGCTGCTAAGCTCACTGTATAAGATTTTCTTCTGGTTTACCATTGCAATTATTTTTAGTACTCAATTGGTCAAACAATGTAAGCAGTGCAATGTAAATAAAGCACCGTGACAAATAATCACTTAATGTAAACAGTAAAATGTGTCTGGATGGCATCTAAAAGACACGAGTAAATACTATTTATTGTGAAACTGAAGTACATTCTGTGTAACTTCTAATTCTGTTTTTCATTTTGTACATGTGAACACTATATAACCTTTTTCAGGTTAATAAATAGTTGAAAATAAAAAGAGCTTCATTATAGGATTGTCACTCCATTCCTCAAAGTCCTTCAGAGTCAGTACTAAAAAAAATGACTTGAAAAATTATTTCCAATGCTGTCAGATGTCACACCAATTAAGTTCTTCAGTTTCCTAGAAGCAAATAATTGGCTGTTCCCTTACTTGCAAACAAAAATGGTACTGAGTCATTGACGTGGCTGAAGTCTGCACTGTCAACAATGTTTTGAACTGCTTTCTCTGCAGGGCATCCTAGGGGCTGTCACCTTTTGAGCGAGGCCCATGGGGAGATTCCAGATGGGCGAAAGGTGCCCTTCCCATACCATGAAGAAGCTGGACAGCAGGTGAGGAAAGTGAGAACATCAACCTGCCCTTCCACCATGAACATGTTCTTAGGTGACTCAATTCCAGGGGAGAGCTGAGGATCTGGAAATTGGTCCCCTCAGAATTCCCAGTCTGTGCGCCCTAGACATTGTGTGGCACAGAGGAACGTGGTCCTGAGCCTCTGGACTCCTGCCCTGTACCACATCTAGGGAGGTAGACAGAGGGGTCGCCCGGTTAACGACTCAGCACCATCAGCCTCCTCCCTCCATACTGTGTGTCTCTGTCCTACCAACATGTCCTACCCCACAGAGGTGTCCTTGGGGGACAAAGAAAGGCCTGGAAGGTTATCTGCCTCTGGTGTATGCAAGTTCACCTTGAGTGGCAGATCTGGGCTTTGCTTTTGTGATGCAGGATCAAAACTAGGCCTAGGGAGGGCCTAGGAGGTGGCCAGTTGAGGCTGAGTCTAGGGGCTTGAAACCAGCAAGGATCTTGTGGTAAGGGAAAAATCAGACTCAGAAGACTGGGCTCTGTTCTCTCTATCCCTCCATGCTTTCTGACTCTAGGCCTCACAGGGAGCTGCACCAAGTGGTCTCCATGGCCCTCCCAGGTAGAAGCCTGGGCTCCAGCCAGAGCAAGACCATGCATGGCCAGAGGAAGATCAGAAGGAGGGAGAGGAGGCAGCGGGGACAGACTACACAGGCACCAGAGAGCAGAAGGCCCAGAGTCCAAACAACGCTGTGCAAGCAGATGGAGAAACAGGATTTGACCACCCCTCTAATGCCCGATGGAGGAGAGTTCCAGAGTCAGGATCCAGGGAGTTCTGGATGCGGGTGGTGGTGATGGATGGCAACAAAGGCAATGCCACTGAACTGTACACTTGAAATGGTTAAAATAGCAAGTTTTAGGCTATGTATATATTTACTATAATTTAAGAATACCAAAACACCAAACCTCAGTCACAGTTTAGAAAATCCCTCCTCCAACAGGCTGTCTTCAAGCCCACCTTCAAGTCAAAGCTGCCCAATTACCCAGCTCCTTATGGTAACAGGGTCTAGGGCTCAATCAGCAGTGGCCATTTGTCATTGGTTGTGAGGGCCTGGCTGCTGGGATAATGATGCATCACTCACAGACACATGTCCTGTTATCAGGGCCAACCCCAGGCCTCCTGCCTCCCTACATGCCTATGTTTCTCATGTTTCTCCTCTGTGATGCCCCTCTGCCAAGCCACCCTGCCTTGGAACCAGCCAATTATGGACTGAAACCTCTACAAACTGTGAGCCAAAATAAACCTTTCCTCCTTTAACTTTGGGTGTCAGGTATTCTGTCCCAGCAACAGGAAAGTAACTAAGACAATGCCCAATTTAAATGCCCAGTCCTCCTGTCCTTCAGATACCCCAGGCCCTCTCTGAAATGTGCTAAAACCAGGCCAAATTATCCCAAGACTGGCAGAGGTGTGGTCTCCAGCCCCTGGCTCCCCCCTTGGTGGAACAGGGAAGTGGGGTGTGCAGCACCATGCTAGGGTCACTTCCCAGGCTGAAATCAATGTGGTCAGTATAATTACACCAAGGAAACTGGCAAACAATGTGGATCACAGGTCCTTTGACCCAGGAGCTGGGTACCAAATGTTTACGAGCACATCACTGGGTATAAGTACTAAAATAAATTATCCTACGATTGGCAAAGGCCAGGCTGTTTCAAGATTTGCCATAGAACACTGTGTACCCCAAACTCCCACAGCCAGCCTGCCTGGTGTTTGAGGAGCACTCCATACTTTTCAAGGCTACCATGTTCATCCCTTTATGAAGAGCTCTTAATATCCACGTGGGATAGAGATGAGGCAGTTTCTCTGGTTTTACAGATGGGAAAACAGCCCCAGAGAGATTAACTGAGTATAGAAGATCAGTCAGTTGTGCGGCTGGAACTAGAAGACAGCAGGGCTTTCTGACAAGAGAATTTTTGGGGGTGTCATGTACAGCATCACAGGCTTTGCACTGCATAACTCCAGGAAAAACAATTCATTATAGACTGGAATTTGAATAGAGACCCTCAAGCTAGGAAGCAGAAAGATCTTGAGAGCTTGGGTTAAAGAACAGTTAAGTCCATATAATCATTGCAATAAATTATTTTTTTCTGCTATATTTACTTTCTATGTGTTGCATTGGGTATATATCAGGAGGCCCAACTCTGGCTAATCATGGGGCCTCCCACCCCTTCCAGCTGGCATTTTAGGAAGGAAAGAGATGGTTTTCCACAAAAACTAGGAAGCTGGGATAGGACCTCAACATTATTTTTGTGCGTTTTTCTTAATTTCTAACACAAAAGGCTATTTTAATGTAGGTAGACTGAAATTTAACAACTTATCCCAAATTAAGAGCATGAGGGGGAAGCCTCTTTATTTGTAGAGACTTTCAGACTAAAATATCAAAAGGGAGGCCACTCCCAATGCAGCTGGTCATCCTGGAAGCAGCTGGAAGTTAGAATGACAGTACTACCCAATAGGTAGAAGACACAAGGGAGAGCAGAGTTTTGGGTCAGGGACTTATAGGGAGAAAAGAAAGTCACATTACAGCCAACCATTCCCCAAACCTTGACTTAAATGCCCAATCCTCCTGTCCTTTAGATACCTCTGGGCACTCTCCACAATGTGCTGAAAACAGGCTAAAGGATCCTGACATCCAAAAATCAAACATGCTTACCACACCCGAGGAGACTTCTAAATCCCTGCAGGGAAACTAGCAGGTAGGGCTAAGGTTTTAGAGGACATCAGAAATAGAGCTGGGGACCTGATGATCTTCACCAGGCCCAGGCTCCAGGCTGGGTGTGCACTCTGCTTGGCTGGTCTGGCCTGGGCCACTTGGAGGCTGTCACTCAGTCCTCAGGAGAAGGGCAGTGAGACTCCAGCTGAGGAAGGGAGGAGGGCCTGGCTGGGGCAGCTCAGGGAGTTAATCACCTGTCTACACTTCCTGCCCCCACAATAACCTACTGATGTTTGTGTGGCCCCTGGGCCAGGGGTCCAAAATACCCTGACTCACTCTGATGATGTCTTTGGGGGCTGCCCTCCTTCCAGTCAGGAACAATTGCTGGTTCCCACATCCTGGGAAAAGTCACTGCCCTCTGGGATAGCACAGGCGTGACTCTTTCCGTCTTCCTTGGAAGCTAGTCACCAGCCCTTTTTAGAGAGGCAGTCAGCCTGTTGGTAGACATGGCCCCTGTGCCATGGGGCATGAGATCAATGTGAATTTGATCCAGTTACTGTCCTTCCCTATATTCAAGTCCCTGTCAGATCCAAAGTGAATCATTCATTTATGTTCCAAAAAAGCTTGCCAACTGTAACTATAAGATTTGACTATAAGCCATCCTGAGTGCCAAGATGTTAATGGGAAGAAAGGGGTCTTGTGGCAGATGGAGCATACTGCAGAAGCTGCCGATGCACCCTTTTCATTAAGTACAGAGCAGGATAATAACTGTGCTGACCTTGGTCACTGGGAGAGCAGAGTTAAATTAAAACCCTCAAACCTACACACAGCACAGAGAAACCAGTGTTAGCATCATCCTTACCATCATTACGGTGGAAGGCACGGGCCACGGGAATCTTTTGTAACCTCACTGTGGAAAAAGCTCACTGTGGAAGGAAAAACCCTGTCCAGACTGTTGGCAGGCAGCACGTTTGCATGGAAAAAGCAAGTGTCTAGAAGCAGCAGGATGTAGATGTGGGTTTGAATTCCAGGCGAACTTCTCACTGTAGGCAAGTTACAAGAACCCTCTGCCTGTTTCCTTTACTGCACATGGGGACAAAGATGCATCACCATGTGGGCTTATCTTTTTTTTTTTTTTTTTGGTACCAGGGATCAAACTCGGGACCTTGCCCTTCTGAGGCAGTCAGTGGAACCACTGAGCTAAATCCCCAGCCTATGGGCTTATCTTTAGGACTGAGCAAGTTTATGTATGTCTATCCCTTAGGATGAAAAGACATTTAACAAGTACCTTTTGAAATGTGAGCATTGAGTGTTTTTCCTAAACATCTCCTATTTGGAAATGATGGATGTAATTATCACTTAAGAAAAAGTGCCCCGTGACAGAAAAGAGCCAGAAATGTAGTACTGGAAACACTGCACTATTCTGTCAGCTTTGGAAATCTTTGGTCTCTGAAAACAGAGGGCGGTTAACATTAACCCAGAGAAGTTCCACATGCTGGATGGGAAAAGCCCTCAAGGCCTGAATTTGGACAATTCACAGCCACTCCCAGATCAGCGATCAGGACCAAGAATCAGGAATGTGACCTGGACCCTGGTCTTGGCCCCAAAGGCCACTGCACTGGGGACCTCCACACCCAGGACACTGGTGACACAGATAGGGCTCACATGAAGCAGGTGGGAAGCCTGGGCGAGGAGGAAGGAAAGGACAGCTCCTGAGGCCCAGGAGCTGCAGAGGTGGCGCAGAGGTGGCTGTGACCAGCTCAGCTCTGGAGTTTCAGACTGAGCAGGGATGCCCACGTCTGCCTCTACGCTCTCTCCCCGTACCGAAGACCTCACCACTCAGGTTTGAGTGCAGTTTTCTTTCCTTCCTCAACTCCCATGCTCGGTGCTGGACAGCAGGTATGGAGTGGATTTTCCCCTTTTCTCTCTGGCCACCCCTTCTCCCTCTAGACACACCCATGGAGCCCTGTGATGCAGTCTCCAGCATCTGCCCTGGTCTCCTGGCCTCATCCACCTACCTGGGCATATCTGAGCGGGGGTACAGACACCCCTCCACCCCCGTCAAATGGCAAACAGCTTTGGAGCAGAAGCCCCAACAGAACTTTGGAAAAACTCAGGCCCTGGAAGCAAATAATAAAGATGAGCTTCCTTGGCACCCAGGGCTGGGAGCCACATCCTCCTCCACCCCAGACAGGTGACAGTCAGGTGTCACTGATTCTCCCCCCACCCCATGCAGAAGCAGGCTGAGCGACAGAAACGTCTTAAGAGATAAAGTAGTTAAAACAGAATGCCTTAACTCCAGGGCTTCCCAATGAACACAAGAGACGCTGCCCCCGCGGCAGGAAAGGGGGCCCGCGGCTGCTCCCTCTGAGCCCATACTCACCGGATTTTAACCTGAGCTCCCCGAGGCAGCCGTAAGCGTCCGTGAGCTTGCCATACTGTCCTTTAATGACTTCTTTCTCTTCAGGAGCTGGGGGAGAAGTGCAGGAAAACAGACATCAGCAGCGGCTCCTGCTCACACCCGTTCATTCACACTCACACTGCGATTGCCAAGCTGGTTCCCACCCACACAAAAAAGAAAACGCAGACAATAGCTCAGCCCACAAACATCATGCCTGGAGGATTCAGACCTTCCACAAAGGCTTGTTCTCTGGAAGGGTGGCCAGCTTCCTGGGGGCTGGGGAAGGTGTGGTGCACCCCAGGGTGGCCAAAGCTTTGTACTGGAACTTCAGTTTCCAGTGCGGCGTAGGCACCTTGGGCCTGTCCTGTCCCACTATGCCACATCCCACTCCACCTGCTCAGGAACAGGTGAGGCATCATTAGCCATTTGGGAGGTCTTTCCTTTCTAAGTCTCAGCCACAGGAGACGAACTCTCCAAGGCTTCTGCCTTGGGGACATCTGAACAGTGGGTCTGGCTATAGAGGGTAACCAGGGCTGGGGCCAATGAGTGACAAGGCAAGCTACAGGCCTTGCCTGCTCACTCATTAGCAGTGATTGTCATTGCCACGCCAAGGCACAGCCTTGCTTAAAAGCAAAAGAGGAAAGCAAAATGACCAGGGAAGGCCCGTTAGAAGCAGGGAGCTGTGACCTTCATCAGGATGCCACAGGACCCCTGGCTGTTCTAGGGGCAGGGGCAGGGGCAGGCCTGTGGATCCCTTCTCCAGATAATGCTTTAAATGTATCCTCACAAAAACATGCCACTACATGAAAGGAGCCAGTCACAAAAGACTTCAGAAATATTCCACTTATATGAAATATGCAGAACAGGCAAATGTATAGATGCAGAAAATAGATTTGTGGTTGCCAGGGGCTGAGACTGGAAGAATGGGGATTCAGGGTTATTGCTAATGACTCTGGGGTCTCTCTTAAGGGGGACAAAAATGTTCTAAATTTAAGACTGTGGTGATGACTGCACAACCCTGTGTACTAAAAAACATGGAGTTAATAATTTAATGGGTAAAGTGTATGGTATATAAATTATATCTCAAAGCTTTAAAATAAAAATCAACCACGAAAACACACAGGATTATAAAGGATATCAATCTTATCAGACTCTAGTTATAAAACTTTTTAATGTTATAATATAGTAACATATGTGCCTTATTATGAGCATCTTAAATAACAAAAATAAAGAGGGGGCCTACTAGCCAACTTAATGTCAAACTAGTGATGGGAATAAATGCTGTTTGAGGATTTCCTGTCATGTAAAAATATCTGTACTTTGTATTGGTGGCAAAGCCCTGACAAACTGGTTCTGTTGCTTACCTTACTCACTGAAGGAAATGCCAAGTCCCAGTTAGGAAATACAAAAAGAAAGCTGACTTCTCACCACATCCAAGAACAACCAGACTTCCAATTCCACAATCAGAGCCTCTGAGGAGCCCTGGAGCCCTGGCGCCCAGGCCGAGAACCTGAGCTGGCGGGAGGCGTTTCTGCATCATCACACAAACATGGATGAAACAGGTGAGAAAAGAAACAGCTGGCTCCTTCTCTGCCTGGTCCTCCCAAGGCTCAGAAAGGAGTCTTCCCGAGACTGCCTGGCTCCTGGAGTTCAGGAATTCCGACAAGGAACTGAGATCCCACATGCAATGTTAAAAGGAGAAGAAATTACAGAAGACAGCAGGCCCTCCTGCCCAGGCCCGGGAGCAGATGCACTGAAAACTCTCTGGCTCTCATCCCCTCTTGCTGTCTCTGCAGATGCCCACCCAGAGCGATGAGCACAGAGAGCGCCAACAAGCATTTTAAAGGGTGAGCCTAGTTGTAGCCATTACCTGTCCTGACATTCCAGCTTAGAAGAGCCACTGTCCCACACTGTCTAGGACAGACCTGATTTTCTGTTCTTCTCCAGTGTCCCTCTACAGTGCTCCTATACTCATCAGACTATACACATCCCAACGGGTTGGAAACACAGTGTCAGAGTCCCGTCTTCCCACCATAAGCCCCAGTGAGCCCTGGTGGCCCAGAGCTCCCTGCTCCACAGCCTGTGTGTACCGTGCTCTGTCTTCTCTAGCTGGCATAGGAGGCAGTGGGCAGGAACCTGGCTGTGACAGCAGGGCCTGCCACCCCCCAGCAAACAGGACACATCTGTTCAGGCTGAGGCTCGAACATGGCTGGCAGCTGGCTGGTGGCTGGCGGGGCAGACCACGAGGCCAGGGACCACTCCTCCATTTCTCCAGGAAGGACTGCAGTTAAGACGTGGTTTAAAGAGAAAGGCTGGTTACCAGCAGATCTGGAAAGACCAACAATTTGCAAAAACACTTGTGTCTTGTTATTTGCAGTAGTTCTCTTCTACAAAGTCACCAGTGACTATGGAAGCCCCATGCCTGGAGGACATACAGGGTTTGGTCCCTGAGAGCCTCTGGTCAAGATTTCCATCAACTGGACAATACATAACCTAGTTTCATGTGTGTTTCTGTTTAAAGAAGGCTTATCGATGACTGTTGCTTGATTCACAATGAACTCATGGCCAATAGCACACTGACTCAAAATAGAACGAAGCTTATCAAACACAAATGTTCTCCCTTTAAGACACAAAACGGCCTTCTTGCATGTAGAAATGCTAGATCACACTTCAGCACTCTGCTTGGGGGCCATTTTTATTGGTGACAGAAATGCACAAAATGTGGCACTAAAGAAATCTTACAGTATGAGACACAAGGCAGAGTGTCAATTTTCTCAGTCTCAGCTGGAACATGTGCATTGGGCAACACAAATTTTTGCCACTCTGCCCATGTCCACAAATGCCCATGAAAATGCTGTGAGTCTAGATCCTGGGGTTACAAACACATGTTAGAGAGTAGATGAATTTACAAATATGGGGGCACAAACACTGAGGATCCTCTGAGCCTGGTAGAAGAGCTCTGCAAAGCCCAGTAGGAGCCTTGCTAGGAAAGGAGCCATTTGCTTTGTATGGCTGTTTACACAGGGTGACAGAAGAAGTCCCTAGCAGCTACAGGGTCTTCAAGAGACAGCTCTGGAAGAAATCTATATAATCTCTAAAATTGTATGCATTTTTGTTATGTAATTTTTATCAAGCTAGGATCCATGGTTTTCAACAAAGTCTCAAGTTAATTGTGACAAATGCTGGAGGAATGAGACCATCCAAGCAGGCTAGTGGAAGGCAACCGAGGCACAGACTTTATTCACGTGGGTGCAAGTCAACTGAGGGTGAGAAAGGAGTCAGTGGCAAACAAAGAAAAAGCAGAGAGCTTTACAGGGGACTGGGAAGTGGTCTGTCATGTACATGGGTCAGAGCAAATATTTGTGGTTGGGGTCCATGCAGCAGTCAAGGCAAATGTATGGATGTTATCAGGTGACTTGGTGCCGGGAAGATGCTGTGCTGTGCTTTATTGTCCTATCTCTTTTGTATAACATCCTGTTCTGTGTTCTGGCTGCCCTGAGACAGCACAGCCTGTATCCAGGAGGAGATGGCATGGCTTACATCTGATCTTTAGCCACCTGAAGGAGCAGCATGTTTTTGTTGTGGGCTGTGGTTTTTCGCATCTGCTAAAACTGTAGCTTGGAATTAAACAACATATTTATTAACCAGGTCATGGCCAGATCAAGCCTGACATTAATGACTTCAAAAAAGCTAATAACAACCTTAATAAATTAATTTGCTCCCAAATCTTGACTGGGATTTTTTTTTTTTTTGAGGGAGAGGGCAGAGTAACCTTCAAGATTGTTAATGAAATCATAAAATCTCTTTTGTTTGGTTGTTTTTCTGGTACCGGGGATCAAATGAAATCATAAAATCTCTATGAGAAGCCAGAAGCCCCAGAACTGAGAGCTAAGCAGACTTTGCTAGCATTGAGGGTTACTTACAACAAACAAAGCACCTACAAAATTAGGGTCTCAGAGTCCCTTAGACAAGGTCTGGAAAGCCACAATTCCACTTTTTCCACCAACCTAGTGCAGCTGGAGGGGTGGCTGGTGAGATGATGTACTAGCCTCCTATCACAGCTGTAACAACCACTCTGCATGGTTTACAAACACACAAATTTATGATCTTTCAATTCTGCAGGTTGGAATCTGTTCTGGTGCTTAAATGAAGATGTTTGCAAGTCCGAACTCCCTCTGGAGATGTGTTGGAGAGAGGTGAACTTCCTTGTCTTTTCTAACACCTAGGGTCCACTACTATATTCCTTACCTCTCAGCCACTTCCTCCCCCTTCCAGTTCAGCAACTGCAGCACTGATCTCTGCTTCCATCTTCACATCTCATTCTCTCTCTCCTGCTTCTCTCTTCCATCTTTTAAGGGCCCTTGTGAGTACAATGGACCCGCCCAGGTGGTCCATCATGATCTCCCCATCTCAATCCTCAATCTGATCACATTATTATAGATAGATGAGCTAGGTAGAAATATTATAGGCAGTCAGATAGGGATAGGACCTCCAGAGGGTCAGGACAAAGGTGAAACACAACCACAGCGGTGACTGGAGACACATCAGCTGAAAACTAGGCCTCAAGATAAAGACAAGATGACCAGACCTGCATACTTCCTCAAAGAACAAACACTGGGCCTAATGAAGTCTAGATAGACACCAACCACCCCGGTGGGTGACCAGGACCTCTGGACCCACCACTTCCTAGGAGAATCTTTGTTCTTTCCATCCAAGCTTGTTAAATGACCTGTTTTCCAATTGGACCACCATCACCTAAATGACTATACTTGTAACCTTACTGGATGTTCATGGCTGTGGGTTCACCCTGTAAAACTTCTCTGTAAAGTGGGGTCCTCAGCCACCCACTCCGGAGCCCTCCTGTCCCTCAGGAGCTTTCCTATCAATAAACACCTTCCTACTCTTAACCTCCATTGTTCCTAGGACTCATTCTTCGGTTTCTAGAGAACAACACCTCAGCGTATCACACAGTTAACAGGTTGGGAGATGTATTTCATATTTTATCCCCAGTATTATTTCCTATGACAACATCTGCAGCTGGACTGAGATGTGGACCTTTTGGGGACACACAGGCCTCCTCCTCTCTGCCCACACATTCAGGAAAGCTAAGGGCACTGCACACTGACCCAGATGAGGACAGTCCTCTGGCCAGGGCAATGATCGGACTGTATCCTGTGCTATGAAATCCTCCTGGAGAAAGGGCCTGCTCCCTGCTCCAGGGCTGTGAAATCCCAGCCTCTCTTTCTGCAGGCCAAGCACATGGCCAAGTCCTTCCCAGCGTACAGGTGTGGGCAGGCATCTCAGGAGACCAGCTGATAAGTACAACAAAGTAATTCTGACTCCAACAACATCTATTTCTATCCCAGCACCTTTGCATAGCTTTCACATAGACCCTCAAATGGCAGTGTTATCTGGTTCTCACTTGGCTAGCCATAAAACAAAGAAGGCTTTGTGCATTCACTCAACTACACAAATAAACCTCAGCAAATCAAACAGAATGACAGGAAACTGCAAAACAAAGCCTTGTGGTCCTGTCCACACATCAAGGTGGGAAAATGACCCCAGGAGAAGCCTTGAAAACTAAAATGACCCCTGGCTCTGGGGGATCACAGATGGCATTGGACACCATGCCCCCTGCCACCAGGAAAATTAAACAAACACCAGGTAAAAAAAAAACCCTTTTCACCCTTATATTTAAAAAACAAACAAAACCAGCAGGTCCAACTCATCCCACTCTATTCCTGTAAATTATTGACTCTCTAATAAAAACGGCTTTATCACTAACTTATACAACCCCAGCAACTCAAAACAGGGATTAAAAAACAAACCAGGGATAACTCCAAACAGGCCAGGACCTTTGCAGATATGGTAATCAAATGTTAAGGACTATTTTCCCATCCTGAACAGACAAACTGTAAACAAACTGGGAGGCTTGAAACAACAACTTTTTTCTCTCACAGGTGCAGAGGCCAAAAACACCTGAAATCAAGGTATCCACAGGGCCCCTCCCTCTGGCCCTGCAGGGGCAGGTCCTTCCTTGCCTCTTCTGGCTTCCAGTGTCCTCTGGTGATCCTTGGGGTTTCTTGGCTTGTAGCTTTGTCACTCCAAACTCTGCCTCTTTTATTACACTGCCATCTCCACCCCATTTTCCTCTGTCTTCACATGCCATCTCCTAAGGACAGCACTCACTGCTGGATTAGGGACCCACCCTATTCCAATATGATCTCACTGCAACATCATAGCTGCAAAAACTCTTGTATCCTAATAAGGTTCCATTTTGCAGTACTGAGGACTAGGGCTTCAACAAATCTTTTTGGGGAGAGACCAGCCCCTGATACTTGGTAACCTTATCTGGTGAACCAGTCTTTGTAAAGCCTGGATTCTCTACAAACAGTCTCCCCATAAACTGCTTCTCTATCCTCAATGCCTGGTCCCCAAGTTGTCCCAGGCCTGCCATGCATTCCTCCACCCCACTTCAGCTGCAGTGCCCTAGCTGGTGTTGCTGCCCATGGCTGTACTCCCTGAGGCCAGGCCTCCCATTGCCAGGCCTCCCAGTACCAGGCTGACATCACTCCACATCCTGCTAGCCCCAACCGTTGTATTTTCACAGGTAGGTCTGAGGGAAGAAGAAATCCTTTTTTGCTCTCCAGAGTGGAAGTCACAATCAGATATGGACAAGCATCAGGCAGGTAATGAATGAATGAAGCCCCTGGAGGGAGGGGTCAAAGAACACTCTCTCGCAGTGGGGAGGGACAGTTATTGCCAGTAGCCATCAGGTGGGCACAGCAGACAGGGCCTACGACGCTGCAGTTTGCAAAAATAAGTAGGACACTGCTGATTTTTCAGTGTTGGCAACCAATCTTCACTTATTTTTAGCGCCATGTGGGTGTATGCACACCTCTGTGGGCTGCATTTGGCTGCCTGTTTGCAAATTCCGCCCCTCCTGACTTAATGTCTGGAAAATAGATAGAGTATTCCTGCCTCCTATACCTTTTGTTTCATTTTCTGTAGGCTTTCCCACGGGACAACAATTGTAGACACACATTCTAGACACTGCGACCCTGTAGAGAACCGGGCAAAAAATCATCTGCACCAGAGTGGAGTAGAGCATGCATTTGGCAGAGAGTGGCAAAGAAAGGACATTAGCAGAGGATGGACAAGTGACAGCAGGTGAGGGCAGACCTGGATGGGTAGGAGGCCCAAGCTGCACTGTCCAGGCACAGCCAAGGAGGGGCAGAGGAAGGGGTGGAGCCTGCTGGGAGCCTGCGTGGACAGCTGAGATCATTAAGCACAACACAGACAGTGACACGAGCCGAGGAAGAAAAGTTAGAAGGAAAGGGGTTATAAATAGTGGGGGCTGTGCCTGTGGAATTTTAGATAATTGAGACTGAAAAGACCTCACCCCAGGGAGAGATTTGACTACAGAGCTAAAGGAAGTGAGAGAAATGACTAATGGATAGAGAGCACCACAGGCCCCAGAGAGCACAGGCAAAGGTCCTGTGGCAAAAGCACTCCTGAAATGTGCAAGGACCAACAAGGAGGCCATTCTGCCTGAAGGTTCATCACAGAGGAAAGACTAAGACATTGTATGAAGCCTCACAGGCCATGCAAAGATATGTGGTTTCACTCTGAGTGAGATGACAGCCATTGCTGAGTTCTGCAGATCATTCTGGCTGCTGCTGAGAGCCCTGGAGGGACAAGACGAAAAGCAAGAAGATCGATTGGGAGGCACTACGACTATCTAGGCAAGAGAGGATGCTAACTTGGACCAGGGCACAGCAATGGAAGCGCTAAGAAGCAGTTAAACTCTGGAGACAGACTTCTCAATCTCTCTGCCTCTCTGTCTCTGTCTCTGTGTCTGTCTCTCTTTCTCTCTCTGACTCTGAAATTTCCCAAAAAAGTACAACAGACCCTTCATGCCCACATCACCATGTACTAACTGCTCTGCCTGCTGCCAGCCCTGCCCCACCCACTTTCACTTACGTCCCCACCTACTAGCCCACCAAAAATCAATGGGTCTCAAAATATGGTCCTCAAACATGATGGAATCCCAACATAAGAAACAAATGGAATCCATAAAACAGACGCAAATAGATTTCCAGGACATGAAAAACTCCAATGAAAGTCTACACAGCAGAATGAGCCAATGTGAGGACAGAATTTCAGATATAGAAGATAA